TCGCGTTTGCTCAACAAAAATACGAAGAATTACTTGATCAATGCCGAGGTTAATAGAAAGTCGGTCGTGGGAGTTACAATGGACGAAGTACTGATACAATGGAAAAGTAGTAGAACAAGGAGGGGAGCTTGCTCAAGGTCAGCCAGCATTGTTCAAACTACCTGCTTTTTGTCGTCTAGAAGCCGCTTACCCCAATAATTCTGAAGAGAACGAAAAATAGACTTAACGAAGACAAGCTATAACATAACATCAAGCATAGTTTCAAGAAGGATTCAGCGTAAGTATCATAATATCCCACGGCTACACGTCATGCTGAAGCATTCCGAGAGCACAACGTTCTTGCTAGAACTAGTCAGCACAAGTCTCAACTATCTCATGCGAAAAAGTATCTATGCTTTATTGATAAAATTATTCACATGACACCTTGGAACATGGAACACTTACTCAAGCACCTAACGACTTCGACCGCATATATTAAAAGACTGGTCTCCTAAAGAAAATATCCGCAAAAAAGTTCCTCTATACTCACTGAAAGAAACATCACCAAATTACCCAGCTATTTATGCCTGGATTGGAATAGAATGATTTAATTTAGCGCTGAAGGATGGAAATACAAACTTCATTCAGAATGAATAGAGGCTTAACTATTTAATCTTTTAACGAAGAGTGTAAGGCCGCCGTTTTCATAATTTTACAGTTAAATAATCTTAATCTCTCACTCGACTATTCATTACTACTACATTACTCTGAGTTTGCGATAGAAGGATACGATCAACTGCCACTTTTGACTTCCGGTGATTGACAAAGTGCTCTGCGTGCCACACCTTCTAAGTTCCTCCGTTTGCTCTTCTTGAGAAAATAGTCGATATTCACGTTTGGGATCGTCGTAATGATGGACCACTCATATTGCAGAATACCCAACAAAATTTTTCAGAATCTAAAGTACAGAAATACAACAAGCCATGCAAAATGTTTATGCTCACACCAGAAAGGCACAGTTAACGATATAAGAACGAGAAAAAATACTTCAAAACAAATCCACAATCATTCAAGAATTGAACGATGTAGTGAATTCAGTCATTCTATTAGTAGCTTCACTTTTTACATCACATCTGAGCGTCGTTAGTGTCGAAGCATAATATTGGCAACGTTAGTATAAGCTCATTATACAAAGTAGAATGTAGACAAAGTAGCAGACCAACTTAGTATGCCGATTTTCAACGACGTCTAGCATTAGAAGAACTTGAATTTGTACCCGTCAACTCACTATCAACAAGGAGGTGGCGATATCCTATAGCCTGACCGGCTTCGCTTTTCGCGATACAGTGATAGAAGCCAGCATCACTCAATAAGACATTGCGCACAGCTAACGATGTACCAATAAGCTGGTACTCTGAAATTTACTTCAATCTATAGCAGCTATCAAAAGGAGCTGAACCAATCCCAGGTTCAGGTGGCCATGAAAAGATGTCCACAAAAATTTGAATAACTTGGAAAAATATTGGAAAACCAAATATGACTATGGCTTTTGTTAATAGGTAGGATTCCTAAGTTACAATAAATCTTCTCGAAATATACCTATAAAACTCAGGTCAGCATCAATTAAAACTAATACGTTATCGTAAGAGGTTTATCGTATTTAAACCCCAACTTCAACTGCACATATTGCACCTCGTAGCTAACTTAACCAAACTAAATAAAAACCATTGTAATCCGCACTTATTACCCAATAAGACACAAATTTGTGTGACCGATAACAGTAAAACACTTAGGTTTTCATCCACGAGTCTTCTCAGGTATTCACAGTAGAGCGAAATCCGTGATAATGAAACAAGGAAAAATAAATCGCATCCTTAATGTGTTACCAAAAAAATTCAAATCCTTAAATTCCAAATATAATCCGAATGGCTTTTAACTGATCTAATGAGCTAGATTTAGTAGTCCACTTACTTTCATTGGGTTCAATTTGAGCGTTAGGTGCTTTGACCCAAGTAATCACTGGCTCTGGAATTCCCATCGCGTCACACGGAAGAACAACAGTCTTACGCAATTCTGCCGTTATATTCAACTTCTCCGGCTGAATAGTAGGTGACGCTGAAATGCAGTAAAAAATAAAAAGAAAGAAATGGATACGTTTTAAAAGTTTGAAGAACTGGGTATTGACTCGAACAAATGAACTAGCATCGTTGTAGAATAATACCTTCCAATCTCTTGACATCTATCCACATGAATGAGTGAGAGAAAGGGAAAAAGGAAAGGGCCTCGGTGGCACGGTAGATAACACGTGAACCCTAGGAGAAGGTAATCGCAGGTTCGAAGCTTGCCTAGAGCTTCCAGTTTTGCAAATATCTCAGCATCGTTGTGGTTACATTTCACATAACAGCTTGCGAATTTGAAACAATAGGCAGTGAATAAAAAAGTTAAACGCTGTGATAATTTCGTGAATGTTGCTAAATGTTCTCCAGTCAGCATTTTCATCCAGAACTAAGCCAAGGTCTGCTCCAAAAGACCAATTTTTCAATTAAAACCTATTTTAAAAGAAGCCATACGGACCACTCTAAAGGAAATGGTGCAAAAGCTTGGATGATTTGCAAACCTACAATGGTGAACAGCGTAATAGTGATCGCGTTCCATGAACTAAAGGCCTATGGTGATCACGTCCGCTCTGGATTATTTCATAGTTGTGCGTATTCATGTACAATACAGCACCCATCTGCGATCATAAATGTGATTTGCGATTCATTGAATAAAAGCGACTTTCGACTACGATACCAATATTATACGTTTTTATTTCCTGCCTACTATAATTTCGCGGCAGGGTACAAAGCGAAATACAACCACAACGTTGCTGAGATATTTGCAAAATTCTGGACCGCAGGTGTCTATGGTGGGAAACGAAAGCGCTGTTGTCCTTTCCGGGGAGTAACGCGTTCACCACCACACCATGCGGGTCCTTTGTTTCGCCTGTCTCTCAGCTATTTCTATCGATCTTTGCCACAGCAATCACCCGTCAGCGGGATTGATCTGGAGCGCCCAAATCGGCATAGAACCCAGTTAAGCTTCGGCTGTAGTGGAAATCATAATGTTATACCTTTTTATTTTCTGCCCACTATAATTTAGCGGCAGGGTACTGAGCGAAATACAACCATGAAATTATAGTAGGCAGAAAATAAAAAGGTATAACATTGTGATTTCAACTACAGCCTTAACTGGGTTCTATGCCGATTTGGGCACTCCAGATCAATCCCACTGCCGGGTGATTGCTGTGGCAAAGATCGATAGAAATAGCTGAGAGACAGGCGAAACACAGGACCCGTATGGTGTGGTGGTGAACGCGTTACTCCTCGGAACGGACGATAGCGCGTTCGTTTCCCACCATAGACACCTTCGGTCCAGAGTTTTGCAAATATCTCAGCAACGTTATGGTTGTACGATACCAATAGTTTTTTGGTGATCAAGTGACAGTTATTAAGAGTTCATGAATTTCACGTCTACTTTAAGAACGACTGACTGCAATCTAATCAGATTAACGTTTGTAAGTGCCCGAAATATTTCCTTTCCCTCTCTTCGCACTTCTATTATTCCTTACAAGGAAGAAACTCCTTTGACTTTTCACTTTTTTCGTCTTCACTTCTCATTCTGTACACCATATTGGCTCATCTTGCTCTATTCTCCTAATTTCATTTGTATTCATGTATTCCTAGTGGAATACCGCTCATCGTGGGTGCGGAATGTCCTCTGGGCGATGTGCGAAGCAGTGTTACATTCTCACAACAGGACCTCTCTAGCTGAGAGGAGTTCTACATTTTTTTCAGAATCTCAATTAAAAGTAAACCTACTATAGGATTCAATACCATTCTTAGAACAGAGTACTAGCCAGTTTTGAAGTGATGACGAAATACAAAAGCACCAAAAGGGCTTTGAAGGCTCCATGAAAAGAGAGTCATGCTCAATCCCAAACTACCAATTAGGTGAGAATTGTGGTGGCGTCCGGAGCACTGTTCGCCATTAGTGAACGCGAGCCGTTCAAATACTTCACTATTCATCTTCATCGGAAACATACTGATTACGACAAGGTCGAAGTCCTTATGAGCGGAACCGGCCCAGTTTTCTGCTTGACATGTGTAAACTCCGGCATCGGCCACTGACACATCGTGGAAAAACACCGACTTTCTGTGCGTATTCCGAGTATCGTCGAGTGCCGCTGAAAAAGTGAAATATTGTAACAAATGGAGTTAGCTCTGAAATGTATACACGAAAGAATGGTAACGCTCAGATATTTACCTTACAAAATCTTAGCACATTTTATAGCCAAAAGGCGACAGTGTTATTGTTCGCGTTTATAACAAAGAAAAAAAGCTTATTAAATACGGATTTAATGACAGCGAGAAATATTTTTATGATTACACATTTTGGAGTGTATATAAGGCATTTTTAAATTCCCTTCATATCAGACTTCGTAAAAGTGTGTCGATCAATGAAGAACCAAGGACAAGAATGCATGGATATGGACAAAACCTGGAACCTTAGCTAGGCTTCGAAACGGCGACTATATTTTCCGGGCCTCACGTGCTATTCACCACACCAACCGAGACCACGGTAGCACGCTTACTATGTGAGCCCTGGAAAAGGTAATCGCCTGTTCGAAACCTTCCCAAGGATCACAGTTTTTCTCACATATTAGCATCCTTGTGGTTGCATTAGAAATCGTACCCTTTCATGAAAAAAGAATAGGCAGTGAATAAAAGTTAAACTTTAAGAATCTAAGCATTTTACGAAAGTTAGATGAACACTGCAACAACTTTAGAACAATGCCTGTCCTTCAGAAAGCAAAACATAGCTAAATTCTACAGAAAACAAACCGTTTTGTGAACAGATGACAGTTACTTTAAGAAAGAAACGCGCACTGCTTGGCACAGTCAACGTCAATTTTAAGGTTTCCAGGGTGGATTTACCACCCTCATGCATGCAATTAAGATATGTAGCTGCGAATTTCTCGAAGCGCGTTCATCACAGACACTGAGAAAAACTACCACGCGAACAAATTCCCATTCGCCAATTCATTCATACCAGAATATCACAATGGATATCCCTGATCTTCGGCTCCCTTCTACATGATAGAGCTATCTCCATTAATGATAACCTTTAAAAACTCAACAATGTCAACTTCCATTTATTTGTAGCTCCATTTTAAACAGGAATTTTTCCTAGATTATTCCTATTTATAAACCATAAAACTACTACGAGCTTACTATTCGTTAGCATTTCATCATCCTTCCACCATGTTATTGTGGGGTTCGGAACACCAACCGCTTCGCACCTAAACGTCGTTTTAAAACACTTTTTAACGATTTACTTGAAATAAACAGAAACATCGAAATCTTAGAAAGACTTCGAAATTCCCTATCAGCGGTTCCAATTCCAATTAGAATGTTAAACAGTGGCATTATCTGACCATATGGTTGCCTCCTCTCCACTTTTAACTAGTTCTCTTCTGCTGCCTTCAGTAATCCGCGGAGGTACTGAAACATTCTTGAGAAGACATTCCATGATAGAAAAAGGTTTGACAAAAAGCCATAGAAAAAGTGTATACAATAAAATATTCATTCTTCCATTCCTACCAAATGTAATATTGACGTAGCGTTTTCTACAACGACTACGACAGCGCTTCACTTTTATCCCGAGTTCACTGTAGAAAAAGCTACAGACCGCCATAAGGAACGGCAAAAAGAGTAAGAGCATTTTCTTATTATGTCCTGTAGCATAATTGTATTTAAGGAGCTATATGCATTATAAGGAGTTGCTGAAACATTGATACAGCCCAATATCGCGGTCTGCTTTTAATAAACGACATTAAAAAATCTAGAATTGTTATCCAGCTTTATCGACATTCTAAGCGCTTCTAATATTGAAACATTGGAGCAATGTTTGTATATTACGAAGAAAAAGCACTGTTGAAATTTGATTTCCATAGGGAATATCAAAAACCCATTTCCCATCAGTTTTATACTGGTGCTCCCGCAGTAGTTCGCCGTATCATTGTAACTGATTGGTGGTCCTCCGTAGAGAAAAGCGAAAAGCGGGCGCTCGTCCCGCTAGAGAGGTCACCCAGGCTGAAAGTATGTCCCTTAAGAGGCAAAAAGTGGCCGCAACTAAGGTGACTTAAGTGCTGACCTGAAGACTAACGTTAAATAATTTATGGAAACGGTGGCACATTGTTCAATAGTCATATTTTTCTTGAATCGACCCAACTTTTATTACACACTTCGATCCATGCTTGGCTAGGATCTGTACGTTGAAATTGAAACAGACCACTGGCTTAGTAAGAAGTTTCTACAAGTGTGAGTGCGAAGACATCACAGTGTCTAAACTAGCTTCACAAATAGATAAACACTCGCCAAACGACTCGCCTGTATACAGCGCTCATCAGGAAAAAAAAAAGATACATATACTTGGTATGCAAAAGATGACATCAGATGAGTCCCTTATATAGATATTACAGTGCCACGTCGGTCAAACTAAATACTCCAGTTCTCAAACCGCCCTCAAATAGTTTTTAGCAAACAAACGCTATATTACTGAACAAGATTCTGCTTACTTATTCAATTGAAAAACAACACTTAGAAATAGTGATTCTAGTGGGAAAGTGCTATTGTGAGAAAATAGTATGAATGCACATATTTAGCAAACAAATAATCAAAGATTCGGATCTTTGAATCGACGTGAAATGGTTGCTCGACTAATCATTGAATTGGTGAATTTCATAGGAAATCTTATCTCTCTAAAAGAAAGGTAACCCTAAGGCAGGAAAGCTGATTGCCGCCCATTAATGGTCGGCGAGTGAATGTGATTAAGACTTGGGAAAATTACAGCATTGCCATGCGGGATTATTGGAAAAGCCACGCTCGAGTAGTACTCACTAGACAAAAAAAAAGGATACAATGTTGAGACTGAGATGCAACAATGTACTCATGATACATCACGAAGGCCGGCTTCTGAATATGCATAGCCAACACCAAGTCAGTCTCGTGGCCCTAGGCAACATCCAATAGGACGTGATTTTCTTTAGGGAACTAACAACAAGAATCCGATATTTATATCATCTGGTTAATGGAAGATGAAACCCTTGATATATTTGGGAGAAAACTTCATGGCTTAATATTGGTATTATTTGATTCGCTGAGCACTCAACTGTTACTAACAGGAAATCCTCATCAGTACCGACAACGCGGACTCTGGAAGTAGCAAGAAGTAATGGAAGAAGCATAAGGAAAAGGAATACATTCAAATAATCCTGAAGACCATATACGTTCGCAGGGGATATCATCGAGCTCTTGTCCTAACGCCAGCCAACAGTGAAAAGCGTGCAAAAGTGTGGAAACAAACGGTTTTTTGCACCTTAGTTGACCAAGGTATAGCAACCGCATCCAGGATGGGTAAGCTCATGGTGCTCTGATAACATTTTAAACGTCATTTACGCGGGCGCATTACATTTAATCAAACCATGTGCCCATGTCTAGATTATGATTGAATTTTTGTCATAGATTTTTAAAGAATTCTACGGTGATTAAAGAGCTACGATGAGTAAAAAATATGAATCTCAACAAGAAAATGAGATCTTACCCCCTACGAAGAGATGTATCATCTGTGTTGCTGTGCCAGCTGAATTCGTTGCTACACATTTATACTTTCCTTCATCTTTAAGCCTCGTTGAAAGGATATTCATGACAGTCTTTTCCATATTGAACTCGACATTTGCCGTTGGCATTAAGGCAACATCGTTCTGGAACCAAGCGAAAATTCTGTGCATGCGAAAGAGAAGGAAACTTTGCGATGAATTATCGAAAAGAAGAAACATGTTTATTTAAACTTATAATGGAACGCAAGGATATGTAGATATAAAGCAGAGTTAACTTAATAAAGAAGAAATAAGCTTCTGTATGACTCCAGCATAAAATGCCGTCACTAAGAATTAAAGAATACTTAGGTCCTCAGCAAGGAAGAACCACTGTTTGTCTGCACTCAATTATACGTTAGCAATTCTGAATGCTGCTCAACTTTCCGAAGAATAGTCAATTTTTGACAGAGAGTAAACCTTTGTTTACAGTTTTTTAAAAAAGTTTTCATAACAGAAAACATCTGAACCATCAGTACAACAGATTCTAAACCGTGCTAAAAGCTGAAGCGTACCTTGAACCATTGAATTTGAGGTTCATCGCCGATAATATCACAAGGGATCGAAGTTGGCTGGCCTTGAGTAGAATTCACCGTTCGAAGACCTTCTTTATTGACCACAGGTGCACCTGAGAAAAAATGGAAAGGTTCTATCGACTATTACTACCCAAAACTCATTGAAGTCTCTCACTTATCGTATGCACATTGTATTCTATCTCGTCGCTGCCGGCGTCATTTTTCACCGTACATTTGTAAATTGTGACCTGGCTTGAAGACGCTGTTGTCGTAAGTGTTCCGTCTTCGTCTACAATAGAATTTTCATGAAACTTTGTCTCTCAGAACGGTCCTTGGAAAAATATCACCTAGGTCTACACTTTACAAAAAGACGTAGCATTAGTTCTTAAAATCAAATATTCTCTGGATTAATAGTACAGGTAACGTAATCGAACCAATGATGATGTTTGCGTTGTTAGGAGCCAGTTTGTCGCCGTTTCGAGTCCACGAGATCAACGGATCAGGATATCCACGAACTCCGCATTTCAATGAGAATGACGAACCGACGGGAACAGATATATTTGGAGGGGAGGTTGAAACAATTTTAGGAGCAACTGAAATAGTGACACAATCAAAGTGAAAAAACAGAGCTTCGAAAATAGACAATGCTTCACGGGCATCATCAGCTTCATATGTGGCATTCTAGAGCCCTTCTCCGGTAAATCAATGGTTGTTAAGCTTTTGTTGCTATGGCAATGTCGAAGACGTCATAAAATTGGTCACATTTTGGGTGTCTGTGTTTTTACACTCTTATTTTTATGCATGTTCTAGGTGAATATCGCGGTAATACGGTAGACGTTAAGATGACGCTCCCGACTCGTTCAGAACGATGTTAAACTTTAACGCACTTCTGCATCACTACAATATTCATAATATGCTTCTTTCGACCTATGTCAAAAACCAAAGACGGAATTCTATATGGCAAAATGTCAAGAATGAGACGGGTCGAAGACGCAACGCGTATGAACGACAACCGATGGTCAAGAGCCGTTTGTGACTGGATTCTCATGGATGTGAAATGATCAGCATAAAGACCACAGATACACTGGCCAGAATTATTCGCGAAGAGCTCAGAAAAGATTCGCTGTTCTTCGTGATGAGCAAGATTGATTTCTTGATAGCTCAGAAAAGATATATGATGCTCAGTAAGTCCCTAGAGTGAGTTAAACCTAATGAACCACTCTTCCAAGCGATGGAGGAAATCGGGAAAACTTAATGGCCATCGGTCCAGCAACTTGACGATCAACGGCACGGCAGATGAGACAGGTGATGCTTCTTCAACGATAAATTCCTACTCTAACTAAAATTCAAGCGGATTGCAACATAGAGCTCAGTTAGTGACTTCCACTACGAATAAATTTCCATCTTTGCTGTTATTTTTAAGCTACTGGCAAACAATAATGGCGCTTCATTTCCGCAAAATTTCGTTGTTTGGAAATTAAAGCAGGTGTTCGATTTGCATGCTCTAATATGGCTTCTAAAGCACTTCTAGCACATGAAGTTGACAAAACACTTGAAGAAATGGTATTCAGTAGTCAGTAGGCGGTTATCGGTAATAAGGAGTTTAGGCGAGTATGGTGGATGAGGCAGTTTAGTAGCCAAACTCGCCCAACATTTGCGACGAAGATAGTTCGACGTGTTGCAAATCAGTACGACTTCGATTTGACGAGCTTTCTGTATATCCAAATCTTCTGTGGATGTTTGAGCGGTATGAGTTCGAGTATGTATGATTATGTTTGACAATCAGTTGAAATGCTCATATCGAGCTCTTCTGCAATTCTCAAACAACTGTACATGTTATTGCTCCCATCAAACTCTTTAATTCACCGTCGTCAATGGCAGATTGATGCTCGCGTCAACGAAATTCGTAAAACTAACGTCGCATTATGCAATCGTTAACATTTCGTTGGTCCCATACTTCATCAATATCTCCAGCTGTATGCGCTTACTACGTTCGAGTTTAAATTCATAAAGATAAATTTGTTGAAATTGAAGTTTTGACTTCCCACTTCCAATCCAACCTGCAAAATTTGGCAAAGGTTCAATATGCAGTATAATCACATAAAACATGTTTTGCATCTATACACAACAGTGCAGCATTCGAATGGAGAACTACTGCAAAAATATGCACAACAATAGTAAGACTACAAGCCTTGCATTTATTTCCGAACAGCCTAGTAACAATGCTTATTCCATTCCTCTACATATGTGAGCACAGCCGGAGATAGCTAAGGCGAGAAAAAGCGCTGTTCGCTAATGGAGAATCAACGACATGGACTCACCCAACACTTCTAAAGTGTACGCTTGCTGCTCACTTCCTGCTTCGTTAGTCGCTGAGCACACGTAAATGCCGGAATCAGAACTTCGGGCTTCAATAACGGTGAGAATCTGAAATCGACTCTAAATTACAGGATAGAGTAGACAGATCACGCTGAATACCGTAAATCACAAAACATGGAATCCTCTAATGAATTACTTCCACAGTAAAAAAATTTACTAGTAATATCTTTGGCTATTTGCAATCCTCTTCTTCCCAAACTTAAACCGCGAAATAACTACATAGAAATGTCCACAGAAAGCATCTCACACCTGCGTGGAACACCTACCTTATCAATAATTAACAATTGCATCACCTATCGTCATACTGATCGTCGAGTTACCCGAGCGAGCGCCAATAAATTTTCCATTTGTTCTTTTCGCGTGCAAGAGTAACCCAGTGAATTCTGCTCGTTCAAGAGACTCGCTGAGGATCATATCTATGCTCTAGAACTTCTGTAAAAAAATTAACCATGAAGTCCGCAGTGTGCCTATTGTAGGTTTCACATCCTAAGAAACTTAGTCGCTAACGGCTCATGCCCAATAGTTTTCGTTCGGACGTATTACGTTTTCGGCCCGACTGATTTTTGACATTTAAGCATGAATAACGGCGTCTCTGATCTTTGACCGCTAACTTAGATTAGAACATCGCACTCTTCCTTTCATTTGCGTGATACGGGATACTCTCAGCGTCGTCCATTCGATTATGCCTTCGATAACGCGGAGTAATCTTTCAACCTGCTTACGTAACAACCAGCTTTCTGACGCACATGATAAGGCCAAAAAACCCTAAAGTCGGAAAGGTGGGCATGGAGTAGGGTGTTCTTCTTCTCTTCACTTAAGTCATGATGCTCTTGAAGGCATCCCAAGCCTCTTGCTTCCTCCTGATAAACTTTGGAGCATGGTAGTTCATCACATTGATTTCTCGACCTAGACAGACGTAGGTGGAGCATTCGAAGATATTCGTTTCGTTCAGCGTGAATAGAGCTTACGAAACCTATCCGTTCTTCAACAACGCATTACATTTGTGAGATTTAGTCGAAGACCAATCTTTCCAAAAGCGTTAGCAAAGTCGGCTATTCCTTCCACCTAGCTAATGCACGGTGCTATAAAAACGATGTCGTCAACAAAGTAAAGGTGGCGTAATTGCCGGCCATCGATTTCCGTTCCCATTTTGTTCCATTCCAATGCTCGTCGACATTTTGTCCGCAAATAATTTTAACTAGATGGAATCATTTAACCGAACCCATTTGTTTACGTCGATATTAACATCGTTATAGAATAATGATAATCTGGCAGTGAAACTCGTACTTACGGAGAAACCATGGTTGCCCATAGCTTCAACTGCCGCTTCTATCTCAACTGAGGTAGGACCCTTCTTTAAAACGATAAAAGTGAGAAACAGGAGGCTCTTATACCCTCATAATTCTTCGGTGAGTCTCGCGAACGTGTGAATGTGGTCCGTGCATCGTAATCAATGCTTTTCATTAGGAAAATTGTACGTCCAGCGTTGAGAATGGGGCTTTAGGAATTGCCAGTTACAATAAATATTCCTTGTCGCCATGATTAACTTAGCCACTCACAATACTTGTTCTATTCTAATCCGTGCATCCCAATATGACAGTCTTAAAACGTTCTTCTTCGTGCTACCTTAACATTAATATCTCCAATAATCACGTTAAAGAATGTGTGGTCTTCTCTGCAGAAATTCTCTTTGTCTAGTTCGACTTCGTCTTCGTCATCGCTTTACGTCGGCGTGTAAACGACGAAGATTCTAACAACCAGTAATGATCCATATCATTTTAACAATAAGCAGCCAATTCTAGTTTTCAGTTAATGCCGATGAATTCTCTATTGCAGTATGTTCCGGGGAGTTCTATTACTCTACTATAGTATCCTTACTATAGTTCCTAAGGAAGTTAACTAGCTTAGCGTTATGATATCGAATTCGACTAATTAAACGACACACAATTTCAGCAACCAATGTGGTGGCGTGTAAAACAATCTACTAGGTTCCCAGGATCGACTTTCTATTAACCTCGGCATTGGAATAAGAATGCGTCGTTTTCTTGTTCAGCAATCGCGAGGTTTTTTAAATAGCATACATTTACTTCCATAGAGAAACACAATGCAATACAACACTAGCTGACGTTTCGGCAGCATCGCCTTGTTCAGAGCCACTTTTTACGTGACTTCCAATGAGGAAGTTTAGAACAGCTGATTATAGTCGCATATGGTTGATGACTCATCAACCAGTTGACCAGTTGAGCATCAACCAGTTGATCAGTTGAGCATCAAGCAGTTGATCAGTTGAGCATCAAGCAGTTGATGAGTGATCAACCATATGCGACTATAATCGGCTGTTCTCAACTTCCTCATTGGAAGTCACGTAAAAAGTGGCTCTGAACAAGGCGATGCTGCCGAAACGTCAGCTAGTGTTGTATTGCATTGTGTTTCTCTATGGAAGTAAATGCATGCTGTTTGAAAACCTCGCGTTTGATGAACAAGAAAACGACACAGTCTACTAGATTTCTTCAAAAATTCTTCTGTTATCTAGGCCATAGGTACAAAATATGTAAAATATGATACGTTTTTTTTCACCAATAGAGAAAAAAAACGGGATACCATCAATACCAGTAACAAACCTTGCCTTCAGCGATGTATCGTACACCCTGTACACCAGTCTCGACACGAATTCCGTTTCTCAACCAGCTAATGACCGGTGTTGGATAGCCTTCGGCCAGACATTCAATTCTGGCCAGTTCTCCCTCAATGACCTGTTGCGCTCCGCCATTCAAAATGAAAGGAGCTTCTGAAGGAATTAATTAAATCAAATAACATACAGGGCAAAAATCATAACGCAGTACTCACGAACGATTTCCACGTTATAGAATACGGTATCATTTCCAGCCACATTCACTGCAACACAAGAATAGACCCCTCGATCTTTCAGTGTGACATTATTTACCTGAACTTCAATGTCCTTTCAACAAAACTGGTAACAAACTCCATATATTAACGTACCAACCTTAATGAATCTGCCTGTGTTCCCCAGCTCAATTCCTTCCGTTGTAGAGGTAATTTCGGTACCATTGATAAACCTGGAAACCTCTCAATATCTAATAAATTCATGTAAGCCTAAAGGTGAACAAAAACTATTAAGCGAGTGTAGATGGTTACCATTTGATTTCAGGTCGTGGTTTTCCACTAGCATCACAGATAAGCATAAGAATCTGACCAGTTGGAAGACGTGGTGACATGTCAATGTTGTTTCGATTAATCACTGGTGGTACTAAATTCTTGTACATGGTATAATGTCAAACACTTCACAACTACTAGAAGCTGTCATACCGAGGACGTCTACATGTATTGTCGCCTCTGCGTTTCCAGCATCATTGCGTGCATTGCAAGTGTAGTCATCTACATAGGAGAGCTCCATGTGAGGAATATCAAGACGTGCGCCCTGAAATCAAGCATATACAAAGTGGAAAGCAGTAAAGGATGAGCAACGCTAATGATCGAACGGTAAATTCTCTACATAAAAGCATAAAACAAAAACAAGAAAGGATAGTTAAAACCTTTAACGATATGCGAATGCGGTCAACGCTGTTGAAGACGGGTTGTCCTCCTTTTAACCAAGAAAGGTTCGGCGGAGGGTTACCAGTCGCTTCACATAATAATGTTACGGTTTCACCGACAGCTTTGATCGCACCATCCGAAGTCACGCGAACAGTTGGTGGAACTTAAACAAAAACAACTTCGTTTTAGAATGATGTATAATTATAAACTTCGATTCTTGCGTTAAAGTAGGAGAAAAGTTTGCGAATAATCATTGATGAGCGGTGGTTAACCTAGTAATTAACTACTTATTAAATAATAAACAAGATTTTAGAAAACTGTAGCAAACGATCAGACGCTATGTTTTGAAACAACCGCTTACTGCAACGTTATATGAAATATCACCCAAAGTATGCATAAAGATCTCTATCTAATCTTACTCAAAACATCGAGCTGAATTTCCAATTCACGAACACCAGCGTCGTTCTCGGCAGTGCACACCCATACCCCAGCATGTTCCCTCTTAGCGTCCATTATGTCTAGCATTTGCCCATTCTCCAGAATCCGAATACTTTCGCTTGCTGAAAATTTATAGGCACGACATTATGATTTTATATCATGCATTTGGATTGCAGCTTGAAGTTGGTAATCTCCAACTAGTTTAGAAACATACGAGGAAGTTTTTCAAAAGAATGTTCATAAAAGCAGGATATCTCTACCATAATAACCAGCAACCAGTATAAAATCCCAACAAATTCAAATCCAATATGTTCACATTACTTTTACAAATATAAAAACTACATCCTCATCAAGATTGGAACCTACACTCTTGATGCGTAACCATAATAAATGAATTGTGATGGGAAGCAGATATGATTCATGAAAGCGGACAATTCAAGTAATTCCCTAGTTAATAAATCTCACGGTCTATTTACTATACGTATTGTCGCTTACTCATATATATGTATTTTTTGTTACAATCGTTCGAAAAACCATTAAAGTGCCGAGCCAGCTCATACCTTCCACATCGACACCGTCTTTTCTCCAGATGATTGTTGGCAAAGGGTGACCAGTGACGATGCAAAACAACGTGACCGGTTGTCCAACCGTAACCCGCGGCACGGCAACGTTTCGCGACGCATCTATGGTCGGTGGCGCTAAAGAAGCAAAATTCGGCACTAAAGTTTACCACTATAGTGGACTTAATATTTGCAGAAAAAATAACGTCATTCACGAAAGCTTGCATAAACGAAACGAACAACAGAGTGGTAAGCACGATTGTTAATTGCTCGAAATGCACATGACCTTGAATGGAGCCCCCGCGACTCCTTTGATGGTTATTTCGCATTCCGTCGCTAGCTCATAATTAAAAGTGTTTTTGAAACGATTCTTGTATTCCTTTAAAATTTGCTTTGGGTTGCTAATTTATTGTGCTCACGATTGTCGCCTGCATTCATTTTCCCCAAGTGAAAATAATACTAAGTTTACTGGACGAAATTACGGAATAGTAAGCAAATAGATTTTGTTTGTTGTGAGCACTCACTTCTTGAAAAACCCATTACCAAGGCCGATGGCATCAATCTTAGGCTTAAATAATAATAAATAAGCGAATTAGTGCAAAGAATTAACACAGAGAAACACATGGATTAAAAAGTACAAGATTAATTTTGTTTAATACGTTTTTAAACGCATTTGCATCCTGAGCCAAACCGTCTTCCACTACGTAAAAAGCAAAACAAGCCATTCATGCAAATCCAAATTCATTAAGCACATGAACGGTTAGAAACCAAAACAAAAGACTATGCCATAAGACATGGACAAGCCAGAGCTTCCTGGAAAACTGAAAGTTAGCGTTGAGATGGATTTTAGTTCTAACTATGTCAATCATATAGTAATGTATAAAAATCCAAAACTTCGCGTCTTTAGTGCGTACGTTTCTCCCGAGCACTATTTCATAATGGCGATATGAATTTGCGAAAACTCGAAGTTGCTCGACTACGGCTGCACATAGTTCTGGAAGACCACATAATAGACAATTTGCTGTCACGTTGATTGCCAAGGGAGTCCAACTTCTATTTCATTTTATGATCGCATTATTCTGCAGCTAGCAAGTTAGCGGAAGCGGCAAAGCGATTATTAGCGCGAAGCCGTAGTTCTTCATAAATGCATGACTGCTAAATTCATACATAATATTTCAACTTTGAAATCCAATGACGACTCTCCGGCTCGATTAATCGCAACACAAGTGTATGTGCCGGTGTCAGTAAGCGATGTGGACGATATCAGCAGCCGACGAGCATCGTTCGAAATCTAAATTGTGATTCATAACCGATTGTTTCATCCTTTTGAAGTGCTGATCATTGGTTTTCTTAATTAAATGCCTAGGTAAATTTGCAACAAGATATCTTCATCTTACTTACAACGATGTTAATAACTTAAGCATGCACCTAGTCCACGGAATGTTATCAAGATGAATTCTACAAATAAAAAAAATATGGCTGAAAATTTCCTTCAGTCAGCAAGCCCCACAGTATTCGTGTCTTGCGGAAGTGCACTAAGTTACTATTACTGATTATTAGAACTCGATTTATGCAAAATTGTGCTATGAGGGATCATAACTCAAAAAAGAAACGAAGATGGATTTGTGGACAAGCCTTGACACCAGCTGTATTGTCGCGTTCAATGGGTCGTCCATCCTTAAGCCAAGAGACATCTGAAACGCCAGACGTGGCATCAACTGCCGACCTCACAGGGCAGGTGAGCGATAGTGCATCTCCTTCTCGTTTAGCAATTGACTGATTCTCAACGTTTTCAAGCGTCGGCGGTACTAAGAGGAAATGCTTTATCAACTCAAGAAGGTGAAAACAATTTGAGAAGTTTCGATGAGCTTTTTGGCTTACGATGGGTCAACAATTTGCCTACTACGCACCATTTTCTTAAAATATCCAACAACATATCATTGGAATTGGACTCACTTAAAACTTCAAGATTGAAGTCTTGCTGCACAGTACCGCCTTTGTTCGAAGCTATACATGTGTATCGCGCCTGATCTTCTGCCCGAACACCTTCTATTCCGAATGTCTGATTGTTCTGAAAATAATATTGTTAACATTATTAGACGTAAAAAACTGTAATTAATATTAGCAAATTGCATTTGGTGGCAGAAATAGATAAAAAATAAATGGAAAAATTGGCACAGGACTTACTTGAGCGAAAATGATTCTCTTGTCACTCGCGTCAATCGCGTGACCGTCTTTCGCCCAGAAGACAATGGGTTGAGGTATACCTGTAAGAATGCCGGATATTGATGTGTTATGAAAGAAGAAAAACGGAAACAATAGTGCAGAATAAAATGCACCTGACACTGGGCACTCAAGATAGATGCTTCTGTCGATTATCGCCAGTGGATTGCCGATGATATTCGACTTGTCGATGTTTGGGGGAACGAGGACCTAGGAGAAGGAGAAATACAAGTCAATATCTTTTACGCATTAGTGGAAACTGTCAAGAGTACCTTAAGAATAAGATCGATATCGGAAGAACCAGCCTCATTACTTGCTTTACATGTATATTTACCTCCATCGGAAAGGGAAACTGCACGAATCGTCAGCTGCTACAAAATTTTGAACGGTTCTACGTCAAAAATATCCTGCTAACGCTGTTATAAACCTTCGTTGTTCCTAACATTTCGTGTCCTTTTTGATATCATTGTAAAATAAAAAAACTTCGCAAAATGTTAAAGTTTCACTTAAAATTTAAAATTATTTGTAACAAAACACCCCGGGTCTAAACGCGTATGTGTCACCAGGAAGCGCCACGTAGCCTTGCGAGTACATGGAAAGCGATCTATGACTATGTTGAGTGATTCTAGGAATGAAAGGTAACGCTCGTAGATATTACCCACACATTTGGTGTTACTCTAATGCTTTGTGGAAGTTACGAGTTCCTGCTCATTTTAACCAATGTATGGAGTAGCAAAAACAATAATTTATAATGGAATTAATAGCGCTAATGACACGCAAATATACTAGTTGTGACTGGTAATAATATCGACAGAGCTATTACATCACGCCAACAATGAAGGTATTCTTAACAAAGCAACTGCTGCCATAAACTTCTCTTTCAAGAATTACGGACTAGTAGAACATAGCTATAACTAAAAGCCGATTTCCAAACCATTTTCGCCCAGGTAGAAGGACTGCTGACCGATTTCTGCCCATGTGGAAAAATTGATTTTCGGAACAACTCCGAGTACTCCACTCTTGTATGAGTCCAGAAATTAATATGATGGAGGACGAACTAAAACCAAAGCTGGCCAGCATGGAGGAAGAAGCTTGGTGAGCTTACAAGAATATGGAAGTTCTGTTGAAGTTTGGTTTTGCAGCACATAGCTCGTTTCCTTAAATGTTGAGTAAGTACGATGAACAATATGGTAAGCTTTTTTAAAGCGTTCTCGTAAAGACCGCCATAGAACTGCACGGTATCGTGCGGTCAAAAAACTAAATCCGAGGTTTCAACTTTCATCGACTAACAAAAGGCCCATATGTGCAATAAAGTTGATAAATTATAGTTGTTGTTTACCTGTCACCGAGAATTACTAGATTATTCCAGCGCATAACACTTGTCGCTTAATTTAACGTTGCCCCAGCGTTTAACAACGCTTAAATTTCATATTGGAAACCGACTTCGTACAACTCATCCGTCGCCATTCAAACACATGGCCATCAATACGTAATGAACGATGTAAGTTTTTCGATAATAGAAGACAACTGAAAAGCATAACGTGTTAAGAACTTAGAAGGATTACAGAAGACAGTTTGCTCTATCGTTCTATGGGTAGTATTTACGTTTTCGAGGGTAACGCCTAACAGAACTCCTGTGTTTGATAAGCTATCGAATAAATACAAAGAAAAATCTAGCGGAAAAGTCTTGGACGAAAAATAAACCACTAAAAAGATGTACTGAAGCAATGCTCTTTGTCCACGTTTCCTTCGTGAAGGCATTGCAGCCCATGAATCCTGCATATATTTGTTAAGCCAGAAAAAAAACGGAATGAAAGAGCTGAATTACAATCGGCTTTTCATTCACTGCTATTTTCTTAATGCTTCTACAAATTTTTCAACCCAGTAACTACACATTACTCGAGATTGAAACTAAGTAGGTCGTCATTTCATTTTGTCAACCTAAAGTCACATAACTAGAGAATTTTGGAATAGAATCCTCGCTACGTTAGGTTTACACAGGAGTGATGAAGGAACTCGTTATTAAGGCACATCGTCTGCGGAGCTTCGACTGTAGATTAATCTTCTACAAACAGATACCGTAGCAAGGACTAATCGATAAGGTCGCCTCCTCATGTGGAGGATGTGGGTTTACCTAACGATCTTCTCATATGGTGAATATGGGTTAGCCCGTGTATCCGTCTCAAATCATAGGATTCAGACGATGGCTTTTATTTCACACTACGTGGACATATTTGCCGCATGGCTCAGGTTCGTCTTCTTCAAACATGTATGCGCAAGCCCAACGAACTACCCGAGTAAACTCCTACAGGAGGACTCCGCGAAAATCAAAGGTCTCCAGCGAAAACGGTGATGTTCTTCGTCCCTCTAGCGAACGGAGCCCACTGAGTGTGTAGGACGTGCAATGAAGGAAGAAGCTTTACTTGTTCCTGTTCTAGTTTCTTAATGAAGCAATAGATGAGAAAGATGGTCTTAAATTGCATTTCACTGCACTGTTTTAAACTTTATTATGTCATGATGCGTCAATTTTTCTTTCCTAGATTATTTTGTTTCTGAATAACGACGTACAGAAAAAAAAAAACTTGAAAAATTTCATCCCAAGATGAATAGTCAGTAATGAAAGTGTGGAAGCTCTCATCAAAATCCTTCGAACGTTTCCGTGTCACGCCTTTGTGTTTATCACACTGCTTAATTGTATCAACACTGTTTCTTAGTTAAATTCGCACAGTGAAAACATTCGAAACTAACCATGGCATCTGGGGAAAGCATCATATTTGAAGTCAGATACAGTGGCTGTTCACCTCGATACCAAATCACTTCTGGTTTCGGTTCTGAGACGACAGCACAATCAAGTGTCACTGTCTCGTGCTCAACGACTTCATACACAGATTCACCAGTACGTTGAAATTTAGGTGGAGCTGAAATTATCAGTATGTCTTCGACAAGACTGAAATATAGGTCGATAAGGTTTGTGGTTTGTTGCGGAATAATCCAGATATTTTTACTACTTGCTGCACTGAAGGGGATCAGAAAAATCAAAGAGTGTTTCACATGCCGGCTCTACAAAGGAAAAGCCTTCATAGGTGCCATTAAATGACAAAAACGGTGGAAGAGGCTTTATGGCTACCATCGAATGACAAAAAAACGGTAAAAAAGACTTTGCAGGTGTTGTCAAATGACAAAAAACGGTAGTTCACCGCAAATTAGATTTGACATATATCAAGGAGTGATACTCACTAATGGACACTTTCTGGTTCGACACCCGACTTCAACTTAAGAAAGCCTTCGATCCTCTTGTTCCAATAAATACGCAACGAATAGTGATGCAAAACATGGAGTTCAATCTTAGCCAAAGTGACCCAAATTAAGATTCCTATCCCGAAGCGGAATTAGCATATTACCTTCGTTATAAAAGACTACCATCATGAAGCAAGCAAGATTTCGACACATAAGGGACGACAAATACCTAGGTGACGATACAAGTACGCACGACATCCGCAGGTTTTGGTGAGAAAAAACTTTGTTGGCTAGTGGCTGACTACCGTCAGTACAATACTGTGCGTTCAATCGTTGATGAATACTCCAACGTCAAAATACGAAAGAGCCATGTGAACATCTTTCATATCCCCGTAAAAAATTATGCCTCCTTGCCATCATCATGGGATTGTCCTTCTATAATGGATGCTAAACTCATGTTCAGTCCGCTATGATGTGATTCGGACAGAAGCTAAATGAACTCATTTTACTACCCGAGAATAAGAGAAGTTATGCACGACCAGAACATGCTGGCAGGAACCCTTACACTATATTACTAGAAAATATAAGAATATTAATGAGACCTTGCGATCAAAAGCATGTAGATATGCAGTTGTTCAACCACCCTACCATCTCCATAAGGAAGAAAACCGATGGAGAATATAAAAAAGGATAAAATAAAGGATAAAGCTCTCGGCGTTGATCAATCCCTGAGGGATGCACCATGCATTCGACTTCATTAAGTATCGTTGGAGGTGATTGAATGCATATCTGGCCTTTACAATGACTCCGGTGCCCTACCGATGTATCCAGCCAGTGCTGTTATCCTCCAAGTCTGGTAGCAATTTTCCGACTCTGGAGGGATGGAACGCTTGATGGGCCATGGACGCGTGGATGGATTGATTCACCGTGTGTGTTGAAGAGCATCTCCAACCGCTGCGCCACAAGATTTGCTTCGACGATGACAACATCATCATTGCGAAAAGACAAGATGTTCTCCAATTGCGAGAGCAACATATTGCGTGTGTGTGCGTGTACAATACTCAATGGGCATGGTGAAAGACAAAGACAAGGAACTGAACAAAAGAGAAAAGACAGGCCATTAAGCTTTATAGAAAAGCCATGACCTAAATGGTGGACCAATTCCCAGGCCTGCTTGACTCAACGGGCCTCTTCATTTCTCTTCTGTGACGCTCGGACAGCGGATAGCATCTCGAATGCACGGTTTATTTTGCGCACCACTCACGCAGAGCTTCTGTGACATCTTCTGAAACCCAATACGCGTAGAAAACGTCAATGTAGACCACGCAGGTCGAATCATCGAGAAATGCCTCGCGTTTGTGATCCAGTAGAATTTCCTTCTAAGGAAAAACACTAATAAGTCGATGACTTAGTGAGACCAACAGGTAACAGAGAGACGATGAAAGCAATAAACTGGGTAATAAGAAGAAGACTACCGCAGGAGCGCATGTATACAAAATTCATCCCAAATAGACGTATTCGCAGGTGAGAATGGTTTGTGGATCACGGAATATATTCCTAAACGACGTTACGCACGAAATGAGTCATCAACATCAAAGACGAACGCGTACTATAAAAACGAATGGGTATCTTGGCCGGAGATGCATGCAAGGATTGCTCATAGAAATATTGAAAAAAGCTCATTTCACGCTGTGGTCACAAGCTTACACTATGACGTTCTAAATGGAGATTCCTGCATAGAGAAGTTCAATTCACAGCACATTTTGATCTTGTTTTACGCCAACAAAGAATTAGATTGCACAATAATCACGCGCTTCTTACATTATTAGGCAGCGATCATTTTGAACATGCAATATAAAGGAAAAATTCGTTGCCAAATATATTGTAGGTTAGCTTCTAACCTACCAATTACTTCGGATTTGAAGTCTGTATCTAGCACGCCGGCCTCATTGTAGGCGTGACATGTGTAACGACCCTCGTCTTCTTTCTGTAATGACATATCGCAAAAGTGAAACGTCCAAAAATGAAATCGAAGCGCACCTTGGCTTGCTCGATGTGTAGGTGCTTCCCGTCGACTACAGTGAATCGTGGATCATCGTCCAATGGAACGTTATCTTTAAGCCAATTCACCTGGTGAGAAAGAAATATTTTATGCTGTCAGCAACAGCAAATGGAAAAGCCTACTTGTGGATCCGGATTTCCCAGCACAGGGCAATAAAAAACCAGTGTCTTTCCTTGAATGATATGTGGATTTTGGTTCAATAATTCATCGATATAAGGTGATTTTAAGACAGAAACCTGAACAAGGTCTAGTGGATTGCGGGATATTCGTAAGAAATCTCATAATGGTAATTTCTATCAATCTAACCGTAAAGCCGGCCTCGGACTCTCCAGCCGCGTTTTTAGCCACACAGGAATACGAGCCAGCGTCGGCCCTTCTTGCCTTTAGAATCATGAGCGTTTCGCCCCTCGGAGAGAGAATGATGTTCGACATATCCTCGATTGGACGACCTCCTCGTAGCCATCTTTAAAAAAAAATATGGACTTAGGTGTTGTCGTATGAACATGTTGAATATCGTTTTTACACTACCAATCACAATTCATCTTAGAGCAAGTTAAGAAACAAGAGACAAATACAGCCTTATTAAGACTTCTATTTCCAGTTCAAAAATGTCTCAATTAGGGCACTTTGAATAAATACAAGAAGAGCATGTCAAGTAGCTAGAAGTTACCCAGCGACTGATCCTCTTCCCACTGAACTAGTTGGGGAATATTCAAGAAGGAGAAGATCTATGGATAACAGTAGTAAAGTGATATCTGCATAATTGCAAGTATCATACCTATTTGTGAAAAAAACTGAATTCTATGGTGATAGGTTGAAACCTCTTCTCTTAACGTGTGGTAGCACGCAGTTATAACTGCTTATAAAGATGAAATATCATAACACTAGAAGGTAGAAATAAAACCGGGTATAGAAACATGCATTTTGAAAACTTGGATAGAAAACATTACCTAATAGTTGGCGCTGGATGCCCTTCAACTTTACACTTGAGACGAGCACGGTTCCCATCGACCACCTTGAAAAGACCAAAAGGGTATCGAGAAAGTAAAGCGATTTTGGAAAATAATTGCCACCCCAAACAATTTTCTTGGTCACGATTTTCCGAATATTTAGAACTTATGTGATTCTAATGGAGGCATTACGAAGACTCTTTTTTAAATAGAAGTATTAGAATTACAACGACCTGAATGTCAGTGAGGATTTCTTTGAATTTTGGTCGACTGAACACATCCACAGCGAAATCGGCAGAAACATGGCCGGCTTCGTTTCCAGCTGTACATGTATAGCGCCCAACATCAGAAATCATCGCTTTAGTAACAGTCAATCGGCTACCCTGTATGCCTGCAATTTAATCGAATTCCATCCGATATTGCTGATTTGCAATCTTGACAAAGTAGTAAACGTTATAATACAACAGTTTTTTAAACGTCCCAGACAACCAATGTTAGTTCTATTTATTGCCTGACTATAGAGTACAAGTTCTTCAAAGCATACATTTGCTCCCTCCCATCATAGGTTCCGAAAAAAAGGAAAGCCGAAAATAATTCAAGTACTCAACCTTCTAATTGCACCCCATCTTTCTTCCACGTAATTCGCGGTGAAGGGATGCCTCCAGCCACGCAGTCTATAATCAGTGTGCTATTCTCCTTAACTTGAATCACCCTCTCACCGTCCTCGATCACCGGAATCACTAAAAAAAGGGTTTCATTTTCGAACATTTACTCCTTCAAGCAGCAAAGGGATAACATTACCCAGAACGTGCAAATGGGTACTGACACGCTGCTCTCCAGCTTGATTCATTGCAATACAGGTGTATCTGTAAGGCAGCTCTAAGCGAAAATCTTTCACTTAAAAAGAACAAATTGGCTACCTTCCAGCATCATCTACACTTGCTTCTGATATGTGAAGATATCTAAGATTAGTAGAACTTTGAAGACTTTCCGATTTAAACGGCTGTCCATTCTTCAGCCACTCAACCGTTGGCGGAGGGTCGCCGAAAACCTAAACCATAAAACAGAATGAAGAATTTTGAATGCTATGTGCATTCGTAGAGAATTACCTCGCAACGAATCGTTGCTCCTCTACCAGCGACCACCTTCATCTCTTCAGATTGCATAAAAACTCGTGGTGGTGCTAAACAGAATAATTGAGAGGGTGAATTTTTCGTGGTACCTAGGAATACCGCTACTGACTATCGACCCTAACAAATGAGTGCAGATCGACCTATAAATAATAACGAGTGGAACAACTCATACAATTCACCGAGAAAACAGTGCCTGTTTTGGCCATGAGATAGATGGGCGCAATGAAAACAAATGACACTGCTAGCATTAAACAGCTGGTCATTTGTTCTTCCCTCTAGGCTAGTTTACTTCTCTATCTATATATGCTAACATATTACAAAGCTGCAAGTTTAACTTTATTTCCCCATTACCACCCACTACCACTGTTAGTATCAATACTTACTCATTAATTATTTGGACGTCATCGTTCGCATCATTTTATTTGGCTAACTTTTTCGGTTTTACTTTTCAGTTGAAGATCACATCAGCTATTTGTAACTCCATTAACGATCAAGTTAACCTAGCACACGTCTGCAAATTCTGCATTAGTGCCTTTAGCACTATAGAGATTATAAGTGGGCTTCGCTCGTTTACGGAATGCGAAAGGCATAACATTTTCACACGGGGCACTTTAGTTTTACTGTTTTAGCAAGAAAGTATCTACGGGTAACCAAACAGGCTACGCCATGAGTGCTAAACTCACTTATGGATGGATCGTGCTCTCCCCGAGTATACATACATCTTATTTATTGGCGGTGGCCCAAACTACCGCTTTATTTATGTAGACAAGGACATAATTTAACTAGGCGTGGGAACCCATCACCTGAATCCATCTCCGTCTCAGAGCAATTGCATAGATATTTCTCGTTCGTGTTACCTTTCTACACGCCACCTGGCGCCACTGTAAACAGTCTCATCACTAAACTGGTCTATAACATGAACGATATTTTAAGCGAGTGAGATCCGTGGTAAGCGATGATATAACTAACACAATGCTAGACTAGAATCAATAAAGCGGCACCAAGAAGCTTTTTACTCACTGCATATAATTAAAGAATAAAGGATAAAGTGTCCGCCATTGATCAATTCCTGAGGAATACACCATGCCTTAGACTTCATTAAACATAGACGTATTTAAGGGCACATCTTGCTTATAGAATTATTTCCCAGAGTTGTACAATGAACTAGTGGTGATCCTCACATTCCCAAACAGGTCATCCACAATTTTGCCAACTTTGAAAGAATGGAGGGCTTATTTAGCCCAGGGCGCACGGAACTGAATCAACCACCCTGCGTATAGTGCAGCGCAAACTGCGCTATGCGCCCGCATCACGCCCATAGTTATGAAAAGGAAGAGAATTAGCTACCTGTTGGAACAATAAGGAGTTCGCCGCAAACTACTAGAAAACAAACGGAGTATTTCATTTGAAATAACTGGAAGCCGATGCTTTTGGAAGCCTTTATTTTCGCTACACGTATTTCGCTTCACATTATGTAATTGTAGTTATGTAGAAAAGTCAAGGCAAAAAATTTTTTTTTGCAGAACTACTGTAGTTGTGCGTCACAGAGATACCGTGAACACCGTGAACAAAACATGTGCTGTCAAATGCCCGGTGTTCCCAACAGCGGTTGTGTTACACGACGAACATCAGATACCTATATTATACTATGATATGAAATGTATTGGATTTCCCACTGTCCTACTGTCGTAGCACCACTGCAGTGAAATTGAGACCTGATTCTATGGTTAAAAACTTACATAGAGTGAAACACCTACTAGTCAACCTAAATAAAACAATGGGTGATAGCGCTGGCGAATTTTGTCTTCGAGGTGTTAGACGGTTAACATAGCTCGATCGGAGATAAATGGTAAAAGTCTTCACCGATTACTTTTACGTGGGTGTCGCCTTCTGTCTTGCCAACTTTATTCTCCGCCTTACAAGTGTAGCGTCCTTGTTGTTCACTCATCACGTGACTCAAAACGACAGCGTGGTCGTTGTTGATGAACTTAACAAATTTAAGCTCAATTCAAATTAGAAGAAAATAGACAACATATATATATATGGCACTAAGTCTTGGGTATGCAAGTATAAATCTCACATGCACGTTCTCAGTTTGGAGCAACGGTTTACCGTCGAACAACCAACTGATAGTCGGAGATGGTGTGCCGTCTACGTTGCATGTCAACTCTACCGTCCGATTTAGGATTACATCCATGAAACGTGGATACTCGCCAAGAATGTTCGGCGAAACTAAGATTTTTTATAAAAGTTGGATTCGATAAGAAACAAGAAAAAAAATCTGAAAAGAAAAATAACACACATTTCACAACCAAAGAATGTTTTATTTTCTTTTTAATTTTATTTTATTTGAACCGTCTTCACGTCCGCTGTGCGGATCCCAACACGTCTCACATTCGATTTGTTTCTTCGCATCCATAGTTCACGAAGATCCTTCACTTCGAGGTTCACTTTTACTTGGCTTCGGTTGCTGCTTGAGGATTTCCATTTCATCTTAAATGTTGTACGATGCTGGTAGAGCAATTCTCCCTGGAGTCCTGAGATAGCTGGGCTGGAGCGCTCCCAATTGGGTTGCAGAGAGCGATTTTCCCCAAACGTGTCCGGTACCAATTTCCCGACCTCGGATGGAGGACAGGCTTGGTTAACCCGGAGCGAAACCGAGGTGTCACCATGATCGTGATGACGAACTTCACCACCACGTGCTATCAGCCTCCTACAACTAAGGAGTACTCGAAAAAATGCGACTTTGTCGCCAATTGTCGTCTAGCCATCCACCTCTTTTTTGTTTGCTATGAATTTTAAGCTTTCATTTGCAAACACGTATTGTATATCATAAGTATACCATTAACGATTGTGTCAAATACTGCTTGGTCCTCTCCAGCCTCATTCTTCGCTATGCATGCGTAATGGGCACTGTCAGCAGGCTCTACATGCATGAAGAACAGCTTGTCTCGTCGAAGAGAAGTCTTAACAGCGTCGTCTCTCAGAAGGTCTCCGACGGAGTTGAAAAACTTACCTGGATTCTCTCAGAAGACGTGATTGGTACAGAATTTTTTGTCCATAAAAATTCTACTGCTGAGTCCTGGAAAATTTCATCAACATACAGTATTAAGCAACTTTCGAACGAATTACCTTAATAGGACATTGCAAGGTTAATGGATGGCTCCGTTCAACTTCCACTGCTGCGAAGCGAGTCTCCATTAATGGAGGTTCTAAAACATTAATGGTGAATTTCTTATAGAGGGCGAGCCATTAACGCTGAAAATTCTTGTGTCCTACTCAAAATGGATACAATGAGATCCTTTTCAGCACGTCCTGCTTTATTCTCTGCGATGCAAGAATATCGACCTGCATCTTCGACCTTAAAACGTAGATTTAAATTTTGTGTTGAACTCAGGTTCACGATAGAGGTCTACCTTGGCTTCTTTGATATGTAGATGTAGTTTGTCATTCAAGAAACCGATGGTGTCGTTGAATACGTACCCATTCTAAAGAAATATTTAGTATTCACATGTTGCTCATCCCAAAGCCAGCTATGCAGATTAATGTTCATTCAATGACAAGAACATATGAGCGAAACTACTCTTCAAAGATAAATCAAGGAAATAAGAACTTATTCGTTGAAACTGACTCGAACTCTCACAAACACCGTAGACAAATTGCTTTTGCACAGCTCCAGCTTTTGCTAGCATCGTGTATGCTTAGTTTTTTACTCTAACAACTCTCGTTAATAAATTTCAATACAATTTTTTCTCATCGCCATACTCCAATGATCAGCGGACAACGATATCCTTGTTATTTTAAATTAGCCAGTCATAAGCGATAACAGCATAAAGAGGCTATCAGTATGAGGTTTCCTAGCACAGTTTGTTTGCTTGACGGTTTCTCATTGGCTTCCTTGTCGATTACTCCATTTTCGCCCATATCGCCTGAGCGATTCTCAGTGCCCAGCCGCTTAGGACGGCACGTGATTTTCATCGCTCACAGAATTGCTGGCTTCATGACAATAAACGACAATTTATTGGCAACTAGAAACCTTGAAAGGTTGTGAACATAACAAGATTGTAAAAGAAAAAACGGAATTTTGTAGGTAACTAGAGAACTCAAAGATCTGTGATAACGACAGAATTGCAGAAGAAACATTGCTCTATAGCACTATAAGTATGGATGATATCTGCGTTACTGTTCGTTACAAGTTACTATGGTGCGTCAAACATACATACTGCTGTCATTATTTGGAAGTGTTCTATAAGTTATGTTGTGTCCATTCTAGCTCATTTTATACGCGCACATTCCACCTGGAAGCTGTGATTCACTATAGTGATTAAGACAAAAATAACAATAAACTACTCTTTAAATTATCTTTCAATGAACTCTTTCATTCATGCTCTGAGGATTTTGAGCGCCAAATAAGCGATCAGAAAGAGTATGATCACAAATGTCGCTTGAGGCGCCCATGATTGTTTAGAATGCACATCGTCTGTTATGTGTTGATATTAGTATTTCTATTTGCTTTAGCGAATATTGCATAAAACAGTAAAACCGTGAAGAAAGCGTTGTTGTATCTATGCACCCTAGGCACATTTGCCTCTTCACTTCTAGATTATCCACGCTTTCTAGCAACAAAAACGAAATCAAAGTTCTTACGCATGAATTAATCTAGAACTTTTGAAAAAAATGCACAAATGCTGATTAGATAGATGCTGTGAAGTGGATAGGTTATCATACAATGTCTGAGAGAAGGAAAAAGAGCCGATGCTTCAATTCTCCTTTTATTCTAATGAAGAGTAGCCCAGTATTCATGGCCATATCGATGATGCTGGTGCTCGTTAGACGACAAACGTTCATGATCGCTTTAGATATGTGATTTATTTCGTTGTTAAATGAAAAGCGAGCGTCGGCTCTTTGTTCATGATTGCAAGAGTATTCTCACGAATAGGAAAACTCGACGCACAAGTGCCACGTAGCTATATGACTTCCAGAAAACCATGACGATCTAATTCAAAGGAATTGATGCGTCTCTCATGGTAACGGTGAGAAGGCATGAACACATAATCTAAACTCGATGTACCGATGAAATTAATTCCACTCATGCCAACTAAGGAATTTCGAGTGTGTTTGACGTCTCACTAATTAGAAAAACAACAAAAGCACACCAAGCCACTCTATGTTCTATGATGGAATAAAGTGGCGGATCGATCAGGGTTTCGGCAGCGTTTATCGAACAAATGAAATGCTCTCCGAGAGAGCGAACAGACAACACGATCGATGAAAGTCGATGCTTAAGCAACAGCTGAGTTCCAGCAAGATGAGCTAAGCTCAGTAATGCAGAACAGGGATTATTTGTTTAAGGAAATTTCCACGCATTTGGCGCTTTATTGTACCATTAGGGTGAAAGCGTAACCTACTTAGAAATTTGGGACTGTAAAACACATTTCTTTCACCCCGGACACATCTGTGTGTCCATGACCACCGTTCAGGTGTGCGTATGCTACCACAACGGTGTGCATGATACTTGACTGTGAAATTAGGCGACGGTCTAACGATATTTTGAGTCTATGGAGAGTTTTCGCTCGAAACAAATGGCGAGATTGACATCCTCCCAACGAAAGTTTATAACGCTTTTATCCACTCTAAATGGTCTCCTATTATACTCGCCCTGCCGAGTAAAGGAAAGCGAGTTGACCTAACGTTACCGCGCAGTCCTTACAGTGTTTAGTGTCGCAGCGAATTTAAGCGGCTGTTTACGAGCGTCATGCACTCAGGCAGGCATTGCAACTCAGTAACCTCAGGGGATACTTCGTGGTTGGACGTATTTCTTGAACGCTAGCTGAATTTGTTGCACATATCCGGCGCTGGTGCCGGGGTGGAGCTAAGGGGCACAAGCAGCAGCAGAGGGCGGGATCGCAATGCCTCCAGCACAGCAGTTCCTCCGTGACTATGAAACCACGCGAACTGTTCGCAGCTCAAAACATGCCATCTAGAATCGCTGTTATTCACAAATCACCTTCAGTAACGTTATTCAAACAAATTATGCCTTCAAAATCATCCGAACAAATTACAACCCCGAAGGAATTTTCAATAAGCGTTAATTCATTGCATTACGTGTTTACATACATCTACATCATATTAATCATTGGCACGACAAGTGAGACATGCGTGAAGGAGGGCACAATTTGTTCAGAGAACAACGCAAGTGTTTGTCGAAACGGAACGTGAGTTCTCTTCAGAAATACTTTTCAGCAATTTTCATTCGTGTATTTTCGCATAGTCGTATGTTCTATTGTCATTTTTTTCTCCCTCTGTAAATTGAACAAGTCAAAATCAATGTGAGCGTGAGAATTCCTTTATGCGACTGAAGCGCATACTTGTAATGAAGTTAAGCTTCAATCTTTCTCGCTTGCTGCTTGCCATTCTTTGCGTCTAATCAGTTCACGTTCAACTCAAGTATAACCCTTCAAACGTGTAATTACTGTTACGCATAAAAAAGAAAAAAACGTCTACAACTATACCATTACAAGGCTCTCGTCTCCAGTTCTCCAGCTACAACTAGATGTTTAGCAAGAAAAGATCCCTAATGTGTAGTACTGCATGAGATCTCCTTGTCACGAGGATATTATCTTAACAATGCAATAGTGAGAAGTTCTAGAAGTGCGACCATTGGGATCACCACGTGTTAATGGCTCTTTTTTATGACATGCTCAGTTACGGACCAATTTATAATTGGTAGATTGTAAGTGCAACAATTTTCAATACAAAGGAACTTTTCCTAAAAAAAATAAATATAAAATATATATGCAATGTAAAAACGAAGAAAGGAATGGTTCTGCATTCGTGCAGTATCCTTTTCAACTTTTTTTCCTCTTTTTTTTTCTCTGGCAGTAACGACTTGTCACTGGGATTAGGGCAACAGAAGTGTACTACCACAACAACGAGCAATTAACCATAATGTTGTTCTGACCAACATTTTCTTTCCTCTTGTATGGAAATCTCTTGCATTCACTATAACAAACTATAGACGTGGACAAAATTCCTGTCAAGCGAATACTTGCATGGGTTAGTGAGCAGCCGCATCAGAAGAATAAGAAGAAGAAGATAAGGAACAGCTGATCACCGCTACATCGTCATCAATGTCAAAGACGCAATTAAAAACACACTGAACGTGATGTGCTCGATGGTAGTTTGATGTGCCACGTTTCATCTCATCAAGCGTTATTAAATGGGGGTGAGCACTATATACGAAGCCTGACTTAGTTGTCAACGCCATTTCCTTGGCTTTCCCGGAACGCTAATATGCCAATCCTGCCATTTTGTGGCTCAGCGCATTGCTGTTGTCGACATTCTACTAAACATACGATAATGGGCCAAAATGCCTACTCCTTAGGGAAAAGCCGGATTGTCGAGAGATAATTGATTGTGTCCAACAAGGATTTCTTCCGATTGTGTATGGATGTGAACAGCGCTTAACAACTTCGACGAAGTCGCCTGCACTCGATATGTCCATATATAATTCCCACTGCGTATACGAATATCCCCGTTGAGATATGCATTATTTGGCAATCATACAAAGCATTCGTTGTAGTCCGGCGAGACATTGACGAGATTTTTGCCCGCTGAATCCTCAGGGAGAACAGAATGCCCGCGATGATTTGAGACTAAACGAAACACACTAGAATATTGTCTGTTTAGGAGCTTGATGTATCAGCCAAGTGCTCATTTGCCATTCATGCTCCGACTAGAGCACATTCACAACATACACACAAATACACACAAACACACACACATCCACCCACATTATATTGTATAAACTAATGTCTTGACGCCCTCCTATTGCACTAGTGTTCGATTGCTGGTGCTTTTCACAATGGACAGATCTGTATGACGCAGAATACATCGCTTTGCATACATAAAACATGCAAATGACGTTTTCAAAACACAAAATTTTATAACAGCGTACTTGACACTAATGAGGGCCGATTTTTACGCTGTTTCACTTTGAGTTATGATGCTAGTGAGGAAGTTACTTCGGTGCGGTAAGGATTTCCGGGGTGTTGTGAGCCACTCCAGTGACCCCTCCCCCCATTATGTTGCGTATCGATCTATCCACGAAACTGAAACTCGCCGCCAAACATGAGGATAAAGCACTGGCAGAATGTTTCTCAGTGCCTCTTCTCTCCGGAGCAGAAATACCTCCCCATTCATCTCCACTCAATCATTCCCCATAATGCACACAACTACAGAATAACGACGACGCAGGCAGTGTATATTCAAGGGCCGCGTCGCATGGCCCTTCATAAAAATTACGTTTGGAAATGTCCCGTTGTCTTAACATCGTGAAGAGAGTATATGGGAGATCTTTAGTGATTCAGACTAGTCTGCTGCATTAATTCTTCGCCGAATCCAGGCGACAGTAATATAACACTACGAGAGACACCATACAAAATGCGATTCCGTAAAACCTCATGTTTCCGTAATAAGCACCCTTTGCAACAGTAATCTGGAGTAACACAACTGCAGTTTAGAATCTAAAATCTCATATTTTCATGACTTTACACTCGACATTTACAGGTGCATATCGGCATGCTCTCTTCGGGGTATGAGGGAATGTCAATGTGATGCCGAAGAAGACAACTACTGCTATTTGTGTTGTGGTAATGCCGATCACCAATGTCAACCAGCCCATCATCACAATATTTTGAGGTGACATCCCACTCATTCACTACATTTTTCACGAATCCATTAAACCAATCGAATATAGTGCTTCAAAAACTACATTCGATCTGCAAAAAACAAACACAGATTTCTCCATTAAGCATAAAAATCTAATTTCTCTTCGTTCATTTCGATAGCTATTATCCGCTTCTAGTGGAGAAGGATGGAATTTCCTTGCTTGCCATTGTTATTAATTCGGTGCGTAGCAATGAACGAAGCCGCTCACGTATTGAATTACTAACCAATTTTCATGCACTGGAGTCAACCGAGCAGAAATGCTATGGGAAAGGAAATGAAATCATATAGGCACATCGATAGCACAAGGTGTGTGTGTGTGCATGTGTGCTGTGTGGTGTATGTGTTGTATGTGTGTTTCTTGTGTGTGTATGTGTATGTGTGTCGGTGTGTATTTGTGTGTATGGTTATGCGTTTATGTATGTATGTGTGCATGTATATGTGTATATCTGATGTGTTTACGAGTGAGTGAGTAAGTATGAATATCACCTCTGATACGCGAATAAACCTCATTATGACTACGGAAATTCAACGTCTAATGCAATCAGAATTCCAGAACTACTGCATATGAGTGGTTATTCGTCAGCCCATTAAATTTCAGATATCACGCGAACTGAGGAAACGACAAGCAGATGTTAGCAAGATGAGAGTTGTTTGCCACCTTTCCCGATCGCTGTATCTATCCTAGTGCACTGCGCGCAGGTGTTGAAATGCCTTCACGCAAAACTAATTCAGCAAGCTACTAATGAAATTATACTCCAGCACGGGCGTATTCAACCATAGAATTCGTCTACAGCGGTCATATGCACTACTAAAACAGTATGGCCGGTAACGTTAAGCAGTTGATTTCTAGTTTAGTTAACCGAACGCTAGGCTATATATATAGTTTATCATTCCACCATACAACGGATTGATGGGCAAAACAATAGCAGTACATTAGCGAGCACATCCTTGGACGACATCCATATAACTTCAATTTAATGTAGACTTCTATTGATTTAATTTTTTAGCATTTGTTAACACATGTTTTCTTCCGTTGCAGACCAAACGGGGAACGCTGGGAACGCGAGGCGTGTTCACGATGCCGAATGCATGGAGCCGAGTTGGAGGGTTTACCTTGTGACGATACTGATTTGGCTCGTCTTTGCATCAGTGGTAGATGCTCGAACTCTGTTTGCCATACAAGACAACCAGGATCGTTCTGCGATCGAAAGTACGTTTTTCGGTGCTTCACGAAACTATTGCGAAACGATACAGAAGGAACTTAAAAGAAACAGTACACTTGTTCTTAGTGGTATAATAGAAATATCCATATTTCCACATTCTTTGCTCCAATGGCGAAGGTTGTACCTTAGAAAAATGGCGATATGCCGAAATTAAAGGCATTGTGTAAAGAGCCTGTTACATAATTACTTTATCGCCCACCAATTCACGCAAACTGACGGAGAAATGCACTGAAAGGAAGAATTGGTAACGCATCATTGAAATGAGGGAAAATCGGCGCGATTAAATGAATTCGATTTCTACCAAATTCGTCAATATTCAATCGCAGTCATAAACTCTCCCATCCAACTGCATGAAATCAGTAGTAAATAACCAGTTTTCGCATGTTACTTTAGTAAGTTCAAGAAATATACACCGTCAAAACAGGCGCTAATTCAAGGAAATAAGATTTCCCACAGGTTTTGTTGGATGGTTCAACATCGGCAATGCGATTTATGCGACACTACTGCCATAATTAACAGCGTAGAATCCACATGCTCGGATCCCCAAGAAAAAGACGAGAAACGATGACGAACAGCAAACAGCACTAACGATTCCCCATAATAAGTGCCTTTATATTAATTGTATCAAGCAAAAGTATGTCTTGACATTTACTACACTCAAGCGTTAACGCAATCCAGAACAAAATCGCGAATATTCCTGTGAAAAGTCGAAGTATGAAACGAAATTGACAGCTTTAGTGGTGTAAATGACTTCTGCATAAGTTTGAACGTCTAGAAAATCACACCTAATATATTCCAAACTTCTTCCACAACGTTTTCCAAGATGGTAGTAGGAAAGGGCATCGATTTCATTCTCTAATCAAATTTTTAAAGTTTACTTTAGAATAAGACAAATGTATGATATTTAGAATGGAGAAGATATGTGTGGACAACACATGCGAGAACCCATGCGCTCGATTCGCTCCACATTTGATGGTTTGCGATTGTCCGGCCATCGACCAGGACACCGGATTTGCCTCAGAGGATCGGTGCCAGCTGTGTTGTTACGACTTCAATTTGGTATGTGGATAGACGTGTAAATAAGTGTATGCACGTTGAATTACTCTTTCACAAATGCTATCGCTCTGTTAGTTTCTTGGTTTTCGTTAACGTTAAAGACGTTTTCCTTTACTCCTTGCGCAATCACATTTAGTCGTAATAAGATTCATTATTAACTATGAGTTTCTAAAGATATAGAGGAAATTTGATCTTGCTTTTCGCTGCAGGCCTGGGGAGAAGCCGGTAGTGTTTCAGTGATACTGAGACACCGGGATTTTGAGAACCTATGCGAATTTGACGTCGAGCTCAGTTCATAGAATGCTTTTCTAGTAATGTTCTTCGCCTGGTAATTTTCTTTTGTACATAATATTATTTCGCTATACATATTATTTATTCTATCATTATTTTTTATTTTATTTTGCTTCATTCATTTATTTATGCTTTTACATTTTTACACATATTTCCCTTATATATATATATATATATATATATATATATCCTTAGAAACGATTGAGAAAGGAATATGCATCGATTCAAGTGATTGAGTATCTTCGTCAGAATAGTCAAGCAGTAAATGAAGTTGGAATTGGAATGAGGATTGCTATATAAACCCATCCATCTAACCCGGACCCATCAATCTCAAGCGTAAAGTGTAATTTAACGCAAAACTCCCCCAATAGAACCTAACTTAAGCACGACATCTCCTTTCAAATGAGCAAGTAGATAATGAGGTTCTTCTGAATGGCAAAATCTTTTATCAACACTAATTTAGAAACGCTTTCCCTATCCTCATTTTCAGAAACCGGCAAATCGACGATGCCAAAATGCGTATCGCAAATACAAAGTGATGGATTTGTTTCAAAAACCTATATGGCGAGTAGGTTTGGAGTGTGCCGGTGGTAAGACCTGCAACAAATATGGAGTGTGTGCATCATGCACACTGAAATACGCATGCCTTCTGATCGTTCCTTTTCTATTACGAGTAATCAACTAGATCTCTTAATACATCTAAGAAATCGGCATTTGATTATACCTTCATCCATGTAATTGTCGGTTTCGGTGTACCAGTAACTGAGCAATCGAGAGTTACCGGTCGACCGATGATGATAGACTGGTTCAGGTTGGTCATATCAAGGAATCGTGGCAGCTCTGAAAAGCAAAGGAACAACTGATTTCCAAGATTTTATTATTCTAAATACAAATAAAGTGGTAGCATACCAAGTACAGATAGATCAAATGTTTTTCTTGCTTCACCAGCCTCATTACTGGCCACGCAAACGTACTTTCCAGCGTCACTTAGACGTGCATTGCTAACTTCAACACGCCGATCCAATACCTTTGAACAGGAAGTCGTTAAACTCATGCTCTGTCATCGCTGTTCAAGGTTTAACAAGAAATATAAAACCTGAGAACACTTCAAGAAAAGCTATACCTCAACACTAGAACTGAGCACTCCATTTGTTACCGGATTTCCGTCGATGATCCAGGAAACAGTCACATTTCCGATTCCGGAAACCACCCGACAATTCAAATTCAACGCATCTCCAACAATCACTTCCAACTGTTCAACGCCTTGGTCAATCACCGGTGGTCCTACATTTAAAACGCGATCAAATGCCGATTTTGAAAAACGTTGCCTTTATCCTTGCTTTCTTAATCTAAGATGCCTTACATGAGATTTTTGACCATGACGTTGAGTGTTCATGTATTGAGGCTGAAAAATATTGGTAAAAAGTGCTTAAGCATACCTGTTAGCCGTACTACAAAATCTCTTGAGGCGTTCCCAGCCTTATTACTTGCTACGCAAGTATACTTGCCAGAACTCTGCCCGTCAACACTCGTGATAACCATTGTCTCTTTCTGGTTGATCATTTTGTGATGATCTCCGTCTTGGATTGGAACATCATTGTGGGTCCATTTAATCTGAAAGAAATGCTTCATTGAGATCATATCCATATCGGTGACTATGACTATCCATCAATGCTATTCAACTCATATTGTGTCATTTTCACTACAACACTCAGCGTAATGCATCAGTTGTATAGGTCTTCTTCTACATACTACGAGATGTCTCATCCCGGTTCATCGTCAAGTGATCTCACCTGCTTTTTCTTTAATTTTTAAAGAGCTCATTCCCATTTCCCTTCAGTGGTGGTAAGCAAGCTCATTCTGTTTCTTCGTTGATAATGTTATTACTAAATATATTTATGTGATTGAGTTCGCTTTGACTCCAAATGAAGCTATTTGGAACCAAATTCTTCATAAATTCTCGTCATAAGAAAAGTAATGCCAAATAGTAAATATTTTGATCAAAGATTACCACGGCTTTGTTGCGTTTCTATTAATTCCGGCAATATTTCGACAGCGAATACAATTAGAAAGGCAAGCTGTAGTTAAAAAATCACCTCTGGGAACGGATCGCCATCAACAATGCAGTCGAGACTCATTTGAGAGCCTGGGATGACGTTCTGTAACGACTCTGACGAGCTTAATTCATTGATGGATGGCGGCACTAAAATCGAATCGTTCAAAAGCGGAAAAACATGAAGTATGTCCGTTTGCGAATTCAATACGCGCTTTTTTCATGAGTGGGTTTCAATACTCACCGAGCACTTTCAGGTCATACGTTTTTCTCGCTTCTCCAGCTGCGTTGCGAACAATGCATGTGTACCTAAAGTGACGATGAAAATAATTCAAAATTGAAGTATCATATAGTAGGAATTTCAGTGCTAATTCGAAACCTTCCAGTGTCTGTGGTCCGCGCTGATAGGATGTAAAGACGCCGACCAGATGAGGGAATCTAAACGACCAAAAATCTTTGCTTCCAATGGATTTCCCAGAGATGTTTAATGCATGCTTAAAAGGTTTTGCATCGGGCAAAGTGAATGAAGTGGATGTGCGCTGTTTAGTGAACTTTTAAACATGTTAAGGAAAAGCGCACGGCACTGCACTTGCCCAATTTCTTAAACGTTCAAAGCAATTGTTCATTTTTTAGCGGACAGCTTTATGATGCTGAGATATCTCACTGATGACGAACCTGCAGATAATTGTCATCCCGTAGAGTTTGCTGAGTGATTGTCTGACCGGCTTTCTGCCATTCAATATCAAAAGAAGAGTCGGTGTTATTGAGCTAAATGAAAACATCAGCTTCCTAAAAACATTGCTGAACAAATGAATTCTATTTATGAAAGATGTTCCAATTTCTCAGCAAGGAATGTGTGAAAGCAACACTCTCACCTCGCATGTGAGGTCCTCCCTGAGGTTTTCGATAACCTCACGTTTTTCGTATTTGTTTCCGAGTATAACGGGTACTGAAACGACATCCAAACTCGTTTCCAAATCATCGGAGCCTACGGCATTTGTTGCAATGCAAGTATATCTGTAATATTCCATATAGAATAAAAGCTGTTGTTGCGGGTTATGGTAAAAATTCCTGCCGGAATTGTCAAGACAGTGTGATGAATAGGGAGATCGCTTCGCTCTTACTCTTTTCAACCAACTTGATTTCATAGCAAGACTGCTCTACAATAAGAATGAAGTCAATACAGGCAACGCCATTGTCAGCTCAATATGTAATTTGGTAAAAGGATAGCGCTCTCGGCGATGATCAATCCCTGGGAGATACACCATGCATTCGACTTCATTTAGCATCGTTTGGAGGTGATTGAATGCATATCTGGCCTTTACAATGACTCACGGTGGCCTACCGATGTATCGAGCCAGTGCTGCTAACCTCCCAGACAAACCTGGTACCAACTTGCCGACCTTGGAAGGATGGAAGGCTTGATGAGTCATGGGCGCCAGGATCGATTCCACGTGTGTGTAGCAAGGCGTCCTCGACCACTGCGCCACACGAGACCTTGTGATATGGTAGCAACCCGAAAAAAACCATATCTGATGACACCATATCCTACAAATTTATACCTTGTCATAAACGACTGCGTACTTTGTTAATACCCATGAACGCCTCCGACTGTTTTTTTAAATACCTGCCTAATTTTTTGAGTTCGTTTCCTAAGCAAAACGATGCCGACTGCTCATAGCATGATCAGACCTACTAATTCAGCGATTCGTATAACTGTTATGAGGAATTATCCTTGAGTTGATGTGAGAATTTCCCTTACCCATTACGGCTCTTCTAAAAATCATAAATGCTATGTCAATAGCCGTTTTACGAGATTACCTCGCCGAGTAGCAGTAAGAAACTTGTTTAATAGAATGATGACGAAGAGTATCTTTCAGGTAATCGAATTTAAACGGATGGTTTGCTAAGATGCACGAGAATTGCTATTAATGATTTCACCCGAAACAATATTACTGTTTTTAAAATTCTACAGAGTCATAACCTCATATCACAATTATATTATTAAATTACGACCTGGCTTTATCTTCCAATTGTGTGTGACTAATTTGCAGCTGTCGCCCACCATCAAGAAAAACATGTCGAGAAGAAGGTGATAAAGTCTGACCATCACGTAACCTGAATCATTGTCATTCTTGAAATAAACGAAAATTTACTAAGTTATAACGACTAACGACAAGCAATGCATAACAAGGCTGAGTAATTGAAGGTATGAAATCTGAGGGAAAATCATAAACTTTTACTGTAAGCGTAAACTAGGGAAGTGGTACAATTTTAAAACGATTTCGCAGAGATACCAGTGGGAAAGGTGGCGGGTGTGGCGCAGTGGTCGGAGGCGCCACGGTGACACACATGTGAAATCGATCTCCGCGCCCGTGACCCATAAAGCCCACTATGTCTCCGGGGTATGCAAATTGGTATCATACTTGTCAAGGAGGACAGCAGCACTGATCGATACATCGGTAGGTCACCGCGAGTCATTGTATAGGCCAGATATGCGTTCAATCCCCTCCAAACGATGCCTAATGAAGTCGAATGCATGACGCATCCCTCAGGGATTGATCAACACTGAGAGTTTTATCTTTTTTTATTTTGCCAGTAGGAGATATTTAGGTCCATTAAGTTTACTATGTTCGAACTAATATGAATCACATATTAATCATATATTTCCAAGTTTGGTTTCACTGGACCGCCTTTTTATTTACCCCGGGCATTGATCAAATAGTTCTCTATATTCTTGTTAAGCGAGCACGAGGTGTTGCAGGTAGTATCTCAAGTCAAGGTAGTAATTAACACCTCGTGTTTGCTCAACCAGAATATCGAGAACTATTGGTTTCACTTTCCAACTTTACGCAATGTATCTCATCACATAGTACACCTCATTATTTGAAATAAGCAACAGTAGAGTCCACTGATCCCGCGAATGATCAGCAACATTTCTGTTCCGTCAAGATGGAAATCAACTTTTCTTCGAGCAACCAATCTTTTTCTGTTCGCATTTTTGTCGTGCTGGCTCCTATATCGCGAGCAACGAACCAGGTGAACGAGCGGGATTTCATCGAGCGGAACATAATTGTGTCCTCTAATGTGCTGTCATTGTATTCAGTTCCCGAACTCCCATCAAAGTTCTAAATTTCTTCTCGCATTAAGACTTTCGCAGTTCCGATTTCAAGAACCTTTAAATAAAAGTAAAATCATAGAAATAACTATGAGCCTGATTGGAAATTAGTGTCGGATCGATAAATTAATTCTTTTTGTATTTGCGTTAGTAAAATTTTTTTTCGAATACTGCTTTATTGCGCATCACTTCAAAGCATACGTCATGCATTTCGCTCGACACTCTTGAATTATAACATAATGTGCTCTTAAAGACTTTTAAAGGCTTGAAACTGAGGTACTAAAAGGGCAACTTCGACAAATTCACTTCTATGAATTCAAAACATTGAAGAAGTATGGAGTTTGGAAATGTTAACGAACGCACAGTGAAACTTTGGCTAAAAAAATTTGATAGTGGCGAATTCGACGTTGAAGATGGAGCACGCGAAAGCCATTCTGCTATTCACAGACTTGAATTGAACGATTTGGCGTAAGCAGGTACACATGTAAGTACCAGCGAATAGAAGAACTCGCTCTAATCATCCCAATTATTCCGGACCATTTTTAAAAAATTGGAAAGTTGGGATTGAACTCGACAATTTAGTACTGCACGAATTGAATGACAATAGAAGAAATCGCTGCTCTGAACACCGTCGGCGCTTCTACGCAACCAGATCGACCCGTCTCTCTACCGCAATATAAAAAGCCACGACGATGATATATGATAATGTGATATGCTTCTATGATAATCGGCGACGGTTGACTCAGTGGTTGGATCGCAATAAACCTTTACAGTGCTTCCCAAAGCAAAAGTACATCAAAGAAAATTATGCTGTCTGTTTGGTGGTTCGCTGTTAGTTGAATTCAACACAGTTTCCCGAATCCAGGCGATGAGACCAGGGCAGGAAAGTACGTCCAGGAAATCGACAAAATGCACCAAAAACCTCAACAGCTACGCCACGCATTGGTTACCAGAAAGGCAGTAATCCTCCTCCATAATAAGGTGCACTGACGTGTCATGCAACCGATGCTGCAAAGGTGAAGTGAGCTTGGCTATGAAACTCTGTCTCTCCACTATACTCGCCGGACACCTCGCCTATCCACTACTTCCTCAAGCATCTCGATGTCTTCGTGTGCGAGAAATGTATCAGAAACCGAAACGAGGTAAAACTGCCTTTAATGGATCAACCGCATCAAGAAATCCAGGATTTCAAGTAACTAGTAGAGATAGACTACTTTCTCGTTAAAACATAAGTGTAGAATCCAACTTTCCACATCTATCAATCAAATTTATTCTGAGTTAAGATATGCTACTTTAAAATTATAGGATAAAAGTCGATTTTAGATAACAAACAACCTAATGCATTTATATATACTCTTGAAGCTCTGCCGAAATTTTTCAAGTGCTCAAATCCCCAGTTTTATCAAAAATTATTATCAAGTACTGGAGCAGCCAAGAATAGGTTAAGAAAACTTAATGGAGTTTGTAAGTAGTACTACGGAGTTCAAAAAGTATACGATTCAATACAATCTATAAAATTTTTACGGACTTTCTATAGTTCTCAGCTTAGTTCCTTGATGGAGTGTACTTTAACAAAAGATTCTCTCATCATAAATATTCTATTATAATATTCACAAGCAATATGACACGACTACATCCATGAATGGAGGAAACTCCAAACATCATGTCTTTTAGTGGCGTGAAAAACTTCCCAGATATGCGCCACAATTTTTGAAGCTTCCTCTCAACTTTACTATTTCACTACAACGTGCACCGCCATTATGATCTCCTTTCCTAAAAAAAAATTCACATTTAACTCTTCGCTTAGACAAATATCATAATTTTCCCAAGATTAAATGTATAAATGATAAAGCGTTCGGCGCTGATTAATCGCTGAGGTGTGCAGCGGGCAATAGCTTCCACTACGCATCGCAGAGGTGAGTAAACGCATGTCTCGCAAGTACTTCGGCTTTCGGCTTCGTTTCGATATATCAAGTTACTGTTTTTACCCCTCAAACAAGTGTGATACCAATTTTTCGACATCGGATGGATAGCGGGATTAGTTTGCCTGAAAAGTGGAATCAAACGAAAAAACCTTACGTGTATTGCAATGTACCTCTGACCACTGGGTTACACGTACCTTTGTCTTAAAAAGCTTCGAAAATTCCTTAATTTGTACACTCAATCCTTTGAACATTTCATCTCATATAAAATATGGGTTATGCACAATCAGTTCAATAGTGATCCAAGATTGTATTACAGGAATGTAATCCCCTTCGCTGCAAATTTACGAAATGTTTAAAACGACTCTTCGCGGAAACCTTGTCAAAGCTGTGAATTCCACCACACCAGAAATTCCTTCTGTAGTGTAACTGGACTGTAGGATTTTTAACGGATGCCTCTATACCAATGATGTTATCGTTGCGTCAGAGCGGATAATAAAGGATTCACCCAAACCGTGATGGTGCACCTGGTGGCAAGACGATACACATTGACGCGTCATTCGACGATTTTGGTGCAGCATTTCAACGTTTTTTTTAACTTAAGACTAAGTCCGGATCATATTCTTAAGAAGGGCAGAGATCATTATGAGCCACTAGGGCATTAGTGAGTGTAATGAAGACCTGACAACACTCCAATCATCTGCATCACATGTGAATATCAAAGTCCTACGTATTCAAGTGATTATACTTCCCTAGATAAAATTTCAGGAAGGAGATAACGGACTATAAATATTTTGGTCATTATAATCTCGCATGATAGTCCTAAAAAAGTTATTCTAATGTTAAAAACACTGAACCATGTGATGTCAGGTGTTGGAGAGCCAGTTGCTGGACAATTAAGAATCGATGGCCTTCCAGCATTGACCTGCACACGACGAACCAGATTCGGACCCTCGAACGATGGTGCCTCTAGAATATCCCTAATTAGTTAATAACGATTTACGACTTATTTTTTTCCAAGCTTGCAATACCTAGCAGTTTTACAGTGAAGTCGCGATTATCCTCTCCAGCAGCATTCCTTGCCACACATGTATATCTGAGAAATAATTACTCACAGATAAAGCTCATAATACATCAACAAGTGTTTCACCTGGCAGCATCGTTCTTGCCCAAACTGAGAAAGTACAGCTTTTGTCCATTCGCAGAGGTCTTCACATTTTGTTGGTAACCCAATGGGCGACCACCCTAAGCAAATTAGTGTTAAATAGTTTCAAATTATATTTTCAGAGCGAGTCTTAAAATTGCAATTAAGCCTGTTGCAATGTCATAAAGCCTTCATTTTTAATGAACTGATTTCGCTCACTATGAGAAAAACCTTTTAAGATTTTCTAACTTTTATAATTATTTACCTATCAAAGCTTTTATACTAGCGTTAAATATTGACCTTAAAGCCCTCTGATGGTGACCCTTTCATTAGGTTAAAAATAATGACAACACCACATTTTTAATGGACACACATAGGGTACACAATAATTTCTAAACAGCTTTTCTGAGCTTTTAATTAAAAAAAAACTATTAACTTCACCGAACAAGAGAGGTTCATCATGCTAGTAATGCTCATTGTGTTGGCCATTTTGTTAATTTGAGGGATTCACGGTGGTATTTTTTCTTTTCATTTCTAGGCTTTTTCCTTCACAGTTTTTCACCCTACGATCCATAGTGTGAAGAATAACAAGCCGCTACCTTGAGCCACGTAACGGTAGGTACAGGTTTGCCATAAACTGGACAAGAAATGGTAGCAGGACGATCGGAGATCTCTTCAATGCCGGCAGGAATTCCTGCACGTTCAATCCGAGGTGGTGCTTAAAATATAACAGGTTTTAAAAGAAAAGTACTAAAAACACATTGCTACATTATGCTAACCGCATCTAATAATAAGCATTTAGATAAAATAAATTTAAGAACATCATGTACAATTAGATAAAATTCATAAAAGACAAAGTCAATTTTTGGCTATGAAGTAGCACTTTGGCTGTACCTTTCCTGTTATGAAATCTCAGACATAGAATGGAACGAACCAAAAGATCTAAATGTTGCAGAAAACAACTAACCAAGACTGCCTCCTTTTTGTATAAACAATTTCCTAAGAATTTACGACGAATAACTCACTCATCACGTTCACAATCAAGTCTTGTTCCGAGGTCCCAGCTTTATTTGACGCTTCACATGTAAATCGACCAGAGTCCACTTCCTAAAAGATACCTTATCAACAAGCTGCTATACAACGAATTTAACAGGTTAAAAACTTAAAAGTAAAATTTTCTATAAAATAAAAACGAACGTGAAGAGATGAAAATGACGGATCGTTTGCTATAAACACTAAACAACAGCATTTATAATGAAACAAAGAAAAGAACTGATGCACCTTTATTGCTGCAATCTTTATTTCACTTCCAATCATTTGTGCTGACTTTATGACCGTTGTAATATTTCCCGGGTGAAGTAACTCGCCATCTTTCTGCCATGTTATCTTCGGCTCTGGTTTACCAGTGGCTGGACAGGACAACGTGACTGAACTGTTTTCGATGACTGTCCTGAAAAATTATGTCATCTACAAATTCCAAAATAAATGTGCAGATGGGCTTGAAGTTTAAAAAGCTAGATAGATTTTCAAGACGCCAATTGCGAACCATCGCTTCTTGAGTCGCAAGCCGGATAAATTGCTGATATGATGCAAATATAAACCCCCTATAGTACTTAAGTAAGGAAAACCTAACTTCTTATACGGTCATAGAACGGATGACAGCAGTTTCCATTATCCTAGAACATAAGTAGTCCAAGATGGCAAATCTGTCTGACCACGACAGCTTGTAGGGACGCGGTTAACAACGCCTTTCGAAAGGTAACTCGTGACCGCAGGAAAAGAATAGCTCAACCAACAATGTGTAAATGCTGGTAATACGTTCACTGAGCTCTACGGTCTACTGTGGCTTACGAAGGGAAACCAACGTTCTGGATGAGAACATCAGGATTGCATGCCATGGAGGCCACTTCATGCCATTAACCAACAACACTCGAACAGTTTCCTTTCTAGCAGATCGTCGCGCTCTTTTGAAGACCGTAAATGATGTCAGATTCCACATGGTCAATACTAAAGGGAGAGAATTTTAGGAATTCAGAAAATCTACCTCTCATTTTCAAAGAACAGCGAATGTGATGAAAACTTGGGAACACCTCAGCGCTTATTTGTCGAAAGTGCACGAAAAAACAAGGTAAAACCCTGGAATCAAGGTAAAATGCCAGCATCTAATGTAACGAACAATAAAATACTGTTGGATCTTAAAAGCAATGTTATAAACACAACACAGTATATGATATATGATTTAAGCCAATTGACATCTAACGCCAGCCAGATCAGTCTCTTCAGATCGTGTTGGTTTCAAAACGCCGCATATGTCGTCAAATACGATGTGATCGCACTTCAAGGATATTAGAACACGTCAACCACCCAACAAACGAAGGAGAGAACCATTGCCTTCTTAAAAATTCGACAACCCAACTATGATGGCGTTAACCTTGTTGCACATCCATACATTACCAAGTCTGTTGAATCTTACGAAATCCTGTTTCCCTGCTTTGTTATCCTATGGGTTGCTCTTATCAAAAAATAGGCAACTTCATTGTCTTCTGTAACTGGTCTCACCAACAACGTTAGCTGATGATACAAAAGCAACTACTATGAGAATATCAGATGCTGAAGAAAGATATCCAAACGAGTGCTGAGAACGCATTCCTTAATCAAGATATAAGCTCAGGAAATTTCTTCAAGAAAGATCAAAGAATTTCTGAAAAAAGGGAAACTATTTTCCTCTAGTCTTAAGTTCACTGACTACGAGAACAGTTTGACAGTGCGAAAATCAAATCAACCCTTGCACTTCAGTTAACCAAATTACACAAGCATCCTATGCAAAGACGTCTGCTGACTGTTGTGTTCACCGTAAGAGGACGACACGGCTTTTTTTTACCAACCACACACCATTCCAACCGGCACAGTTGTCTAAGTTAACACATCGTAATAGTGCTGCATGAAGTCATTCGATTAAGATGACATAGGATACGTGTTGATGGAGGAGTTTTCTCCAAATGACATCTTGCCGACGACGCACACTCTTTTCGTTAGTGCCGTAAAAGTAGTGATGTCTACTTCAATCGAACAACAGAACATCCAAAATAACAAGTACCTATTATTCCGGATCGTTCATCGATTCAAAAAATCCTGAATATGGATAGACCTGTGGTAGAAAAACTCCGTATTATTGGTTTCAAGATTTGAGTCAGGCAGAAGAGAGCACGCAACATCGAAGAAAACATGATGTTTTCTGAAGATGAATCAGACCACACAACACCAAACCTATTTGCGTGCCGCAGATTTCGGAAAAATATCACATTTTCGTGACGAAGTAGAAAACGTCTTAACGAATAGATTTCGACGTGTGGGCCACATGATCAGCAAATAGACCTTTCTAAAATCTCTTTCTACGATAAGTTGTATTAACTGGTTGGCAAAGAAAAGTACATCTACAAATTTGTTGTTCAAGACTCAAATGTGGAAACATAGTAAATGGAAGTGGCCATAGGATCAGAAAATTTAAAGTTTTTACCTACTCCTATTAGGTTGTTTAGAAACGCGCGGAGGTATCGCAGTGGCTAGTAATCTCATCGACCAGGACGCGAAGGCGCTTGCTCGACACCCTCCTCACCGGTCTCCTTCAATCAACGTGAGAACATCTTAGCCTCCAAGATTTACCTCCAAGATTTTAAGGAAATTGGCCTCAACCAGTATTCAATGACATTCATAAAAAAAAAGAAAACAATCAGGTAGCAGACGAAACACGCGAAATGTTCGAAGGCCACTATAGACGATAAATGCAAGGAAAAGGAATCGAATGTAAGAGGTGCTGGTATCAGGACATAAGATGTGATGAGAGTTCATGCTAAATGCAAAATGTAAAAGAAATCTTTAGAAACCAAAGCAGAACCACATACCAATTCAAAGCTTATTTTATGCGTTTTCACATATGACTGAACTATGATATAATTCAAAGGTTGGACGAGCTGGACTATGAAACTCTTCTACAGCCTCTATAGTTGCCAGACCTCTCGCCCACGAATAGCATTTTTTCGAGCATCTGAGCATCTGATAACTTCCTGCGCCAGAAATGCTTCAAAATCAAGCCCATGTCAAGACTGTCTTCACCAATTCTATTGCCTCCAGAACTGTAGAATTCAATGCCACCAGTAAAAAAATTTGCTTCCCGTTAACAAAAGCTTAGAAAATCAAAATACTTTTATCTCGACTAATAAACTATATCATAAGCAGAGATATGCCATTTTAAATACATATCCTGCAATCCTGCATTAATATCCGAATAGCCCACTATTTACGCTGCGCATACTCTGATACAAAATGGTGACAAAACTGCATGAACCTGTTTTTCTCTTTATCCAAAACGATGATGCTTGGAGGCACGAATACAACAAGCTTATAGTCGACTCGAGTCTCACCGGCATCGTTTTTTATTCGACAACTGTAAGCTCCCTCGTCAGATAGTGTCACGCTATAAAAGAATAGAATTGAGGTGCATCAACTATACAGAATGATCGGAACACCGCAATAACCCTACTTTGCTTTTCAGTGATGGAGTTCATTTGATAACTTTATTTAGACTTACTAATGTACTTACTTGTGAACATTTAATCGCCTTCCATCATGTCCCTCATTTATTTTGACACTCGACTTCGATATAGGTTTGAAATCGTACAACCTTAACTTTTTTTTCCTAAACCTTTCAGAGCAGTTCTTCTTTATGAGCGTACCATACAACTTGTCCTCTAAAATTCTTCTCGGCAATGGGACAGCGGAAATGAGCAGTCTCCCCTTTAAGTACTTCCACAGTCTCCTTGATACCCCGTAACACAGATGGACGAGCTAAAAAACCTACTGACATGGAATGGGAAGATAAAATTGCAACAAGAAATCAGTGGTAAACGAGGAACTCTTGTTATAATGAAAACGATAAAGTGGTATAAAATATATACTGCTGAACGAACTTATAACGTCGACGTCAAAGTTTATTTCAGTGCTTCCAACATCATTCCTTGCATGACAAGCATATGAACCTCGATGACCTAAAAACTTTGTGAACCGTACTTATTAATAGTTCCCAGGATCGACTTTCTCTTAACCTCGGCATTGGAATATGAATGTGTCGTTTTCTTGTTCAGCAATCGTGAGGTTTTTAAACAGCATACATTTACTTCCATAAAAACACAATACAATACAACGCTAGCTGACGTTTCGGCAGTATCGCCTTCTTCAGAGCCGCTTTTCGTGACTTCCAATGAGGACGTTTAGAACAGCTGATTATAGTCGCATGTGGTTGACCATGTGGTAAACTTCCTCATTGGAAGTCACGAAAAAGCGGCTCTGAAGAAGGCGATACTGCCGAAACGTCAGCTAGCGTTGTATTGTATTGCGTTTTTATAGAAGTAAATGTATGCTGTTTAAAAACCTCGCGATTGCTGAACAAGAAAACGACACATTCATAGTACTTATTAAATTAAAAAAAATAACGGCAAACATCATTACTTCTTTCAGCATGACTGATTTTAAACTGCTGTCCTTCAGAATGAGTTCCCACCGACTTCAACCCGTTAACTGGTCGTCCATCCTGAGACACAGTAAACGTTGTACCATGCAACAGAAGAAACACGAAAGCTAACGTAAGCAATTAAAAATCTAGTAAATAAGAAAACCTTTGTCCACATTATGACTGGCTTTGGGTTTCCTTCCACTCCACAAGGAAGAACCAAAGAGTTATTCTCAATTACAGTATATTCGCCTCCTTCGTTTAGTATAATAGGTGGAACTTGAAATGGCTTGCGTTAAATATTTCATAAAATTGGAAGAACAACAAACATGAGAAAACAACTGTGAACCTTGAACCAGCAGTTTATAGGTCTTAGTGGTCTCTCCAGCAAGGTTTCTAGCCATGCATGTAAACAATCCTTCATCGCTCTCTTGTACGGAAGGAATGAAAAGATGACGACCGCCCGAGATAATCTATAAAAATAACTACGAGGTGCGTTATAACAACCTGCTACTGTAATCTTATACCTGAACGTTTTCGACAGCGTTTACGGCAGGCATTTGATGACGAGACCACGACAGTTCCACACCAAGAGTGTCTTTCACTGGGCAATCAAGAGTGACGGGACGACTAATGTTAACCTAAGTGTATTTCTCACTCTTCAAAAACGTAAGTGATCCAAGCAAGGACTTTGCTACCTTCACGACGGTTACTTCATCTTTCCCGTCAAATTCTGGCTTCTGAATCACTCGAACGTTGAACGTTTTCTCAGCTGAGCCCGCCTTATTCGTCAACGAGCAGCGGTACACGCCTCCATCGACGCCAGTAACTTTACTCATCGCCAAAGTGTAGTTATCGTGAAGTAGCTGGAACAGCAATCAGTGAAATCAGGCAACAACTAGTCTACTCCATGTATCGGATACATTCACATGATAATAAAAGGATAAAGGATAAAGATCCCGGTGTTGATGAATCCATTACGGATGCGCTATGCATTCGAATTAATCAAGCATAGTTAGAGGTGATTGGGATATTGTTGATAATGGTGATTGTTGACTGTGCATATCTGGCGCACGATGATTTGCGGTGGCTTGCAGATCTATCAAACCAGTGCTGCTACCTTCCTGGAAACGTCTGATGAAAATTGCCGACCTCAGAGGGATGGAAGGTCTGATGATCCTAGGAAGCGGGATCGCAGCCTTGTGGATTGCTGAGCACCTCGGAGCACTGCCCTACACTCGCTCTAATTTGTTAATAACATTAACAATTGTAGTTAATTCTCTTCGACGTCCGAGATACTCGAAAATATTTCTGAACTGCAATTCCTGCCCATGCCGAATTAAACTGTCTAGAGCTCAAAAGAATACGAATTCAAAATCGAACGGCCGTCAGTAAGCTTTAAATTTCTCCCTATCACATGCAAGAATAGACCAGTGGACTACGCTCGCTATAGAGACTCACTGAGCATGATATCCTTTTTATGGGGTTTCCGTAAAAAACTATATCGGGTCGGTGATTTCACCGATAAGCCTTTGATATCCCGAGGAAACCAGTCGTTAACGACTCTTGTGCGCACTTTGTCATTCAGACGTGTTATGTGTCCGCCCTATCTTCGAAAATTTCACATGTAAAGCGATGTATTTCATTTTTTACCGTTGACGTTGGTCGAAGCTTCGAATCCCTTCTCTCATTTACGTAATATGGTACACTCCTAGCAATGTCCTTTCGACTACACGTTCCATAACGCTGAGTGGTCTTTAATACCACTTACATGGCAACTAGGCTTCTGACACATATATTAAGACAAAAAAAGTTGCGCAATCGAAAAGGTGAGCCCATAGTGGGGCGATCTTTGTTCCCTCACTACATCCTCGATGCTCTTGAAAGCTCCACAAGCCGTTCGCTCCTTCGTGCTCAACTATGGAGTTAAGTTGTTCATCATGTCGATTTCCCGATCTACAAAAACGTCGTTAGAGCATTCGGAGATATTCGTACTGTTGAGTGTGAATAGGACATACTAAATCAATCCGTTCTTCATGAACATTGTTTTCGTGAGAGTTCATCAAAGATCAATCTTTTCACACGCATTATCAAAGTCGGCTGGCATTGGTCTGCATGGAAAATGCTTGGTATTTTAAGAACAACGTCATCAGCAAAGTGAAGATGGTGTAATTTTCGACCGTTTATTTCCGTTTTCGTGTTGTCCCATTGCAATGTTTGCACGACGCTCTCTATTGTGATCGTGTAATTTTGGCAAGGCGGTATCACCGTTCCTAACCCTTCTTTTGCCCTCCACGTTAATATCGTTAAAGAGTGGTAAGACTATGGTTGTGAAATTTTCATATAGCTCATGAAGAGCTTTTGTATACCGAGTAGGGAGGTTTTAGCCGTCCAGTGTTTCCATAACTACTTCTATCTCAGCTGAGCCAAATGCTTTTCCTAAATCGATAAAGGTGAGAGAGATAAAGCGGTCTGTCGCACTCTCGCGTTACTTCCATGAGTCTTGTTATCGTGTAGATGTGACCCATCGTACTGTTTACCTTTAAAATCCTGCCCACTTACATGGTTGTTCTTAGTCCAGTGTTTGGACAATCCTTTTAGGACGACGCAAGTGGAGAGCTTGTATACGGCAGACAGTAAGCAGATTGAATAATGGACACCGATATCGTGGAGATCACTCTTTTTGGAGAATAACAGACCCTTGCTGGTCTTCCACTGAATAGGAATATTACATGCTGACAGGTGACATAGGAGACCCCGAGCCAGTTGGTTGATGAAGACTGAAGTAAAATCCTTTAAGTGTTAGGATCCTATCTTGTTAGCACCAGGTGTTGTTCGACTCTTCATCGACGAGACGGTATATCGAATTTTGGAAGGGAAGTCGGTGGGATAACATAAACATCTTCCTCCATTTCATATGAAGGAAGGAGGAGGTGTCTGTCGAAGAGATCCGAGCAGTAATCACGAAGAATTTTCTCCATTACCTTTCTGAAAACTGTAACTTTTCCCTCTAACTGTCGAAGTGAAATCATCCTGGTCTTGTAATTGGCGAAGTTTCAGTGCGCTTTGCGAATGCTTTTCCCAACCCATGCAATACTGACTATAACCGTTGCTGTTTTCTCTTTCTAAGATCTTTTATTACCAACATTTTGCAATGTCTTCCAATTTCGTGCGTCATTGGACAGTTCCCTGTGGCTCGTACGATTCCAAGTTGCCGCATCAGCTTGGGTGTTTCTGGAAACAGACGTCCCTTGATAACTTTCGAATTTCAGCATTCATAGCGCTGATGTGAAGATGTTCAATAAGCCCGCCGTACTCCAAGTTGATGTCATCAATAACGATATACTCCAGAGAGCTGACTAATAATAAAATCATAAAGCTCTCTGCGTTGATCAATCCCTTAGAGATGAGTCATGCATTCAACATCATTAAGCATCATTTAGAGATTACTGAATACATATCTGGCCTTTGTAATGACTCGCGATGGTCTACCTATGTATGGAGCTAGTGCTGTCCTCCTCTCCGTCAAGTCTTTTGCCAAAACCAATTTGACGACCCCGAGGATGGAATAAGGGGTACGGGAATCCATCCCAAGTGTATTGCAGGGCACTTCCGACCAATACGCCACACGCACCCATAGAGCTGACTAGAGCTGACTAGTGGCCTAAACAAATCACAGTTCACGGTGATTTGGTACTTCATTTTTCGAGCTTAGCTGATTTCTCCCCTTAACGCGAGAAATGGAATCTTGTACGAAGGACGCGATGGTCTGGTGGTGTGCAGAATATTAGGGAAACAGACAAATCGGTTATTCAAAACTTTTGCTTTACTATGATGTGGTCTGTCTCGTTATGGAACCTCCCACTATAAGACTCTAACGTCCACCGTTGAAAGTGGTGCTTCTGAACTCGCGAATTGTCATGAAAATTGATGGTCATGACAAATTCGGACAGCCGTTTACATTCTTTGTTCCATTCTAATCCGTTGGTCCCAATGTTACGTTCTTCAAGCGTTCTTTTAGATCTAATCTCATCGTTAAAATCTCCAGTGATAGTTTTAACGAATGTACGGTCTTCTGTGGAGGGCATCTCCAAGTCCATATAGAACTCTTCGACTTCGTCTTCGTCGATGATATCAGTAAAATCGACAAAGAAGGTATTGGTCCACATCTCTTCAACCGTAAACGTCCGATATGGGTTGTTAGTTGTTTGAATGAATCAATGTTTACGACAAAGCTCGTGTTGACGAGAACAACGACGTCGCCGACTCCTCTACTGTCGCATGTTCCGAGGAACAGTTCTTCTCCTGTGTCATAGACGGTGTTCAGTGGGTTGGGTCTTCTTCTCTTGGCTAATCCTATAACGATTTCTTCCAAGAATGTGATGAACATGCTGACTGATTCGCTCTTACTTGGGCTTCTGAGCATAAATATCGAATTCTTTTTCAAGTTGTATAACCCCATAGTGGTAATAAAACTGCTGCTAGAAACATGCACTTCGATACCGAGAAATTCCGCTTCGTCAGAGTGAGGAAACCCACTAGTTAACTCACGTGCATAAAAATTAAAAAGAAAAATAAGCACATTACATAAAACATGAACTATACGCGCCGTTTGAATATTAATGAAGGAATTTTAAACACATGAATGACGCACTGATTTACTGAGTGAATAAGCATAGAACAGGGTACTATTTCTTACGAACTTGTGCAGTTTGTGGAAGTTGCTCGCCATCTTTCGTCCAACTGGCACTGGCTTCCGGACTTGCATCATGATCACAGTGCAGTGTCAGTTCGCGGCCCTCCACCACTTCCACGTCTTCTACCAATGATCCCACCACGCGGGGTGCAACTATAATGAATGGTTCAATTTAGTAACAAAAAAAAAACAAAGAAAAACTTCGTTCTGAAAGCTACGACTCCTTCAAAAATTGTAAACACATCTACCAGATATTAGACTAGAACACAACCTTTCGCCTTTCATTACTCTACCTTTATTTTTGGTTTCATTTATTGGTAAACAGTTTTAGAAAATAACGCCTGACTATCACGTTTGAGTGGCTACGACACCTCATTTTACACAAGTTACGGAAACGCTGGTTTTTAGACAGCAAACGATGAAATTCAATACCTAGATAAACTGAAGCGCTGCCAAACATAACCAACTTACGGGGAGATTCTGCGCTATCGCTCTAGAGATGCACATAATATATATACTACTATTTTCTGTATGTTACCATGATCCGCTAGGCAACCGCATTACTGTCAGCACTTAGAAGTGCTCTGTAATTTGTGTTGTATTGATTTCGGTATATTCCACATCTGGGAGCGTGTGGGGCGCATTGGTCGGAGGCGCCCTGCAATACAGACGTGGAATCGATCCCCCACGCCCATAGCACACCAAGCCTTTCATCCTTTCGGGGTCGGTAAATTGGTACCAGACTTGTCTGGGAAGATAATAGCACTGGCTCAATACATCGATGGCCTAGTGCGAGTCATTGTAAAGGCCAGACATGCATTCAATCACCTCCAAACGATACTTAATGAAGTCGAATGCATGGCGGAACCCTCAGATATTGATCAACGCTCAGAGCTTTATCCTTTATCCTCTTATTTTCCACAACCGCCTATCTATTCTATGCAATAATCACTATTCATCTTAGTAATTGGAAATGAAACAAGAGTCAATTGACAGTCAAATTCCAACTGAGTGAGCTCGAACAGCTAGCGAATTTTGAAATTATTTTTTTAAACTAAGGTTAGTGCATAGATATTTATCGGCCACAACTGAAATGACATCTGTGTTGGTTGAGCTATCGCTTTAATACTAAATGTTGTAAATACATTAGATTTAACATACTTTGTTCACTTTGTCCCACCCCTTGTCATGCATAGCGTAATGCATCTCGGGTATCACGCATTAGTAAAAAAAAAACTGTACTCATTATCAATATCGAATATAAGGTTCCACTTGTTGGGCAGATAGACAATGGATACAGATCTCTAGAAAAGGCGGCGAAAGAAAATATTCTAAATTGACCGAACTTCACTTATTACCTTTATGTCAACTTTATGATATTAGGCCGCGTTTCCACACAAAAATCAAACCTTGACTCATTTTGGCCACTTTTTCGCTAGAAACAGTGAGTTTGCATAGCTCCTCTACGTAGCTCTCCGTAGCGAAGGACAAACGAAAGCTCCTAACGCTTGCTATTCCTACAATGAACCTAGTACTGATCTCCAGACAGGATCTCCTTCACAAAAAATTGTCAGTGTATATGGAACACCGTGGACAATAAACGATGTCGAGTAGCATATACTGACTACGGTTGCTCAGAGTGTAAGGTCCAGCAGATTCTCGTAAAGTAGTAGTCTAATAAAAAAAAGTTTGATGAAGATATTAAACAAGCAAAACACTTTCTTCAAGCTCTGCGTGCTTGACCTCGAAGTTCAGTGTTTTTCTTCAACGTGACCAACATCTAGAACGAGACAGATCCTCGCAGTATGCATCACACTTGTCCAAGCGCATGAATCAGAACCGCGCTGCCCGTCTGTTAGTGATTTTGGACCCAAATGCAGCAACGATCTTCTCTAAGACAACGCCATATTGATACTAATCAAAAATCCGTAAAGCATGATGGCTCGGATGTAGCAAATATCCGCTTGAATTCTGTATTCTTAATCCGTTGTTTTTCGAGAGCTGTGGAAAATAACTGTTTCCTCAGTTACAGATACTTCCACGAAATATTTTCACGAATCAAAGAAAGTATGGTGTTCTAAACGACTTGGTTTTCCGCTTGGTGTTTCAGCACTGCAAAAGGTAGAGATGAGTAGTTGAAAAATAGTGTAAGATCAAATTGAAAGAAGACAAACCAAAAAAGCTTAGCTAAACAAATGATTCTATTGGTTGCCAGATATATTTTCTCACCACGGTAGAGCCAAAACTGTTGCATCTAGTGTACAAATTCCATACATGTAACCACATGTGTGTATGCAGTGACAATTTGTAAAAGAAATAGATGAACTTCCTATACGGGTGCGGCATTGCTCTTGATAACTATGGTATTTCTTCTGATCAAATTCGTCAATTTCAATATGTGTCAGGATGTTCCTAGGTTGGTCTTATAGAAAGACATCACACTTTTGATATGAAACCATTTTGTTACTGTGTTTGCCGAGGAGGAGTCACCGGTATATTAGTTGACTATACCGTGGAATGAAATTACTTTTCATTTTCTTATACATGTATGCATATATATAGTCATCAATTTCAGTGAAATTAAAAAGAGAGCCGTATTTGCATACCTAATACAACGACTTCAAAGTCCCGTGCCGCTTCTCCTGCGCTGTTTTTAGCGATACATGTGAAGGTGTCTTCATGTGACTTTTGAACGTTCATAAGAATCAACCGTGTTTCATCGACTGTGAAAACTCCATCGGAATCCTAGAGCCGCTTAGAATGAGCTCGTAAACGGTGAAAAAAAATCAAAGATGGCACAAGAAAAATCATAGAAGAGCACGAAAGGACAAGCAACTTCGATCGTGCGCCCTTGTCTTCTCCACGTTATGTCAACATCGCCAACCACCGGACACTGTAGAACTGCGTTCTGTGACTCAGTTACTTCGACAATCGTACGATCACCGGCGTCCTTGATAGCAGGTGGGGTAACACTCTGTAAATATGTCACAATAATTCCTCGGAGTAACATAGTTTTTCAACATCCGATAAAAAAGAAAACAATAAGCTCCCAAAACAAAGACGTTATGGAAGGAATCCTTTTCCTAAATGGCTACCAGATCAAGTGAGACTCTAAGCAACACTACGAGTTGCTCGCTGAACTAGTCAAAAGCTGCATCAAATATGCATCATTTATTTGATTGGGAAGTTGGGATCGCGTTTCTTTCAAGGTCGACAGAAAACTGCGCATCGTGAGACCAATTGTGTGTCTTTCACCTCGTTTTAAATAGCAGAATTCTATTTTTCTAATTGTGCAAAAAATTCTGAATAGAATTACTTGGCTAATAAATAGCTTTAAAGGGCTAACTGAGCCTCCTATAGACTTTCACCGCTCCTTTATTACATTAACAAAAAAGTATCTCTACTGTCCACCCACAGTGGCCAACAACCATCGCTAAGGGCAACGATCTAAACCGTAGCAATCTTCAAAACAATAACTTAGAATTCGCTTATGACTATTTTCGGTGCCAACAATATACAATGGTAAAGTGCCTTGATGCTGACAAGATCACAGTGATAGATAGACATCACGGTGAACCCTCTAACAGTAGCAATTCTAAAAATTGAGGAAACAAATGGTCATTTGAGAGGGTTTAACGGTTACTGAGGGGCATCAGCCACAGAGAATTAGAATACCTGTACAAAGAAGTTCCTAGCAATGGATCCTGCCTTGTTAGAAACGAGACATGTAAAACGATGTGTGGTCATTCCATTTGAATCAATAGTCAGTCGTTGTCCATTGTCACTAAAAGAGCTTGACTGCAGAACAGTAGTTGACTATGTGTGGAGTGAAAAAGTTGAGCGACAAAAACAAGTTTTTACCTGAAGACGTTGTCTGTTATTGTCACTCCATCCTTGCGCCATTCAATCAATGGGAATGGAGAGCCCTTCACAAGACAAGCAAGGCTCAACGGAGAACCACTTATCACTCGGATGTTCTGATCGAATTGTTTTTCAACGAATTCTGGTGGTTCTGTAACAAGGCAGCACTTCACCAACACATCTGTTCTAAAGTGAATGCTCAGAAATCGAAACCAACCAATCACGTTAAGGATAATATTCTTGCGACTCTCGCCTGCCGAATTTCGAACGATACATGTGTACGTGCCACCATTTGATAATGCTGTGTCGACAACGAAGATGCGCTGACCATCAAGTGGAACCTGCACGTTTTCTGGCAGCACATCTGAGCCGTTCTGGAAAGAATCGTTACTACACAGAATTACTTTCTGACTTTTTAACCGAATATGACTGTCCCCTCGAAAAATTCTATTGGATTTCCAGGATATTTTAACTAGGTGTTGGTGAAGATTTAACAACGTTTAGAATGCTTAAACTTCACGAAATGAACTGCAATTGTCTGTGAAGGCTCATCATGTGACATTGTGGATGTGTTGAGTCAGAATTGGATAAGGTAAATAGAGTTAGGCATATTGGATCATCTTGAGGATCTCGTTAAATGACGTTAAAGAAGAATGACAGTCAATACTAATGAAGTAAAGGTTTCCGTGAATCCGTAGACTTATATTTTGATAACGGTAGTAACTACCACGCATTAGGTATGGAAATTAATCAAATTACTTCAAATCAATAAAATCACGGGAGGAATACTACAAAACTAGTAGAGAATACTGTAAGAGAAAAGTTTCCATAATAATTACTATCTCTTTTGCGAAAAATTCAATTTGAAAACCAACTGCCGCAGAAACCAAAAAACAGACAAGACATTGAATTTCAAAGAATTTCTATTAAAAACCTTAATAAAAATTCCTTTCTACTTCTACTTTCTTGTAATTTTCTATTGCGCCAAAACATGTCCAGTTCACTTACTCCACTTGGTCACATTCGAAAAACAAAATAAAATGAAAAGTTAGCCAAACACAACAGTCCACAACCACGATTTCATTGCATTCCTTCTTAAGCCTAATAAAAGTATTTGAAAACGGTTATTCATGGAGAAGCAAGTTGATGCAAAATATTTTCTTATTCACAAATCTGCAAAGTGGAATGCCTGGCTTGGATGCTTGGATGGCCCGTCCTCACTGGTTGTGCTGGCCCCAACAAAATTTCCATTTTTCGGATGGACTTTGGCTGGTTTACCCATTGTGGTTCGCTGGCGCCCCGAGATCGGCTTAGCCAAAGTCTGCTCCAGGTCGTCACCACAGCAGTCAGTCGCCCACCTTATGGATCAGATGGAGATTTACTACCATGCAACTAGTTTGATACCAGAACGGTGGTGTATCCTGGTATTGGTTTACTCTTAGCTAGGCTTCCTGGTAGACACGCCGGACTCTTTCCCAGCTTGGGAGACCTTGCCGGGAGGACGAATCCCACCGCTGTACATCGCAGCCCGGTATCCAGTAACACCGCCCAGCCACGTTGAGGCAGTAAAACGTTGGGAGGGCAAAGTGGAATAGCCGAAAAAGGCAACTGTTAAATATTATTTTGACAAAAATGGCACGTTTTAATGGTCTAATGATGAAGCTGTGTGTCCTAGTCTAAGTAGTTTTCTTCGTATAATCAGAACCCTCTCTCTTTCCTCCTCCCTCCATCGGTATACCGCTAAGGAGTATTCGTGACCGTTGAACTATGACATAGTCGGTGGAAGATTACTTCATAGAATAGTTGCCCGCTTTGGAAAAGAACCCTATATTTTCATCCGAAGGCAAACTAAAAGTAAATATTTGTCACAACAAAGCGCAACGAATTTCCATGTGTAAATTCTCGTGAAAGATACGAAGAAAGGCATCACACAAGAAGTGTTCTCGCCGCCGTTAATCGAGCTGGCCCCATTGTTCGCTCAGGTTCGTGACGCTGACAAATGGAGCTTGCTAGGCTCATTTGAGTTTCTTAATGGTTAACAAGAACACAAGCGATGCAGATGTTGGCACAGCTATCATAAGCCTGAGAAAAATTGATCCTTTGCCCGATTCCGAAGAGATACCCTAGACGAGGCATTATTTTCACTTTGCATACTATAAGTTCCCCGTTTTGTTTCTATATATTGCATAAATAAATGAATTTGCTCATGTACACATATAAAGGATAATTGGATAAAGCTCTCGGCGTTGATCAATCCCTGAAGGATGCACCATGCATTCGACTTCATTAAGCATCATTTAGAAATGATGAAATCCATATCTGGCCTTTACAATGACTCGCGGTGGCCTACCGATGTATCGAGCTATCTTCCCAGACAAGTTTGGTACTGATTTGCCGAACTCGGAGAGATGGAAGACTTGGTGGGTCATGGGCATTGGTATCGATTCCACGTGTGTTGTAGAGCATCTCCGACCACTTCTCCACACGCGCCCCTATACACATATAAACATATACATATGATTTTGCTGGACGACAACAGGACTTTGAAAACAAATAGCAACAAAGATGAACAACAAGAATGCGGTGGTTTCAATTTATAACTTCATCCTAGAGCTACCGTCGCAGTCCACGTATGAAGAAATTTCTCTTTCTAAACATTGTATCATAGTGAATTCTAAACAGGTTTAAAAAATATGTTTCATTATATTAAAAAAAACACCTACCAAACGCCAAGCAGTGGTAGTTCTATCGCTTCCATAACTGTCGCTTTCACACGACAGCGTAACAGCCTTGCCTTTCACTACTTCAATTGACTGATCGACACCAACTTTAGGTGGGGCTAAAAGGAACATTTGCTTAAGTGCGAAAGTCGTAAGCATACTAGATGATGAAACTGCTTAGACTAAAGTGAAGCTAACAAACGAGGAGTCTATACCAACGCTTCTTCATTAAATTCTTTTGCTTGATCGTTTTCTTGGCCTTCGTTATTTGCCCAAATTTCCTTTCCCCAAATTCTTCATAATCATCATTGATCACCAGGATTTATTGTAAGTCCTAGTAATCTACATTTTTGGTCCATTTGAATGCCCTAGTAAAAAAAAAGATCTGGTTAGCAGGTCTTTGAAAATTTCTCGTCACGTATCACAGAGCTTTTTCATTCGGTATTGTGTGATGCATCTAAAATATTAAATTATCGCTTTCTTTTCTTTCGATGTTTTCCATTACTCTGTTTTTGCATGGACGTAGGTTGCCGAGACAACATACGCACATTGATTGCGCCGCCCAGTTGCCTGCACATCGCCTCCAGGCAGCCCGCACCACTTCGGTTTCTTCTTGGAGCTGATCGTACGGTTTTCCCTTTTTTCATTCTTTCACAAGAAATGGTTAGATCGACCGCATGAACATAGTATGATTATTGTTATAGATGAAACTCGACTTTGAATTGAACAAAAAAGAAAGACAAGCTTCAGATGACAAAGGATCAATGGAAAAAGATTCATACGACCAGGTTTGACTTTAGCTGGAAACTCTACAGATTACCGATTTCCTTAGTCGGTAATCTCTCTGCAGATGTTTTAAATCATGTCTTGTTTTCTGGCAGGTCTTTACCATGACATAAATCGCCATTCTGATTCTCAGTATTAGATGAATTTTTTGCTTTCAGCATGCTCCTACCGCCACAGCATCAACAGATCACAATCATAGTAATAACCGAGTGATCGTCGACAGCAATGTGGGCATGAATTGGTACCTCATTGCAAAAATGGGCAACATTCAGTTTCTGTTGTCATGTGTGAGTGAATGACGTGTAAGTTTTACTATAAAGCATGAGATAACAACTCAGGATTACTTTCAGATTGCATCCATATCACTACTGGCAACAATGAGTATTATCGGCTTTTCGTTACTTCGTTTCACATCATCAGCTTGGACCACTTATCTAATGTCAACAGCATACATTGCTGTTAGAGCGTGAGTGGTAATTTGCTAGACAGAGTGCATTAAAGAAATAACATGGAATAGTCCCATATTTTGAAAACCACTTTGGAACCATAACCTACAAATTTATAGTCTGTGGAAATTTTAGAACATCTGTATCAACTTCACTCCACATCAGTCGTTGTTTTCAATAAAAACACCCAGTGATTATTATCACTTGGTCTATCACACCTTTAATTACTGGACTATAGATATCACAGCGTATCATGGATTGATATCGGAAATTTCAGTGGTAGATGGCGTTCATATCCGCATGTGATCGCCTACTGCGGAATGGTAATGTTCCAAACAGTGATCTATATGAGCAGCCTATGCTGGGTAGCATACTCACTCTACGGTGCCGAATATCAGCTGCATATTACACTTCACACAGGTAAAGACTGCCTGAGGCAAGATAGAAGAACAGATATAACTGAAACAAACATGATGATGCAGATTCTATGCTGTCGACTACGAATCCAAATGCACTCTTGATGCTGATTGTCGTTGAGATGCTGTCGTTAATGGGCACCGTGTTCACTGGCGTGTTCGGGATGATCGCTTGTTGCCGTGGCCTCGGAAAGATTCTGCATCACATGGAACAACTCATTGTGGTTGGTTTGCAGGAGTTTACTTGGTTATGACAATTTCTGCGGAATCATTAAAAGCAACTTCTGGTCACGGTAATTTATCTAAACCGTAAAACAATGCTCCTAGTAATTCCAAAGACCAGCTTTCTATTAACCTCGATATTGATTGATAATTCACTGTTTTTCTTCGATTAGCAAACACGAGGTTGGTATTACAGCGTTTATTAGCATACAATAGCTGACGTTTCGGCGCGTTCGCCTAGTTCAGAGCCTGAAAAAGTCAAATTGACATTCAATCTACTCAGCCAAACACTTTCATAACCGAATACACATGATACAAATTTATGGGTTAAATCCTATTTGCTATGGTTATGAGAGTATTTGACTGAGTAGATTTCATGTCAATTTGACCTTTCCAGGCTCTGAAGAAGGCGAAACTGCCGATACATCAGCTATTCTATGCTAATAAATTCTGCAATACCAACCTTGTGCTTGCTTATTCAAGAAAAACAGTGGATGCTCCTAGTATTCTAAACGAAAAATTCTCGAAAACTCGAAACATAGGTGAACACAGCTAGAGGAGACTCAAAACAATCAGAGAGGAACGGAAGTAGGATGGAATCAAAACTCGGTTTCCTACTTCAGCTAAATATATCTACAAAAAAAGAATACGATGGGACAGCTTTCGCTTTTTGACATTCCAGCATTTTTATGCAAATGAAAGGATTTGTAGAAATCTCGGCGGTCCAATTAAGCAAGAATAAACCTGCAGTGCCTTCAAAATGTAACTCGTGAGCGGTTCAATCTCTCTGCAAGAGACGGTGGCCATTTGGAGATTAAGTTATATCTGCGCAAATGTTGAATACTGCTATGTAATATCAGACCTACAAAGTTTAATCATTCCATAAACAATTTACTCATGTTAGGATTTATGTAAGCTGGATTAACGGGAAAGGGTTCGGCGCTGATCAAGTCCTTAGCGATACACCATGCACTCAACTCCATCAACAGATAATGGCCGACACGCACTGAACACAACGCGTGTGGTGCTTTCAACAATGATCTAACATATCTTGGTTCATAGTGAAACTTACTGATCGAAATGATAACCACACTAATTAAAATGAAAACCGTTAGGACCTACAGATCACAGGCCTATAATATGTATAACAAGTTCTACCTCTGATGACTTGATGATTCCCTTGAGCTCCCAAAGGTAGTAAGCTCTTTAAAAACAACAAATTATTTCGAACATGTTTATATATATGTATATAAATATATAGCTCAATGCTACAGCAAATCCTTCCCATAAAAATATGAAGCTTTCAACTCCTCAGATGCTCTAATTATCAAGAACTTATCGCCAGTTCTCAAAAATGCGGATAAAAAGTGTTATGCTTGGTTAGTAGTTCCCAATGCTGGGTGATTCGGCAATTACACCATCTTTGTATTGCTGATGACATTGTTCCTATAAGAACAAGCATTAGCCAGGCGGTAGAAATGCCAACCGACTTAAATAGCGCTCGTCGAAGGATTGGTTTTCGAGTATATCTCACAAAAACAATGTTTATAAGATGCGGATTAGTCTCCCATACCTCATTCAAGCTTGACGAAATGAATATCTCGGAATGCCCTAGTTTCGTACATGTGGGGCAGAAAGTCAACATGATGGACACCTTAGCTCCAGACTTCAGCAGAAGGAAGCGAGCGGCTTGGGGAACAATCAACAGCATCGAGGATGCAGTGAAAACAACGAAGAACATATGACTCCGTGCCTCCTTTTCGACCCCACGATTCTTTCTGCCTTAACTTATGGCATCGGAAACCTTGTCGCTGAGTAAGCAAGATGAAAGATCATTTAGCCTTATAGAATGCGAAAGAACCATGATAAGCGGATCCCATTTCACGCAATTGAGGGAAGGGATACGAAGCACTAACACGCCAACGACGAAAAATCAAAGACGCCGTTCTACACGCCAAATTGTCAAAGATAAGACGGCGTAGATATATAATGCACATAGTCGACATATGATGGACAAGAGCCGTTAGCGACTGGATTCCTCGAGATGTCAAACGCACAGGAAGAAGGGCAACGACCCGATGGTCAGAGTTCTTTACGAAAACCATAAAGAAAAATATGATGTTCAACGAGTCCTTAGAAAAACTCATTGGGCCACTATTGCATGCGAAAGAGTGAAATACAAGGTTTAATGGCGCCCCAACGAGTTATTTGACAATCAACGGTACGATGGGTGATACTGGTGATACCAAGTAAGCGAAAAGAGCAAATTGGAGTATTTATTAGAATTCGATTCTACCGTGTAGTCCACCAATTATGCTTTAAAAAACAATATATATCATATTATTATATTATATATTATAACTAAAATTTAAATCTTTTTCAGGCTAGCCGATACACTTCGACTCCACACATTACTGTACGTTCATTTTGAAGTCACTGTTGGGTGAGAAGAAATTCATAGATGAATTATACATATAGACTCGTTTCCTGTCTGTAGTACCATACGAATACCCAATTATTCAGCAGTAATCTTCTAACTTTACAAATAGACGACTATTTAAGCTGTATAATATGCGGTGTGCATTTCTAAACTAAAGTGGAACAAAAGTAGAAGCAGAACAAAAATAGAAATCTTTTAAGTTCTGGACTAGTTTTCATTTAACCAAAAGTTGAAGGATATCATTCGCTAATATTGCTGGTTTTCAACGTTTAGATCCAGCCAAGTTGAGAGCTTGGCAAAAACAAAGGAAAAAATAAGAGCATACAAAACGTAAAAAATAAATGATGAATGAGATTAGTCGCCTTCGAAAATGGCTTATCATTCTCCACATTTTTCTTCTCCACTCATTTCATTTCTCTCTCTTTTCCTTCAAATATGGCAAGAAAGACATTTCCATTGGTTTTTCCATTATATTTGTCCAATCTCATCCACAACCAATGCACTTTTAGTTCACGACGTCATATCCTCTTATTATCGTAGAATACGCCACACGATAGAAATGAAATTTGCTCTGTAACTTGGATATCAGGAAATTAAAAGAGAAAAATTTCAAAAATTACACAAACTGCCCACACTCATTGTAAGAGCAGAACAAGAACCACGGCTCGATGATCTGAGAGCTTCGTCAGCTAAACCGATTAGAAAACTACATGCTATTTGATTAAAATACCACTGCTCTCTTTTCTTCCAAACATGTTTTCGCCCATTATGAACGTACACTACATCTATTGCTACGCTTTGCATTCAACTGTCATATCAGTTAGCCATCGCCTTTGTCCACAGTCAAAAACGAACAAACAAACAAAGAAACAAATAAAGATCACCTTTAACAGTTAGCTCAATATCGACGTCCATACTACCAGCTTTGTGTTGAGCTACGCAATGATAAATTCCAGCGTGATCAACCGTAACATTTTCGATAATCAGCTAAAAGTTTTACCCATGATTTCTTTTGTACTGTACCTATGATGATCATTTGGTGGTCAGAAAAAGAAATAAGAACTAGAAATCAACTGTGATTTCCGGTACTATCGAAAAACAGAGGTAAAAGACCGCTCATTTTTTCTTAAGAGGAAAATAATTGTATTAGTAGTTATACAGAAAACAGACTAAAAAGAATATGTGTAATTTTAGCGCAAGTTAAACAATTAGAACAATAAGTAAAAGCACTCAAGAGGGGCCATCATAAAAACCACTCTTAGATTTGATAACTCAGGAAAACTGACCGAAAGAATCCTGAGAATTTTAGGCCCAAATAAACTTTTAAAAGAGTTACTTAACAGAAGACATCGCAAAAATCAATAAAATCTAAGCCTAAGAGACAAAGCTTACAAACCTATTAAGGACAGTGATTTATCACTGATTTCTCAAATTTAGATTTTTACCGTATAATTAGCAAAAGTGAAAATGTAGCTCCGAATTTAATGAAGTCAAGTTGTCACTTATGGCGAAAATAGCACACTTAAGAAAAAACTCAAAAAGAAGGAATTCAGACGCTCAGATAATTCAAAACCGTTTCGTTCCAATCATTTTGTTGGAGTAGAAAATTTGAAGTCTAAACAAAAAAAGAACAAACATACATCACCGACATACCAAATTACCGCTCTCAGACAACTTGATTCCCCTCACTTTGTCACCAGGATTCAGAATTCTTCCACCAACAATCCAATTAACAGAAGGATCAGGATGGCCGCTTACTGGACAGCCTAGCTCTATTCGCGACTTCTCAAACACTGATACTTTTCGCTTCCATTCGCTTTCATCAATGTTAAGTGGAACTATAATAACGTGCGAATAGAACTACTATGCGCTATACTCACTCGCTCTTACTACTACAAACCTACCAATAACCTCAACATCGAATGTTTTACTGCTTTCACCAGCCAAATTATGAGCAACACATTTGTATACGCCAGCACTCGTTGTATGAGCCTAAACACTTATTAATGTAGCAGATTATTATTCCTCTCTTTCGTTGCTCGTAAAGCCATTAAGCAAAAGCAACTAAGACACACATATTTCAAACAAACACATCTCCAGAAATACGCATTTTTTCAATGTATGAAAAACTGGAAATAACTCAACTTCTCCGTCGGTTAAAAAAACAAAAGGCGGTAAGCGAATATGTTGGAAACACCTTCATTCATCAGCTCTGCTCGCAGCCATTGTGAGAGAAGAAACAAATATAGATAAGGTAGACGTTCTGTTCCTCCAAACGGTTTACCGCCTTCTCGCGGCCAGGAGGTATTCCTGGGTGTCGGGCTACGATATACAGCGGGGGATCATCTCCCTAGCAGGGTCTCCCAAGCTGAGGAGTCCAGCGTTTCCATCAGAAAGCCTAGCTAAGAGTAAGCTAATATCAGGATCCACCACCGGCCGGGTACCAAACTAGCAGCATGGTGGCAAATCTCCTCCTGATCCACAAGGGCAGCGACAGCCTGTGGCGGTGAAGACCTGGGCAGACTTTGTCTAGGCTGACCTTAGGACTCTAGGAACTCCAATGATTAAACCAGGAAAACTCCGAAGAAATGAAGATTATACTAGGGCACGCACAACCAGTGAAGACGGCCATCGAAGTATCCAAGTAAAAAGTTCTATTTAAACTAAAGAACGAAAAAAACTGCCAAATTTTTTCGCGTTTGAATCGAGAAACATATTCAGGACGAATGGGTAATGAAATTGAAGTAGCGCCGAAGGTCATCAGTTAGCTACTTTTATACAGGCAAATCCGTTAATCATAGCAAACCGCAGAAAAATTCCGTGAAGTTTTTGATATGATGGAAGACGTTGCTGACATTTAAAAAGACTGTTTTTGCAGAAGACAGAATGGTAATCAGTACTAGATTAAAAGTAGCTCAAGAGCCCAAGTGACTGCTGCAAAACTAATCGCCAGTAACCATACCATTGTAAAGAAGTGAAAAAGGTGATGTGGCAGTTCAGATGAAAAAATGAAAATGTGAAGAAAAGCAACTAACTAAATAACGAAGTGTGGGTAGAGTGTCCTAGTTCAAAAGTTTAGCCACAGTGAAAACAGTGAAAAAAATCTGCATTACATATGGGGATTGAATGTGGGTCCATAGGGTGGGAAGCGTGCATGTGACGCAGTGGTCAGAGGTGCCCTGCAACACACCCGTGTAATCGATCCCCACGCCTATGGTCTACCAAGCTTTTCATCCCTTCGGGATCGGCAAATTGATACCAGACTTGTCTGGGAGGATAGCAGCACTGGCTCAATCATCGATAGGTCACCGCGAGTCACTGTAAAGGCCAGATATGCATTCAATCACCTCCAACGATGTTTAACGAAGTCGAATGCTTGGCGCATCTCTCAGGGATTGGTCAATGCCGAGAGCTTTATCCTTTCAGTTTAAAGGACCAAAGCCGAAGCCCTTACCTCAACAATATGAAGTCTTCGTTTGTCTTCTGACATAATGATTTTAGGATCAGCGTCAGATATGACACTTTCATCAAGATACCAAGTGATCTGTAAAATTAGAGGCGAATAAACTAGTTCTAAACTTCAGCATAAGTAGTGTACCTTCGGTAATGGAGTGCTGATTACCGGACAGTAAAGACTAAACGGTTGGTGGATTCTGATGGATTCAAGTGAAACCCTGTCTTGATCAGGAATATTCGGAGGAACTGAAAACAGGAACTAAACAGAGAGTAAAAAGAAGGCTTTTTTTCTAATGAACGCACCAATAACACTGAGACGGATGACCTTCTCGGCTTTCCCGGCTGGATTAGAAACTTGGCATGTATAAAACGCAGCATCATCCTTACTCACCGATTCTATGACTAAGGTGCCACCTGAAACTACTGTTATCATAAAATCACAAAAAAACTACTAGCATCAATCAGATTAGTGGGTTGGTAACACAGTTGCCATCTCACAATATACAAATAATGTTTGCTAATCAATGAGACTGTCGGGCACCCGTTTAGCAACCTGTTCATTTACACCAATACCTCCTTAGAACTCACCGTCTACTGAAACACCAGGAATGGAATCGTGGATTGGAACTCCCTTTCTTAACCACTGGATTACGGCCGGCGGGCTTGCCTTGACATAGCAACGGATCTCCACCTAGCATTCATTAAAAGCAATTAAATGTTCAAATCAAAAACGGCTGTAATAAAAACAAAATAGGCCGTTTCTCTTCAAATATGAGTCAAAAAAGTTTCAAAAATATCTGTCAAGCATACCAAGTCTCCCTCCACGGAAGTGTAGTTCGACATTGTAGCGGGTAAAATCACCGGTGGTTCTGTAATCTTGTAAAATTATTGAAAACTGATAAAATTGACCATGTAAAAAGAATAAACAAACCTTGAACAACCACAGTTGTAACTTGACTAGCAGTTCCAACAGCGTTGCCTACCTCGCAAGTATACTGACCACTATGGCTAGTCTAAATGTATTAAATGACTATAATCTATAAAGTACAACAGTCCATTACTAGACTGTGAGGTAATACAATATCGTACAGCTGTTGTAAAAAACTAAGGAAACATTTCGTGTAACTGCAAACAAGGCACACCTGCGTGTTCATAATTCGTAGTGTCCCGGCAGAGTCTACGTTGACAGTATCCAAAACATCGTCGCGTATCTTCAATAATCTCAGTAATGTATGCTCTCACAATATTGAGATTATGACATCTTGAGCACGACATCACCTGAATACCATCTTTCTTCCATATTCGTTCTGGTTCTGGAGTTCCACGTGCTTTGCACGGAATTTCGAGCGTTAGGCCCAGTATAACATCAATTGTACTTGGTGTTTCGGAAACGATCTTCGGCTTCTCATGCACCTGTAGAAAGAATAGTGCTCAGTATTCATCTAACTAACAATGAAGCATTCAATTGCTATCTGATTTTAACTGTTATAAAGTACTCAGAGAGAAAACAGAAATATCACAAGGTATCCCTTATGTCCGTTAATGTCCACTGCAACTGTTTGTCATACCTCACTTTATTACCGTAAGAAAAAGACAGTGCTAAAAGTTTCAACTCTAGTTTTTGCTACAATTATGAAGCAAGACGATAGAATAACAGAAGAAAACAAAGAATGTGTTGACTTACCTCAAGACTGTAAGTGATTGAGTCATCGCCAGCGAGGTTTGACACAAGGCAAGTGTAGTGACCGGTGTTATCAAGCTGCACAGAAGGCAGAATCAATTCTCCATCTACTTCATGCTCATACTGCAATCATAGGTGGTTACAATAAACAAACAATGGTAATGATGATAAATAGTCGATAAGCTAATTAATGAAGGGAATAGCGCCCTCCCAACCGACCCTACCGACGGTTTACCGCCTCATCGTGGCTGGATGTTCCCGCGTGTCCGGCTGCGATGTAAAGCGGGCGGTTCATCCCTCCAACCGAGCCTCCCAAGCTAAGAAGGGTTCCGACGTTTCCATCCGTAAGCCCAGCTAAGAGTAAGCCGTTGCCAAGATTCACCACCACCTTGGTAGCAAACTAGCCGCATGAAACATCTTCCTCAGATCCACAATGGAGGAGACAGTCCGGGGTGGTGAAGACCTGAGGAAGGCTTCCGCTAGGCTGGCCTCGCGATTCACAGGAACCACAATGAATAAAAGAGCAAGTATGGAAATTATGCTAAGGCTTGCACAACCAGTGAAGCCGAGTCATCCAAGTATCCAAGTATCCAAGCATTTATTAGCGATATAAGATGCCAGCTATTTTTTGAAATAACACGGCATACTTAACTCGATACAAATAAGATAACCCATATGGAAAGCGACTCCTTATTAGATTCATCTATATTCAATTGCGATATAAAGTTCAAATCTACTCACAAGCATATAGGTTTCTTCCAAATTCTGCCCTTCATAACTCCAAATACGAATCGGTGGAGGAATAGCATGGGCCGGACAAGGAAGCGATACCGTTTCGTTTACAAGTACAATTTTACTAATGGTCTGGAACATAGTAAGGTGATTTCTCCGACAAAAGACAATGGTGAATTCTCGGAGACACTTGCCTGTCCGCTGCCGTCTATTATTGGAGCCGTATGGACAGTAAGTGTCACAACACGTTCGTCTTCTCCAGCATCATTTGAAGCCACACACTTCAGTTGACCTCTAAAAACCAGTTAACTGATCACTCAGAATTTGTTAACATCTAGAACTTAGCATGGAAACGAAATGTAAAAGTTTCTTACTTTCCCGCCAATTTTTCCACTTTTCAGTTTCTCACTTTCTTTCTTAGTTAAGTTTAGTTTAATTGTTCCTCCTTACCGATGAATCTCTTCAACATTGTCAATGGTCAACGCTCCGTTTTCGTCAACATAGCCGTCTTCAAAAGGTTCACCGTTTAAATACCTGTGGAAGAAGTATCCGTGATATCGTAAGCAAAAATGTTCATTGCGATTATAACTAAAGGAAACCATTTAATTTCTGGCATTGGCTCCATGTACACGTCGCATGGAATCGTCACTGAGGTACCGTGGATCAAATTGAACGAACTTTGACCAGGTGAGATTACTGGCGCGGCAATAACACTCACATATGTCGACTGAATTTCATTTCTTCGTATTTTTCATTAAACATTTCTCCTTCTTCTTCTCTTATAATAAAGTACCTGTTCATTCTCGCCGGCTGGATTCATCGCTGTGCACGTGTAGGTTCCTGCACTACTCTTATCGGCATTAATAATAATGAGGCTGTTTTCCTGCTAAAAACCGTTTTATTTTACCATGTATAACTTCGTTGTTTCATTTCTACTTCAATCTAGTAATTCAATCAAAAGTCTCACCTAACGATACCATGAAAAAGTACAATTCCTAACCTTTCGAACCAACTATAAAAATTTGTGTCTGACATACGAGTAAGCTCCAATATTTCTTTTTTTCCCTACCGTACTCATATGTGCAATGTTACGGCACTCCACTTAAAGATTTTTTTGCGTGAAAGTAGATAGCTACATCGCTGTTCACTAGCGAATATTATTATCAGAAATGAAAGTAGATAATCGCGTTTCGTACCGTAATAGTGTAGTCCTTTGAATTGATACTGATAGGTCTTCCGTCAAGACTCCATGTTACGGCTGGAGTTGGAGTACCTCGTACACGACAAGGCAATTCCATGCTTTGTCCTTCGCGAATACTCAATTCTGCTGACTCCGCGCGTTCATCCAGAACGAACTCTGGCTTCTCTGAACACGAACATGCACACACAACACGATCACAGTGATTCATAAGGAACAGTAAAGGATGTGAATAGAATCTGTTATCATCCTCTACACCAGGAACTGGGGATTTTGCTTCATACACATGCTTAAGGTGTTCGTCATGAAGTGTCTTCCTCTTGAGCACACGAAGCATGCATTAACATTAGTGTCGTCAGACAGAGGGAAATGACAGAAGCCAACAATGTAGTAAAAAAGAACATACTGATTAGTTGTACATTCACATTCAGAGTAGCATTGCCTGCAGGAGAAATTGCAGCGCATGTGTATTTGCCCTCATTCGCGGAATTTCCATTACGTAGAAGAAGGGATGATCCTCCACCTTCGATCTGGAGAGATGAATGGTATTCAATCAACCTCTTCTTTTCTTTAACCCTTACTCTGACGTGTAACCAAACTCTAGTAATAACTCTGTTCAATCCACACTGATCCACCAATAAAATTTTATTCACCAGCAATCTCATTGTGAGAGGTATTTCAGCAGAGAAACCAAATCGGTGTTTTCTTACCAAAATTGGACGCTTTGCTTTTAAATAATCTTCTACACTCTTGTATACACAATGCACATTATTATAAAGCAAATATTCCACCTGACACTTGTTCATGTGTTTGCTTTTTTATGCCAAAGTATGTATAACCTAAAATACTGGAATAAAAATACAACGAAATATTTGGGCTTTTTATGCAGATTAAAACATAAGCTTAACATAACGAAAGGGCTCGTAATGTTACTGTTTGGTTTGGCTTAAGAACCGCAAACAGTCGCCGGACGCAATGTTAGTTTCAAAAGTATAGTAATATAGATGGAAAGATTTGAAGATGAAACTGGTCGACGACGACTTCTTGCCTTTGACGGTAATCATTTGCAGACTTAAACTAAACCCGATCAGCGAACAACGGCTCGAAAACTATAGGAGAGCAATGCGTAAGGAACGCATTTTCATGAACGTCATTCGAAAAATTGGGACCAACGGATTAGAATGGAACGAACATGGTGAGCGGAGTTTATCATGACGACTAAGACCATCCACGGTAACACGCAATTCCAAAAGCCCCACCCTCAACGCTGGAAGTGGGAGTGTGCCAATGGAGAGTACCATAACGAAATAGATCACATCAAAGTAAATAGAAGGTTTTCCCTAACAGATGTCGCCATGGTCCCAAAATTCTATACGGCATCCAACCATCGCCTCCTTCTGCAAGATTCCATTTCTCGCGAAAGGGGGAAAAAGTCGCTAAATTCATAAACTGAAGTCCCAGAACCCCCATAAACATGCACTTATTCAATTCATTAGTCGGCTGTTGGGAAGATGCCGTTATCGATAACACCGACGAGGAATACGATCGGCTCATACAACATCTTCACGTTAGCGCTATGAAAGCTCAGAGTTCGAAAGTCACCAAGAGACGTTTGCCTTCAGAAACACTCAAGCTGGTACGCCAGCGTGGAATCGCACGAGCTACAGGCAACCGCGAAATAACGTCCGAACATGCAAAACAATCCAGACAGGCGATAAAAGAAGATCTTAAAGAGAGAAGGGCAGAAGTTATGGTCGAAGCTGCAGAGTATGGAAAATACATTCGCAAAGCTCACCAAAGCTTCGCCATTTACAAGACCAAGATGATTGCACTCCGACGCCTAGACGGAGCACTAATAGGGTCCAGAAAGGGAACGGAGAAAATCAGTCACGAATACTACTCGGATTTCTTCGATAGCCACGTCCACCTTCCATCATATGAAAGAAAGGAGGATGGATATGTTGTATCACCGGTTCTCCTCTCCGAAATCCGACATGCCATTTCGTCGGTGAAAAATCGAAGAGCACCAGGTCCGCAAAAGATAAGATCTGAACACCTGAAGAACCTTCCGCTAGTCCTCGTAAACACACTGGCTCGGCTCTTCACACGTTCCCTGCCTGAATGCAAGGTATCTACTCAATGGAATACCACCAAGACAGTGCTAATGCTCCAGAAAGGTCACCTCTACGATATCGGCAACTATCGCCCAATCTGCTTGCTGTCTGTCGTTTACAAACTTTTCACTCGAGTCTTCTAATTTCTAAACAGGATTGCCAGAACAATGGGCGAAGGAGAGACATGTGAACAAGCAAGGTTTCGAAAAGTATTTACTACGATGGAACACATCCACACGATAACAAGACTCATTGAAGCATCGCGAGTGTACAAGGAACCGTTCTGTCTCAGTTTTATCGACTTAAAGAATGCCTTTAACTCAATTGAGATAGAAACAGTCATGAAAGCCCTTGATAGTCAAAGAGTCCATACTCAGTACATGATGATTCTTCGTGAGCTGTACAAAAACTTCACGGCCAACATATCACCATTCTAGAGCGACATTATCATTGATGTCAAAACCTTTACACTCGAGTCATGCTAAGTTAGTAAGACGATAGCATCTCGCCAAAATTATTTACCGCCACCCTCCAGAACGTCATGCGAACATTGGAATGGGATAATAAGGGAGTGAAAATCGACGATCGCAGTTACACTATCTTCGCTTTGCTAATGACATCGCCCTTATAAAATCAAACATTAGCCAAGCGGAACGTATGCTTGCCGACTTTGATAGAGCCTGCGGAAAGATTGGTCTTCGACTAAATCTCACAAAAACGATGTTCATGAGGAAAGGGTTGGTTTCATATGCTCCATTCACGCTCAACGGAACGAATATCTCCTAATGCTCCTGTTAAGTTTCTCTAGGTCGGGAAATCAATATGTTGAACGACCTAGCTCTAAAGCTGAGCAGAAGAAACGAGCTGCTTGGAGAGCTTTCAAGAGCATCGAGAATGTAGTGAAAAGCGCAAAGAACACCCGACTCCGTGCCCACCTTTTCGACTCAACGGTACTTCCTGCCCTAACGTATGCGTCAGAAACCTGATCGTTGCGTAAGCAGGATGAATGATCACTCAGCGTTATTGAACGTGCAATCGAAAGGGCGATGCTAGGAGTATCCCGTGAAACTAATTAAGGGAATGGATCCTTAGCTTAAACCTGCGTCAACGATCAAAAATCAAAGATGCCGTTCTGTACACTAAACAGTCGAAGATAAAGTGGGATGGACGCATAATGCATATGAACGACAACCGATGGACAAAAGCCGTTAATAATTGGATTCGTTGGGATGTCAAACGTACTGCAGGAAGACCACCGACCCGATGGTCAGAGTTCTTTACGGAAAGCCTAGGAGAAAGATATGATGCTCGACGAGTCCCTAGGGCGAGCAGAACCCACTGGGCTACTCTTGCAGCCCGCTCGTGTCACTCGACAATCAACGGGACTACAGGTTATACAGGTGATACATTCGAAAAAAAGAAAGAAATTGGTTTTGTGTGAATCGAACGAAGAGCACTGCTGAGTAGTCTGTTGTAGTCCTTTTTACGAAATAGAAACCATTAATTCTTCGATTACATTGTGATAACCGACTTAAAACGGCTTTCTATGACAACCGACGGTACTGCATGCAGTGCTAAATTTTCCATCAGAAGTTTGCAACGACTATCTAATGAACAGAAAATGATACGATTCATTACATTTTTTTCTAATATTGAGAAACTATTACAGTAAATAGCTGCTGTCAGAAAATTAAAAAGAATGCATCAATAACTGAAGCTTTTCCTACCAACATTAGTTAAGAGTAAAGAACCGGTCCTGTTCCACCACAGGACCTGACCCCACTTAGCTTAAGAAAAAGTGTAAGGATTAGGAATTTAACAAGAGGGTCTACAATAGTACGTATACTCAAAGAGACTCTCTCTCCAATTAAACCCCACTTTTTAAGCATCCCGACAACTACTTGTCACGTTAAGTTTTCAACAACCCAGCCGCTGCTGCAAACGTCTAAAACGGTCTCATGGATCCTCTCTCATAAAACCCTAGAATGTTACCTTAATGGAAGAGATAAACCTAAAGAGATTTGCAATTCACTAGTGAAAAGTCCAGATTTTAATAACTTTTATTCGGACTGATAAAGTTTTTCGATAGATGAAGTCAGATAAAGGTAGAACCCATCAAAATTTTAAAAGCGAGAGTTCAGAGAATTTCATTGGGTCTGCATGGTTACTCGAAATTAAACAAACTACAGATTTTAAAGCTAAAGCAGAAGTAGTTGCCGTGAGTCTTTAAAATTGGATTTTGTGTTTATTTATGTCTAGAAGATTGGCACGAAATGTCCGATATGTTTGAGCGAAAGGAACATTAGTTTCTCGAAACGAATCAACTTTCGGTGGCTATTCGGATATTTCCTTTTTTCAGCCTATTTCCTTTCCTTCATACAACTTCTCAGAATGCAATGAAAGTTTGCTTCCAACTGAACAGATTTCTTTGCAGTGATGAAAATTAGTAAAGGAGAAAAAGCGGTAGAATTCTTTTACCACAAGCATACTTATTCATGCATACTGTAATTAAGAGCGATATGCTTTACAATAAAGAAAAAAGAACGTACGATAACCGACGAGCTAGATTCGAGTGGAACACCGTCTTTGAACCATATGATATCAGGTTTTGGTGTTCCGAGTACAACGACACACGAAAGATGGAGATCTTCACCTTCGATGAGCTGTTCCTCCGGCGGTACATGGCCAAGTACGGGAGAAACTGTCAAAGGCACGAAACATTTTCCTTGATTCATTGCCACCATTGAAGCAGTAGTTATTTACCTAAGCCCGTGATCATCACCATTATTGTTTTCGCTTGCTGACCGAATTCGTTCTTTGCAATACAGGTGAACCTAGTCTGATCTTCTACTTGTGCATCTCAAAAGGGAAGAAAAAACCTCCAGTGAAAGTAGCTGCAATAATTCTACCATCAATTCAACAAACAAAGCACACTTGTAATTAGCAGGTTGCCATCAGGTAGGACGGTATAACGGGAATTGCCGACGATTTCCAGCGGTACACCGTCGCGCTGCCAGCTGATTGCTGGTGATGGATGCCCAACAGCTCTGCATTGCAATGTGGCCTGCATCGATTTCTTTTCAATTTCTAATCACTACTTATGCATGCATCGTACTTAAGACATTGCTCAGTATTCCAACCTGTCTCTCGATATTCACTCGGACGGTCTCCGGAGACGGTACGATGCTCGGCATAGCTGAAACTCCGAGAAATATCATCAATTCAATTGCACCACACACAATGGTAAAAAGAGAACTAATTATATATCAAAGACATAGCTCACATCACTGATCGTGTGAATAGCAATGTTTAGTTCAAGCATTTAATTTTTTTGATAACATTTTTGAACTCTTGAATACTACAACATGGGATCATAAGTGCGTACAAGGGATAAAATGCTTGTGGAAAGCAGGGAGGTAGGGAAAGTGAAGTTATTCCATAAAAATTACCCCGCTGTGAGCTATCTTCCTCTAGAATACAGGGAAAAAGTGACACAGTAAATAAAGTAAAAAAAAAGATTTGGGCTGCCCAGATCAATCCCGCTGACGGGTGATTGCTGATGGCCAAAGATCGATAGAACTAGCTGAGAGACAGGCGAAACGAAGGACCCGCATGGTGTGGTGGGGAACGCGTTGCTCCCCGGAAAGGACAATAGCTCGTTTGTTTTCCACCGCAGACACCTGCGGTCCGGAGTCTGGAATATCTCAGCATCATTAAAGCTATATTTCGCAATATATATACCCAGGCGTTAAAAAGAGTAGGCAACAAATAATAAGCTAAAAATAATGACACAGTAATTCAGTGGGAGTGGGTGGCGTAGAGGTTAGAGATGCGCTGAGAAGCGCGTAGTAGACATTGATTCGATCCCAATTCAGGGGTTAACTAGGAACCACATTCCTTCGGGGCTCAACAAAATGGTGTCAAACTTCTCTGATATAACCAAAAAAAACTGGTATAATGTATAGGCAAGCTATTGAAACTCATAGTTAGAATAAATACGCATTTAACCAAATATTTTATTCTTTACGCTTTTATTTCAAGCTCACGATATTCACTTACGCAATGTTATGACTATGACTACGACCACGACTATTACTGAGTACGACTGAAAAATGTCATCTTTAATGTAGCTAAGCAGTTGGGCGAAAGAACTTTTCCACTTTTCGAGATAAATTATAGGGTATTTCAAAACGTATAGAATGGGCTACCGATTTGTGAGGTTCACACAACAAACTCATGGCTATTCGAAGTCTTTCAAGCGATTTTGAAAAACGACTAATGCGCACCCCTGGCTTTCCTGTATGTTTTAGATGCCGTTTCATTTTTCTCTACCGCCATTTTACAACACTTTGTAAAAAAAATTGTAATTCAGGACAAAACTCACTTCCCACTGCGACTTTTACGACCCCAGTATCTCGTCCAGCAATATTTTCCGCGACACAAGAATACGATCCAGCATCCGTATCCTGTGCTCCCTTAACAGATCAGCTTCGAAGGAATCCCATCTTAACCGTTTCAAGAAACTATCAATCTCCAAAAATCCCTCCACCCGTGCAAAATATACTGCTGCCATTTTACAAAGCTCACACACTGAACACACAACTTACTGAAATGGTCAGACGCGTTCCAGTTACCCTCATATAATCGTTATTACTTTGTAAAAGTTCTCTTCCGTTTCTAAACCATTGCACACTAGGCTGTGGCGTTCCATCCAGAATCTTAACATGCAATCTATAAAAGAACAAAAAATACAAGCGGTCATCAAACTCGCAACTCACTACACAGTCGAGAACAATGCTATCTCCTCGTCCGATCATGGATTTACTTTGTCTCAATTCCACACGAGGAACCACTTAAACAAATGAATATTTTCCGCTCCTAACAAACTTGTTTTCCTTATTAACACACTAGTGAAGGAATACTTCCTTTCTTTCCCTTCAGTAGAACTTATAAAGTCGTATATTTAAACAGATATCTATATTTAGCAAAACATAGGAAATATACTACTCGCCACTATTATTCAAATTCTTCCAAATATTACTCATTAGAGCAGTTCCATCAATCCACTAAAAAAATCTATTAAAATCTATTCCAGTGAGCATTAAAAGGACTATACTATCTAACCGCATTAAAACACGAGTTGTTGAAACTTGCATGCTTCTTGTTCGAAACGTGGCAGCCCACATATATACCCTTATTTAAAACAAATAACGAAGTAAAATTTGAATAACCGCCAAGGTAAACAGTAGCAGAGTCGGAATGAGAACCAGCAGCGGAAACGGCACGACATTCATAGACACCGAAATCGTTTGGTGAAGGATCGCGCACGATAAGATCGTCTGAAGAAGCCTGTTAAATCCAGAATTGATAAGAAGAATAACGTAAGTGACCTACTTTTGAACGTAATGTAGTACTTGTGGTCGGGTTGGATTTCACGACCATTGTAGAACCAGTAAGGTTGTGGTCGCGGATCCCCATCAACGTAACACGAAAGGTTAAACGAGGTATGCGGCACAAAATAGAGAATACTTGGTGATATAGAAGCTTTAGGTAACTCAAGAACCTAAAACAGCATCGCAGTCATCATAGACGGATTTACGTGTTCATACATAGGTTTCAATAATAAAATTTTTTTCGTAGAGAACAATTATCAAAGTTTTCTACCGTAAAGCTGCAAAAAGAATCGACAAATACAATCGAATGTTGATAATATGCATACATATATTATACCTTTAGTTGAATTGTTTGACTCGTCATGCCACCCAAGTTCCTCGCTTGACACTCATAAGCTCCAGCGTCGGCCTGAGATGTTTGGTGAATTCGAAGAGTTCCATTGGGGTACACCAACTGCAACTATTAGTTTACTTTATGATTCACTTGTCTGTGCACAATGCGAAGTATTAAAATACTTCATTCACATTGTTAAAATTATTAGGTATGGATACACCGTGACGTAGCCATCTTATTTCCACTTTGCTGGATGATTGGCTCTGGCAGTGAAGAAACGTCGGATTGCCAATTGGTGTAGATATTTCGGTAGGTGAAATGAGCAAAGGAGGTGACTCTATGAATGACAATGATTAAAGTGAAAAAACAACAGCTTGTCAACAGTGTGAAAGATATCCAACCTGAACCATCACAAACCTGTGTAGTTCGTCAAAATGAGCAGTAAATATCACATCATTTCCACAGTGCAAAGGTCTAATGTAAAACCTTGTCGCTGTCTTTTCATAAAACAATGCCAGGGATTTTCCCAGCGAATCAAGTTGTTCCCGAATTTCGAACTCATGAGGATGCTTAGATCCAAGGGGATAGAAGATAAAGTGAAAATTGAAAGCTACTATGTGGTTGTGCAGCACGTGTGAATTCAGATTTTGTGCAGGATCTCCTGTACCTGATGCAGTGGATTTACACACTCCACCTGATTGCGTTACGCGGATTGCATGGTGCATGTCACTTCGGTTAAAACATTCCCATCGAATTGCTGGCAGGTACAAGTGAAAAGACTTAGATTGCTGCCAAAAACAAGCTTCAAACTCATTCCAAGAAACCCTGACAAGGCAACCGTATCCAGTCGTCACAGTCTTTCGACATGCTACGGCGGTGTTTTCTTGCTTTAAGTAGTAAAAACGTAGGGCTACGTCGAAGCCACACATTATTAAGTTATCTTATTTAGATCTTGCACAACTCCCATTTAAATCACTCAAAGCTGAAACTTTAAGCAAAACAAAAGACAATGGTCACTCACCTTGTACATCCAAGTATGTCTTTACTGTGTGGTTACCATTGCTGCTGACAACAATGCAGTAGTATTCGCCACGATCTCTATGGGTTACTTCTGGCAAAGTCCATCTAGCAGTATCAGTAATCCTTAATCGAAAAGTTTAATTAAATATTTCTAAGAATTCTTTTAGAGCAATTCACTGGTAAAAGAATGGTCCGCCGATATGTTGGTCGTCCTTCTTCCAATATAATGTGAATGGAGATGCACTTTCAATCATGCACGTTAGATTGGCATCCTACAAAAAAGCCTCACATTTAGCAGACCCAATATTACTAAAACTATTGTGTGCAAATTAAGAAAATAAGCTTAATCATAACAAAACATTTACAGAGTTAAAAATTAAACCGATAAAGGTCTCATAAATCATCTACCATGTTGACGAATGCGGTGGTGGTTGGACTCATGTAAGCACGCGGTCCGCCAACGTCAACAGAACCTATAGCTGTTGGAGCGATTCGTTGATACTCGTATTTCTGAAAAAAAAAACACATGACAAGAATCTGCTTAAACATACTTCTTCTGCAAAAATCATCTTACGTCCTCATCGACGCCTTTAACACGGACAAAGAAAAGTCCTTTAGGAGGAACGAAAGGACCAGCGAAAAACATATGCGGATTCCCAACATGTGTTGTGGCAACATTGGAATAAAGTACATTACCTAGACATAGCTATAGCACAATATGTAAAAAAAACAATACCCTAATTTCATATCGATGACATTGAAAAATCTATGGACTTTTAACGAGAAACTGTACCATAGTAATCCATTAATCCAATCTCGCTTGCAGAGCCGGGTGGGATCAGTCCTGTCATATTTACCATAAGATAGGTGTTTTGATTGGAAACAGGACGAGGATGCGCCTGGAAAGCTTCAAGCTATTGTCGCAATCGGAGATTCAGAAATTTACCACATTCTCATTACCAGTTCGATTCGTTCTAATAACCTCGTACCGAAACCATACTTAAAGTCGATAGTTCCGTGCCCAAAGATTCTAATCGTATGTTTCAACCGAGACTTCGTTATTACCTGAAAATAACCTGAAGTCCATGAAGAACCTCAAACTTTGTCAATTTGCTGTCAAACCTGCCATATTCCTGGTTTTGGATCCTTCAGTCGAATTAGCTTAACATTCTTGAGATCAATATTTCCCCCTTCTTTGCTGTAGATATTCTTGTCTACAGATCGCCCTGGAGTGGAACACAGATTTAATACTAGTCATTTAACTAGCACATAATCTTGTACTATTCAACAGTTGGCCTTTTTGGTTAAACTTGAATTGAAATGACCCGTTCAATTAGTGGATTAGTTGGCAACGACTTCAATAGGAACTGATATCAACGAAAATTTTTTGACTTGAAATAAACTTAGTTCCACGATTCAACTGCTGATGATGCTCGCATAAATGTTTTTTCTCAGCTCAAAGAGCTGGGAGAAGGACTGTAATTGGAAGCAAGTATTATAATCCTTTACTGTCAGGTTGTGAAAACCAGTAGTAAGGAGGATGCGTGTCTTCAAGATCATTCCAGATATACCGAAGACACCGAAAACCATTAAAACATAAACCATTCCTTTAAAAAATGTTGTCAATCGGATTTCTCCAATGTGCTTAGATCAATAAATTCTGTTCAGCAAAATAGAGGAAACCTGGTACTGCAAAACACAAAACACAAATCTCCCTTTTGTGAACTTGACGGGGTCTGAATACAACATACATCACTGCAGGAGGTAGAGTAAAATAAATCATTATAAATTAACAAATCCTAATTTCACTTACTACAATCAGAAATTTACCAATTTCGTAGAAAGACAACTACATTCAATCTCAAAACACTTTTCCATAGATGAATGCAAAATCTAATAGTACAACAGAGGCATCAACTACTCATTGGATTGTGCAAACTAAGGGAATCTCTAACCTGATGGATCCTTGAGTGTAATATCCAGAATATCTTCATCGTCTTTATCACCTGATAGCGACAATGTTAGTTCAGTCATGTGTTTATCAACGGGAACGTTTCGTATCACTGTTCCTCCACGTTCCCTAACCTCATATAGAATATGCACCTAAAATTGATCCACTAGGCTGAACAGCGGCTTCATCGCGGTTTTCTTCTGCAGATAGTGTAGTAATAAAAAAGCACAAATTTGTGCAGAAATCAGTTATGGTGCTTTTGAGTGGGAAATAATTTAGTGTCTCATTATTTAGTATTCCTCCCAACAGTTCACCTCCTCTTCGTGGCTGGGAGATGTTCCTGGGCGTAGGACTGCGATGTACAGCGAAGGACTTATCCCCTGGCAAGGTCTCCCAAGCTGAGAAGGAGTGCGGCGTTTCCATCAGGTAGTTAAACCGATACCAGAATCCACCACCGTCCTGGTATCAAACTAGTCGTATAGTGGCAAATCTCTTCCTGGTTCACAAGGACAGCGACTGTCTGTGGTGGTGAAGACCTAGGGCAGACTTTGGCCAAGCTGACCTTGGGACTCCAGCGACCATAATGGCTTAACCAGCAAATCTCCGAAAAATGGAGATTATGCCAGGCACCACACAACCTGTGAGGACGGGTCTCTCAAGTATTCAGGTAAGTATTTAGTTTTGCTATTACATCATACGAAGGCGCATATGGCGCAGCGGTCAGAGGCGCCCAGCAACGCACACGTGTGATCGATCCCTGCGCCCCTGGCCCACCAAGCCCTCCATCCCTCCAGGGTCGACAAATTGGTACCAGACTTCTCTGGGAGGATAGCAGTACTGCCTCGAAACATCGGTAGCCCACTGCGAGTCATTGTAAAGACCAGATATGCATTCAAGCACCTTCAAACGATACTCAATGAAGTCAAATGCATGGCGCATCCCTCAGGGATTGATCAACGCGGAGAGTTTTTTTGGCTTTATTACTCTAAACGCCCATTGTAACCGTTAATGTATTCATTACAACTATTCATTATTATAACTCACTAATAATTACAGCACCTTCAAATGTTTTTTGAAGCAAAAAGCCCGCGGCCCACGTAGCGGAAAGCAGGATTACTAATTGCACTCAAATAGAACGACAGTATTAGTAATCAGCACTACTAATACGTCCAAAAATATTTCTACCTAGATCTTTTTACGTTTCTGAATTTTATCGTCAATTTAGAGACTCGAGTAAATAAAGGTAAAGCTTGAAAACTAAATATTCTTCTAAAAGAGACCGAAGTTTACTGAGAATGACATAGCCATCACAACCTTCTTTTGTTTCACAGCATGTCGCACGTACTCAAGTACAGTAGAAACATCGCTCTTCTCCAGATGGAACACCTGCACAGAAAAAACATTAAACAAGTTGAAGTGATAGCGCAAATATCATAAACTGTATAAACTGTAGCAGTTTAGAAGCATATCCAAATTGAGGCAAAAGTCAACAACACAAGCTGGTTATTAAGGATGAATATCAGTCTTCAATAACATTTACAATGTGATGTGAGTTGAACTCCACTCGTACATAGAAGAGGTAAACAGATCAACCAATGAGAATTAATGACCACTCAATTCATTTTCGTATTATCCGCCTTTCTTGGATTTCACTGGTAGTTCACCCAAGATAGGTGTTAGAAAGAAACCATCCTATATATTTAACATAAGAACCGCTTCTTCGGACAAGTTTATTCTTTACGGCACCGAAAGTATTGCAGAAGAGGAAGGTGCAAAATAAGAGTGTCGCAGATGAGGAGAATACTAAGACAACTTCGCTTCCTATAGCTTGCTTTTTGTTTTGTACCGATAGAATGGCACAAGCTTGTGAAAATACGGTGAAGAATACGATTCTTTGTGACGAAGAGGCAGGTAGCCGACATGAGCTCAATTCGTCTTAGATGAATGGCCATATGAAATTTGAAGTCGGAATACAAGTGTCAGTTTTCCTTCGAATTCACTTCTACCTAGTCTATTTCTGCTTTTTCCCCTCTAGTTTTTCCGCGCTTCCTGAGTGAGAGTCCAGATAACCTAAGCCGTCTTTATGAAATTTGCTTCACGTTTTTCCCCTCATTCCAATACTCGCTGCTATACTTTGGTCTGTAAAGCTCACCTGTCCAAACGAAGCAGCTGCAATTTTCTCATAAACTCGAAAACCGGGATGAGTTCTGTTCCCACAATCACCAGTCATGACAAATACAACCTGAATATTTGAGCTTTTGGACATATTTTAACATTGTGGACAACTGTTCGCTATGATGTAAACTTACACTTTGATCTTAAAGTTAAAGATAATATTAGCAAGAACACCGACACCTGTTGTTGTGGGTTCCTTTACAGTATGACATGCTTAAGTGTTGGCCTTTGTATTTGAAGGAAAGATTCTAGTCGAGATTTCCAGATTCAAAGAGGAAAACTTAATCGAAAGCGGCTTATTTAACAATGCTTACTGAGCTTTGCTTTTCTTGAATCATATTCAGAACGATGTCCTCAAGCTCGTAGTCTTTTGATCGAGCATCGGTGAACACATAAATAAACGATGAAGGTAATGATAACTCCAAAGCTTTCTGGATCCCTTAAACACGTATATTTGGAAAAAATACACGTTGAAGAAAGAACACTCATAGAAAATTTTCTGATGGCAAAAACGGCATGATAGAAGTAATATAAATGTTTCACATGCACTCTACACTGTGCTTTTTTTCGGACAACTGATACGGATTTATTGGATTCGCTTCTAAGAAAATTGTATGAAAAACTTGATTTCCGACAAAACTCATATTTCCTCTCGTTCAAATCACTAATGGGTAAGATCATTTTACGTAACGATACCTAAAAACCGAACGCTTTGAAAGCAAGTTCCGTTTCTGCCAATACGGCAAATATTTAATTAATGGAACTAGTCATTAATGGCACGGTTTACCTAGCCTTTGCCTTGAAATATTTTTTGAAGTAACTGCTTATAAGCCAGCTATGGACGATTTCGGATTATTCCTTGTTCATTAGAGACTAGGTTACATTCGAAAGCAGTACAAAAGACTTCCACTCTCTACTAATAGTCTATGAGGGAACAGCGTTAGCCAGCTGTCAACCAGTTTACATCGACACTATTTTCACGCCATCTGAATACTCGAAGAAGTATCGCATTTCAATAGCGAATTTCTCTCTCACACTGTTTTACATCAGACTAAAGCGTCCAATTTTCGCAGCCTAATTTTGAATAAAAGCTCGGATTCAAAGTCTCAGGAAGAGCCCTAGAAAATCTATAGGATTTTTAAGTCGTGGTTATCAACTTCCTAGTGCAAGCTTATGCAGAATTCTGAATATGCCACTTCATGCAGCAAGTCTCGGAAATAACCTCGCGACCTGCCGATGCTCGGCTGGACTTTTGTAGACGAACGATCCTCTGCGTCGTTTATGATGTCTCAGTTTTGACTCTAACTTCAAAGAACAAAGAATTTCGAACGCGCGTCGCCTGTCCGCTATCAACTGCTCGACCTTTAAAAGTTTCCTTGCACATCTTTTCGAAGAGATTCTATGAAATATTTCATAATCACGATTCGCCGGAATGTTCTGACCATTTTCACAAACATAAATACTGCGTAACTTAGAAAACGGTCGCGTGTTCTTATCGGCGACACGAATCCAAGAATCGACCAACCGGCGATGTTATTTCGCGCGTTTCGTAAATTATAACTAGGCATATTTTCTATATTTTACCATAAATGCCTGTATGTAGATACATACCAGTTAGTGTCTTCTCCGGACAGTCTCCACCACCATGAACGTACACCTTGTTAAGTTGTCGCATGAAATAAGCAGCATCAGTAGTGTTGATTACTTCACCAAGATCTGAATCACTGCATAACTAGTTAAAAGAACAACGAAAAGTTCTTTTACAGAGTATTTTTTAAACTTTTAGCACCCGCTATAAATTCAATAGTCGGCACGGATTTTTCTGACGAGGTCATCGGTGACTAAAGCACATAAATCAATCGTCGAAGCTGGGTCGATTGTGTAACTGGGAAGCGCATTGGAAGGGCAAAAATTAGGATCTTTGGCTAAGCCCATTGGAGCTCAACTGTACTCGAGAAGATTTTTGCAAACGCTCCTATTTTGCAATGATAAAAATTATATACTAGGAATTCTTATAGTTAGTAGCAACAAACACCTACAACGACATGTTGGAATCACCGTCAACTTAATTGTTTTGCATCATTTTCTGAATATTTCACTAATTCAACGACTAACTTTCGGCATTCATTTTCGCGTTTTCAGCACAGTCAAAATACGGGTGGTTGGCATGTATTGGAGAGTCGTTGGAACTTGCACAAGATGTGAAATTCCACGGATTAAAAGACTTCAAAAGACGTTTTGATCGTCGAAATGCAATAGCATATGCCACTTCGTAGAGCGAAATTCGAGAACCAACGAGTCCAATACGAAGGTGAAGATGGGTGCGTCTGCTTGTTGATGGTTTTTTAGAGAGATGATAGATAGATGAGCAGCAGTAGAGTGCAAGAAATTAAAAAAGAAGCATTGAGATGGCGAAGATGCTCAATTTTTCGAGTAATTTTCGAATGGTATAATTCATTATGTATGAAAAGTGCACTGCACTGTCAGACTTACATGGATCATGGAAGGGAACCATGATGTAGTTGTAAATTAGCTTTTCCCGTTGCTGCATTACTGTCTGGAAGATTTTCCTCGCACCTTCGCGAACTTGCACGAGATCGTCGAACATTGAGCCAGTAATGTCAAACACGAAGGTTAGCGAGCTCTTCCCTGCCATTTCGTCACCTGGTCTTCGTCGTTGCCTTTCTGATGTTGCTGCACATACACATGTTGCCAGTAACAGTAGCTTGATCGGCAGCATGGCACTGCAAATAGTATAAATGTGATAAAGAAACTCATATTATTGCTATCAGAAACAAGGTTGTACCGAAAATATCAGAAGGATACATGTATCGTGTAAAAAAGCAATCCTTTATGGCATGAACACAATGCAGTGCAAATTTTCTTCGTGTAGAAATTTTATGAGCAAGACCAAGAATTGTCTTGCAATCCAAGGACGAGATGTGTAGATGGTAGAGCTTCATTGTCTCATTAATAACTATAGGTGAGATCGCAGATAGGTGTGACTGCCATCGATCAAGACTGATCGCCAATCAGTCATGAATTTTCCAGCGCCAAAGGTTCAATAGACAGAACATATCCAGAAAGGTCAAGTTTGACTAGCAAAACTCTATTGGTTATTATTGTATAGAATTATTGTCCTAAAGACGTAACTGCAGATGGTTCGAGAGGATTTTCCTAGTGGCACGGAGTGAACAATTTCGTAACAACAGAGACCATAGACCAGAATGGAATGTGTAGATCTATAGGTACCAATGTTCCTCCAACAAATTCCAGAAATCACACAATACTAGAGGTTGCCTTTAGCAATCTTTTCAGTGAAACGACTATTGAAACATGAATACGAAACGAAATATAAGCAAACATTGAAATTATGTTCCACAAAGACAAGTAGCGCAATCAGCACCAGTATCAGGTTAAGTTCTAGACTTTCAGAATTCAGACAAGAAGATGCCAAAGTGAGTGTGATAAGGGCACACGTTGGTTTGAGCACTGAAGAAATGAGCGAGCTATGCTGGAGAGTATTTGAGAGGGTCACTCACTCTTCCTCACACGCTTACCCTCTGCGTCTTCTCATTCCCCATCACTCACCTTGCTGGGCGGGATCGGAACGAATTTTCTGGACATCTAATCACTACTGAGATTACAGAAGTTAAACACGAAATGTTTCATATCGATAGAATCTAGATGAAAACTCTGCTTTATGTTAGAATAAGCGACAAGGAAGCGCCAACCAAGACCAAGACATCTTTAACGATAAGACTAAAGAAGCAAGCCAAGGTATTCATGTCTCTTCACAAACATTACAGCTGTCGCAACAAAATATTTTCAGACGGTGTAGAAGTTGTTTATGTTTCATGAATTCCATTGGCAGAAGCGAATCTGACCACGTTCTCTTAGATGGAACCGTTAACCCGAGTCGAAATCTAAATCGTACTTAGTATAGAAGTATCAATATAGGTTTTCAGAGTATAAAAATATGCTCGAACACTTCATGCATTCGCTGTCGTATTTCTTAGTGTGCCCAAAATATCAGCAGCCTTACGTTGCACAAACATATCTTGGACGTACAGGAACATATAAAGCAGCTGAAGGAACGATTTTGGTATCGGAGAATACGGGCAACAAGTGCATCTAGAGTATGGCAGCCCTTGCAGTCAGTACCGCACTAAAGCCATTTCCACAAGGAACATCCTGCTAGCTGAAACAGGTTCAAGCTTCATCACTTTACTAAAATGCAGGTGCAGTACACATTGATGCCAATGTGTATGCGGTTCCCAGAGTCGACCGTATGCATTGAATGCATAGCACTGCCTATTTTACTGTAAACAGTTCATTCCCTATACTTTTTGTAGTAATTATTCAGCATACATGTCGTGCCATATGTTGTCCGCGGAAACTGCTCTCTGCGATTTAAAAACCATTTTCGGACGAATTTTGTGATGCACACAGCGTACAACGGAAAATGAAACACCGCCGTAAAAAGCTACGTATTGGTTGCGCATATGTTAAACTACCCCCGATGTTTACATAAAAACAGAACAATATCCTAAATGCTATTGTTCACGATAACGATAGTGAATAAGGTAATAGACGAATCACACTTGGAAGAATGTTGTACTTGTAGCCTTGTAACTGAGTAACCCACCGTCATAAGAGCACCGCCTAGACCGCAAGTGAGTGGTAGCCATGACTAAGCAATATTTAAAGTTTTGGCGAAGGTAGAAGATGAAGAGTTCATGTTGTCTCATCTTATGCAGCACGATAAAGTGCGATGAGGTGCCTTCAGCCAAAACAAGCTCACCGACAGAGAACGTATAAGTCTGATCACCACTCCTCGTGATACAATATCTAGAGCACTAATGTTTGTTAACTTACTACTGCGACGGCATATCACCAAATCACTATATAACAAATCTAATGACATTTATTCACGATTTAAACGTATTAAAAGAAAGTGTACGTATCAAAATACCCGTTCCGAACAACTTCAATGACAATTAGTAATCAACCACATAAGTGTGCAATCTGATTAAATACATTATAGAGCATAAGAAGAGTTAACTTGCTACGAATATTTACAATAACTGATGTTAAAGATCTTCATGTCCGAATATACTATTTTTTTTAAACACGAATTTAAAAACCTTAAAACGACGAGTAAGTCAAATTATACAAAATTTATAGATGACTACAACCTCCGAACTTCCAAGATTCTTGAAGAGTCACAAACCATTTATGAGAACATCCATAAATGAATCGCACTCATTCATTTTTCTAAAGGAAGGGATCAGTTTCACCAACTCGTAGAGATAACGTACGTGTTTCTGAAAATCAAAGAACTAAAGGGATTTTGAAAACTATAAACATATGAAATAAAGTAGAAGAAAGAATAACGAAGAATTGGGGACTATAGACAAAACCCACGGTAAATGCAGGTAGAAGGAGTAGAAGATTGCCGATTCTATGCTCTACATCGACAACTCCCTCGCATTCGAAATAACGATGTAGCTCTTTCACAGCATTACCTGAGGCCTGAAAACAACTGTAACTCAACCAGAAAGAGAAACATTCGGGCAAACACCACAAACAGTAATTCAGTGATAAATTAACATCTAGTAAATGCCCTACGCATCAGCATCTACCGCTATAACTGATTTTTTTTCAAACAAAAGCACGCATTAACGCCTTCTACACTGTCCACGGCGATATTCAAAGAATACCGAATGCTTATCTATATGGTACTGGTAGTTGCTCACGAAATAACTTATTTTCAATACTTTTGCACACAAATACCTCTCACTCTGGATCGCTTAATCACCAGAATACATAGTTAGCGACGAATTTCCACGCCGTTGATTAACACAGTATGTGGTGTGCCATAACAGGAGGCAGGTAGGGAGCAAAACGGCCACAAAGAGCGACCATTCAATTGCTCTGAGTCTCAGATCAATTGATTAAACAGCCTCACATTTCTGCTGCTTCAGGGCCATGGGCACTGCAACCTTCAAGAAAAGCACAGGAAGTTACCCGTGACTATCTTCTCACAAAGGAACTAAACCTTAATGTTCGAAAAGCGTTCTGCTTTACGTGCCTCCCTATCGCATAGAGGTCGCTGAATAATACTGAAATAGGACATGCTATTCCGAAATATTAGAAAACACCTTTGTCATAAACAATAGAGCTGAGAAGAAAAGAATTTTAGCGAAACATAGGAAAGATAAAGCTTTATGCTATTTGCATGTCATGCGCTGCATCAGTCCCAGTATTTAATATTTAGAATATCCATAGAGGTCAAGTATTAAACATACAACCCATCCCACAAAACATGCAAAGTAATTTTGAACTGTATTTATCAACTTCTCCCACTTTCCTGAAAGTATTCCGCCACCACGGTGGACAATTTCTGCGTTGAAATGTGGCACGGTAACAGAGCCTCACTTCAATAGTGACACTCAAAATTTTAAGAAACTTGGTATGTCAATCGGAATCCCAGATAACAGTAAACAAATGCGAGGAATCGGCGCTCTAACGAAGTCTAGTTGTAAGATGAAAAACTTCCCTCCGATCCAGTCAGTCGACGCCTCCAGTCACAATTTTCCTAGAGTGGCTAACTGTACACTTTTCCCCAAGTAGCCAGATATTATTAACCAGTCGAATATTTTAATTAGTCACATTAAATAGCGAAATAACCGAATATAACTAGTTTAACCATTTTACTAATATGGCAAAATGGTTAAATTAAGTTGGTGCCTGCAAAATTTGAGGAGGCGAGCCTATGTAAGCATTTAATAAACTGACCATTCGAGCAACATCGATTCCGTTGGTAGTCAGGCCGATGTTTCCTGGATTCCAAAACATTATCATTCGAAGGGTCATCATTTCTCCGACTTTCAATCCAATTCGTTTCATCGGGATAACGAGGTCCTCTAGCATTGCCTTTGTCTCTGGACCACACATCCTAAAAGCTATTGTCACTAGACGGTTACAACATAAAGAACCTCACTTCGAAATATTAAGTTAGTTCAAAAACAATGGTTGCATCTGCCATCACGAAAATCATGAAATTCATGAAATTTGTGAACAAATTTTGCAGTAACAACTTATTACATGCATTGTTGATGTACACCATTTTAAAACTCATTTTCTACCCAACAATTCGTGAATTCAAACTTGCCCATAAAGCAACGATAGTGATACGAAATACCATCGAAGCATCGACCACGTAAAGAAATCCAACAAGCCAGTGCGTAGACGGTTCGAATGGTTTTGTCCAGAAGATATGAGTCCATGCAAAAAATGTCGAATGTATGCGTCAGTAATTCGCAAAGCCCGGCTGAAGGCAATAACCAAAGATACCCTCACAAAAACCACTAAAGGGGCTGTAGAAGAGTAAAGCATTCACAACTGTGTAAATCGTGAGCTATTTGGAAGACAGACAAAAGGTGAGGACGCTTGAAAGATTCATGTCCATAAGTTTAAGGAATAGCAGCGAGATCGCCGTCGAGAAGTCTGTCCTGTACTTGTACCTAACGACAAAAGATAAAGCTCTCGACGGTGACCAATCCGTGAGGGATGCGCCATGCATTCGATTTCTTCAAGCATCGTTTTAGGTAAATGAATCTACATCCGGTTTATAAAATTACTCCAAGTGGCCTATCGATGTATCTGCCCAGTGCTGCTATCCTCTTACACAAATATTGTGCCAATTTTCCGACCTCAGAGGAGTGGAAGGCTTGTGGACCTGGAGCGCGAGGGAAACCCATGTGTATTGCAGGGCGCCTCTAATCACTGCGTTACACGTGCCCCGCACTTCTATTACACAACAAAAATGATCCAATTTACGATTACGACCGTACTGTGATACACGATGAAAAGTGGATTCCAAATGAAATACGATTTTCAGTAGGAATATAAAATACCATAAGGTGTCCAAACATTTTAGAAATTTAGAAGCCGAATTTGAATCGATGGTTGTAATGACGTCTTTGTCTTCAGCAGAAAGAATCATTTAAAAAACGTATTGAATCTTGACAAAACCATTAAAAAAACGAATAAAGAACAAAGCATTTGGTGTTCATCAATCCCTAAGGGATGTGGCATGCATCCGCCTTCATCAAGATTCGTGGAGGTGATTGGATGCACATCTGGTTTATACAGTGTGACTTGTGCTTCACTACTAATGTAGGAAATCAGTGCTGCTATCTTCTCTCCAGACAAGTCTGGTAGCAATTTGCTGATCTCGGACAGATAATAGGCTTGGCGAACACAGGGCGCCGGATTGAACGGCCACGAGTGTATCGCAGGGCACATCTAACCACTGTGCTACACGCGGGCCCAACAAAACTATAACAGTAAAGGTGTATCAATGAAGAATCGAACGAATCCAACAAAAACTGCACCCTATGCAGTTAGACATGCCCATAAGAAATATCTAATCCTTTAACATGACAACGCTCTACAATCCACTATAGAGTACGGCTATAAAAGTTGGGCAAAGAAAATCTGCCTCATGCACCCGTAATCAACAATCCTCTTGCCACCAAACAATCTATTTTCCAAAGTTCTCAACAACCATTACCTAATAAGATGTCCAATAACTAAACCGCTGGAAAAAGACTCAAGAATTCGTCGCCTCTAAAAATTTAAAATTTTGGATTACCGAAACAAGCAAACTTGTCAGCTGTTGGCGAAAAAGTCAACAATCCAATGGCTCCCATTTTGACTGATAATATTGTTTGAATTGAGCTACAAAAATTTAAAGATGCCACTCAAAAACGGTCATAATCTTTGCACCAATTACAGCATCTTCACAACATGCCTGGGAATAGTATTTACAACACTTACTTGGATACTTGGATGGCCCGCCTTCACTGGATGTGCAAACCCCAGCATAATCTCCATTGTTTCGGAGATTTGCTGGTTAAGCCATTGTGGTTCCCTGTAAACCCGAGGTCAGCCTAGCTAAAGTCTGTCCCAAGTAGTCACCACCACAAGCAGCCGCCGCCCTTATGGATCACAGGGAGATTTACCACCAAGCGACTAGTTTGATACCAGGACGGTGGTGTATCCAGGCATTGGTTTACTCTTAGCTGGACTTCCTGATGGAAACGCCAGACTCCTTCTCAGCTTGGGATATCCTGCTGAGGAGATAAATACCCTCGTTGCATATCACAGCCCGACACCCAGGAGCATCTCCTAGCCACAATGAGGCGGTAAAACTAAACTGCCAAAAATCCGAAGGGTAAGAAAACCTCGATGAACGTTATCTACTTTAAATTGTATCCTGTGTTATTAATCATGGTAATGCAAACGTACTCAAAAGCGAATGTTGAAGAACAACAAAATTCATGAAAATGTACTCACTAAGGATAAGGGCACTAAAAAGAGAAATATGACACGACGATTCAAAGCGGACCAATGAAAGAGAAGTAGGACTAAAACATCTACATAAAATGGCCATTGGGGTTTGACCAACTTGAAGAAAAAAAATATACGTCTACTCACATAAATTCGGTCCTCCTTTCCTCAGATTGCCCATTACAATATGGTGGAGCTTCGAAAGGTCTTATATAGTTATTATTCACAAGAACTATTCGGTCTTCGAATCCCAGTTCCATAGTGTGAAATACGTTATCCAATAGCAAATAACGAAGGGCGAATGCGTGCAGAAATTTAGCCTTTAACACAGCGATGTTCAAGCTTATATTTACGAAATAATAACATGGGTAACTGAATCACAGTCAATGCACATTATCCCTTTCTGCTTATCTGATATAACTGTACAATTCACTCAAAGCAGAGCATTTTTACTAAGCTCAATATTGATTATCAAGTTCTTACTGTCGTAATGAAGCGACATGAGCGAGTAATACAATTTTTTGCCTAACGTTTCGGTGGATTGTGCCTTCTTCAAGGTCTGAAAAGGTCGGATTAACCTTCTGCTTTCTCAATGGAACATTTCCTCAACCTTGTAGTGAACCTCTGGATCCAGGTATAAACTGCGTAATAAGTATCCTTAGAAGACGGTCACTACATGGCACGCTCGCAGATGAAGTACAATCGCTGCGCAGTGCTAAGATATCAGCTCGCAGGTGAGGATTTGCTTTGAATCAAATTGTATCAAGCTGTTCCATGGATCGAGCTCACGTGCAAAAGTAAAATACAAATTCTTCAATATTATACTTCTGTATGGCGTGTTAGTAGTACTACACAGATAGCTGAAAATATTCGCTGCAGTGCTTTTGTTTCCTATGGAATTCCAAATGAATGACGTAGTACTACTTCATCTTCATGTTTTCCAAGTGTTTGAAAGTGAACCTCCTCACCACCCAGCTGATTTCTTCCTCACTAAATTTCTTATAAAAAATGAAGTAGATGTTAGTGTAAGCCGTCAGCTATGCATTCTTGCAGCACTGGCAAGTTAATCTAAATATAAAACATGCTGAAGCTGATTATTTGTTATTCAACGTCAACGAATGGAGTTAAACACTTACATCACGGCGTGTCAACTGAAACAATAACGCATGAAAGTCTTAACGCATATGGGATTAGCATTCAAACTTCCAAATTAAACCCAAGAAAAAATCTTTTGCGATCAAAAGTGAGCACGCTCCATATCTGATTGATATTCTAAGTGCAGCAAGCGAACAGTTGTCAGCCTAAATGAGGCTTGGAAGTGGTTGCATATCATCTGCAACTGGTCCACTAATATATTCGGATATCCTTTTCGTCTTTTCGTGAAGCTGTTCACAAATTGAAACCCGGTTTTAAAAATATACCACATGGATGAGGATATGATCGAACGAGTTAGCTGTAAATATATCTTTTCAATTTCTGGAGAAAGCTAAATCCACCAGAACGTCACACGCAGACCAAGAAATGTATGACAACCTGATAACGTCTTATAAAGACATTTTACAGTTTCACATACACGATACTCATCTTTAACCACCTTAGACCCAAAGGTCGAAATAACCATAATGTGAGAAAACTAAAAAGAGACTGAAGGCACTACTCTGTGAGTTAGGTAACTGGTGAATTCTTAACGAAAGCACGATACAAAAAAAACCGTACTAGTGCTTTACTGGTACCCGGAGTCTTAATTCTATACTAATCGATTCTTATGAACCCGAGAAAGCTATGTTTAACTGCAAATAGTAAGATGTAAATATTGTGTAAGTAGTCGTTTATCTATTATGGACGTTTGTTATCCATATATTTCAACCATTCTGTAGAACAAAAGTTTTGGACATTTCTGAACCCGTAGTGCTTTGTTGAGCACACTATGCATATGAATATGCAAATGAACGGATAAAAACTGAAATCTAGCGTAAGCTTGATCAATAACCTTATCCAGAGGGTCCAGTAGGCCAAATTCGGGTAGTTTCTCGGCCCACTCAAACATTAAGACCATTTGAACTTGAAACAAGCTGGCATAATCATCCGGTGTTGCCAAATTACGTAAATTAAAGTCCTAAATGGGAACTAGTCATTTGGCTGAACTGTTGACATTCATTAAAAAACACTGGTAGAACTTACACAGTCACCAGTGAGAATTTCTTCTAGGGAGCGGCAAAGCATAGCGTGCCTTCGCCTCTTCTGATCTTCGAAGTCGTAGCACTGTCGCGCAATAAGTCCACTAGAGGGTGAAGGGCTCGGTGGAAGCATAGGCAAATAAGAACTCTAAAATTGAATGCCATGTGATAATGTATAGCACAAGACGTGTTTATCATTAAACAATCTAAGAGATTCAACACATCTCAGTTTAGAAAAAAAGATGAGCAGCACAGTACCCAGAGAAAGATCAGTGAGCAAGTAATAAACATTTCTAAGTGTCATACAACGAAATTCTCAAATATCTAAAAATAAGGAGAGTAGAACAGGTTAAGAAGACAGTAATAAGGCTCTAAGTTCTAAACCTCTCGGCATTGATCTATCCCCGAAAGATGCGCCATACATTCGACTTCATTAAGCATCCGTGGAGGTCACTGAATGCATAGCTGGCCTTTACAACTCGCGGTGGCCTATCGATGTATCGAGCCAGCGATGCTATCCTCTGCGACAAGTCCAGTACCAATCTGCCGACTCCTGAGGGATAGCGGGCTTGGTAGGCCTGGAGCGCCGAGATCAAACCCACGTGTACTGTAAGGCGCCCACGAAGACAGTAGAACGTAAGAAAATTAGAACTAACTGCTAACTCATGCGTTGAACTATCTGAACCATGAGTGAACGCAGAGCAAGGGCTGGCCATATGTCTTTCATGATCATTCTCGTGTTTTGGAGTAATACTGCCATTCTAAAAACGTTAACTGATATTCTAAAAAGACAGACGAAGGAACAATAACTAATAATGTGGATCAAAAGCAACTCACGTCTATGAGCCGCTTCTCAGTTTCAGTATCGTAATTGTAGCCGGAAAGATTTCGCTCCTGAAATGTTCCGTTAGTTGACGATGAGCCATCACGTTTAGGTTGAACAGCTGAAATTGCACAGAAAATTTACAAATACTGGAAAATAAGAGGGGCGAAGTCGAAATTTGTGCTACGAGAATCAAACATCCGATTGGAGCATTTGGAACTAAAGATCGAATTAGATAGTTTCTCAAAGACTCCCGAAACAAAAGATGTAGCAAAGCCGACTGAGTGCAGAAATGACGAACGAATGACTTCAGACATTTCCTTCATTTTTTTTTGCTAACGGAAAATCCAAAGTAGTTTGCTGGTCCCAGCAAAACACTGGCCAAAACATAAAATTTCCTTCGATAAGGTACTAGAACAAATAGGAGTAACGGGATCTCGGAAATAGAATCATGATCATTTGATGCACTTTTTGGAATTATCGTATAAAAGGATGTGCGCAAGATAAATAAGAGGGTGAGTTGTAAATAATGGCCTTTTCGGTCTCTGCAAACACAGCAGATTATGTAGTAAGCATTTAGTATCAACGGATAACAATATCGACAACAACCGCCCTGTACGACAGAGCACCGCTGGGTGAGTATAGCCGATTCGAGAGTGATGCTCCATTGAGGAAGATCCGGCTCGATGCGCGACAAAGACGCCGTCTCGAGAAAACGAACAGCTCGTAACCGTCGAGTCAGGGACCATCGGCTCTGATGAAGACGAGGACGTGGAAATGTTAGCAGAATGAACACCTTTACCAACCTCGTGTAAGCTCAACATTATAAACACATGTTGATTATTCTATTACCACGGTTAAGTGACCAACGGTTTCAAACTTAAACATGTGCATCCTACAGAATAAGGTTATTAAAAGATAGAGCGTTCGGCGTTGATCAATCCCTAAGGGATGTGCCATGCATTCGACTTCATTTGGCATTGTCGGAGGTGACTGAATGCACACCTTTACAAGGACTCATGGTGGCCCGCCGATATATCGAGCCAGTGTTACTATCCTTCGAGATAAATCTAGTACTAATTTGTCAAACCCGGATGAAAGGAAGGCTCGGTGAGCCTGGGGCGCTGAAATCGATCCCATGTGTATTACGGGGCACCTCCTACCACCGTGCAAAATGAGTCCTTTCCGCGAACATCATTTCAAAACCTATTGCCTGTTTACCTATGCACCGCTCTATATGTAGTTTAACGCTTGTTCTACAGTGATTACGATCTAAATGAAAAGATACTCTCAAAGCATAAAATTTTATTGACTTGTTCCATGAGATGAAAATTAGGTAAATCAAACAACTGTAACGAAACAATCTTAAGCATAAGTAAAAAAAGCCACTTCAAAACGCAAAATCCCATGATTTGAAATTTCAGGTCTTTCGTACTGAAAAAACATGGGCCTCGATGACAATGACGGGGTGGGAACTCACTAACACTTGAAAACGACCACACGACGGTGACAACCAGATTTGACCTATGAAAAACCACTCCAGAAGTTGCTTAGCACTTATCATCAGTATTCACCGGTCACTTAACATCCTAAAGACACTGGAAAGGACGCTTGATGAATGAATGCCGCATATAGTGAGCCAGTGGCACTGAAAAGTCTTCTACGATTCGCTTCCGCAACAAAAACGACCGCGCATTATAATTTAAGATGAAACATGGATCCTGTACAACAACCGATGTGTTGATCGCAGTGATTGGATCTATAAGGAGAATATTACTAATGCTGTTTCATTAAAATAAGGATGCGATGATTGCTTGGCGGTGTGCTCCACTACAATTGTCCGAATTCGGGCAAACCGATAACAATAGAGATGTGTCATCAGCAAATTGCCGATTAAATACATAATTAAATGCTTACATATGCAGCGTTTATACAAACAGAAGGTCCGATATTCTTGCACAACAATGTCCAACGATATGTTGCAAAGGTATGGCGGCAATAACTGATCGAATCGGGCTATCGGGAATCGGGAATGAGCATACTCATTCAACTTCTCGTCAACTGATCATACCTTACTCGACAGTATGCAACTACTTCCAAGGAAAAACCTGATTTCTAGAGTTGCAACGTTTCCATTCAAAATCAGCCATTATTTATAAATCAACCTAATGCAATAGGATGTAACAGGCCACAAAGACAAAAATATATAAGCAAACAGCCAGGAAAGACTTTCTCAGATAGAAAACTAGCTGAGAAACAAACGAAACGAAGGACCCGCATGGTGTGGTAGTGAACGTGTTAGCTCGTCGGAAAGGGTAATAGCCATTTTGATCCCAACAGCAAAGACCTGCGATGAGGAGTTTTGCAAATATCCCAGCACCATTGTGGTTGTATTACATATAATAGTCGTGAAAAGCCGGTGAAGTGAAAGCCTGAGCCGTGAAAAACTGTAGCAGGCAGCAAATAAAAAGTTGCATAAGCAACGTGAGACAATAAAGAAAAGGACGACCTTTTTTATCCATGCCCACGGCGATGCACTTCGCAAGTCGACAAGCTCGGCATGCACACCTCGCAGCTGCAATTTCAAAAAGTTGTAAGAAAAAATTTATTTAATGAAATAGTACATTCGCTCCGCTCCTATTTCATGACAACTTGACCATAAATTTCACACACCACGTCAATCTAGGATCGCCACATTTGCGCCCCTCTTACGAAATTGTTGAATTTGTGAAAGCGTACTTGGGATATACATAGCTTCAGACGGCAAAACAATGCCCCAGTCTAGGATGTGGGAAGTTCATGAGTACACCACTGTTGTACTAGCTAATAGTAAAAGTCTATTTCAGGCGGCCTGATTGCTTAAAGTATTTCATGTTATTGCGGGATGGAATGAACCACAAAACAATGTTCGCCCGATCAATGCGAGGACGTATGCCAATTGAAAATTTCGCATTTTTGAGAATGGAGAACAAAGAATGGATTCACACCGTAAAAAATTAAACTAAGCTCTGTCCACTAGTGAAACATCGTCAATTATTGTAGGAATAAAATCTACTCTACGGTCAGTGCCTCCTTAACATCATATTAGGTAAAACGAATGTGATAGAGCCCTACTAACTGGTTAAGGAAACACATTTTGTTTCTATTTCTCTTACGAAGGCGTTAGTTTACCCAAAACTTGAAGCAATCAGGGACCACGAGCGTGGACCACAGTCCAGTAAGTCGCATCGTTTACTATTGGAAAATAACGTATGAAACTAACTGCGGTCCACAAGACAATGTCCGCCTCGACGACAAGTGAAGTGTTGATCGTAGGTGACGGCACGTCGAAAAAAAGCGTTACAACCACGACACGACCTCACACCATAGTGATAACCATCGGCGGAATCACCACATACAACACACTTTTCTAGAACGAAGGTGAAGAAAGTACACTTCAAAGAGAAAGGTTAATAGACTAAAAAGAAAAAAAAACGACAAGGATTAAATAATAAAGGATAAAGCTCTTGGCATCGATCTAACCCTGAGGGATGCACCATGCATTCGTTCTTAATTAAGCAACGTTGGAAGCGACTGAATTCATATCTGGTCATTACAATGATTCGCAGTGGCCTAACTATGTATCGAGCCAGTGATGCTATCTTTCCAGACAAATCTTGTAGCAATTTGCCGACCCAGGATGGATGAGGGGCATGGTGGCCTGCGGGCGAGGGGATCGATATCATGTGTATTGTATGGTGCCTACGACCACTACGCTACACTAGCCATTTCACTTCAAATAAAAAGGTTAATAGACTGAAAAGAAATAGTTCTAGCCCAAAACAACTTCCTTCACGAAGGTTGCAAAGGATAATGGTTTAGTCGAATAAATATTCTAATTGGCCACACCAGGACGTTTCAAAATAAACAGAAAAACTTTGGATGCACCCTTTTAATGCTGTCGTCATAGACACCGTTACCTCCAACCTATGGTAAAACTCTAAATATGAAATAACCACTTACTAGTTGTAGTGCATTGAAAGCTATACAGCATCTAGTTCTTGATGATGTGATTTTTTCTTCTTAACGTGAAGGGAAACCCAAGACGGTTAGTCCCTAAACTACCCAGATGCAACACCATGAGTGACCTAAGATGCATATAAGACAAAGCAGATATGGATATATCGACTTATGCCGAGGTTTATAGAGCGCCGGTCTTTTGAGTAGGAACAAAACGATTCTACAAAATATTTTTAGAAGCAATATAAATCTAGGTGAACTTTCCAGTAGAAGTAGTGCTTGTGAATAGCTTTTTCTGCATCGGCTGTGGACGAAAAGCTCGTTGGATAAACAAAAGTTAACAACGATGAAAACGAATCAACGTACAATTTTATAGAGGGATTTTCTATGTTCTTAGAATACCGCAACGGGGATAACAGATGAGCACATTGCCACTTAGCGGTCACAGTTACTCCCAACGGTTTGCCACCTCATCGTTGCTAGAAGGTGCTTCTGGGTCTTAGGCTGCGGTGTACAGCGAGGCGATTCATCCCCCAGCGAGGTCTTCCAAGCTAAAAAGGATTCCAGCGTTTCGCTAGGAAGGTCAGCTAGGACTAAACCAATACCAGGATTCATCACCGTCCTGGGATTAAACTGCTCGCGTGGTGGCAAACCTCCCTCTGATACACAAGGGCAGTTACTGCCGATAGTGGTGACGACCCAAGGCAGACTTTAGCCAGGCTAACCTCGAGACTCCAGGGATACACAATAGCCAAACCTGCAAAACTCCGAGGAATGAGGATTGTTCTGTGGCCCGCACAACCAGTGAAGATGGGTCATCCAAGTAACCAAGTAAGCAAGTAACTAAGAATCACTCAAACGTGTGGAGCAGTTGTCAACGTCTCCATAACGTAAACTTTATCACAAAAACACAGAGCAACGGAATCAAACTTACTGCGTACCTGTCTGACTTAGTACTTCCAGTGGCGTTCTGTCCACTCTTGACATTGACATCAATCAGGAGAACAGACCACTAAGTTTCTACAAAGTAAAAGTTTTTAAAATACACCACACCAAGACAACATCGGAAAGCTACGATGAATATTAAGGCCAAACGGATAACGCGCAGCACAGCTTGCAGTACAGAAGTAATACAAATAACGCGTAGATGCAAAAGAAAAGCAAATGTAACGCATTCGTTTTAAAAAATCCGACGACCACTCCACTTCCCTATTTGAAATCAATCTCAATGAATCTCCAAGAATACAGAACGTAATCATACAGATGAACAAGAATGAAAATAAACATGTGAAATTCTGATAACCGCAAATAGCCTAGACAGTGTCGGTACTCATCTGGGAAAACACCGAAGTGATATAGCACCAACGGCCAAGGATGAAAGAACAGAAGAGGATCATGAAAGAATGAATTGCACTGATATGAACAGGATCGCCTGCTCTTCATTTTCAACCAGGTAAGAGCATGGCAACTCACATCTGAGCAGATATGCTATAAAGCTTTAATCCAGTAGAGTAAATACAAGAGCGATTCTCTAGATGAACGCTACACACCACTGGCGACTCCGGCGCTCTTACGTGATGCAGGCGAGCTAAGCTAGTGCTTTAGGCCACAAATCAACTATTAAGGCATACACAAAACGCCACTGGAATTGTCCATGAGAGATGGCGTCGTCGACATAAGTGATCGACTTCAAACACCGGTGTTTAAACGAACTTGGAAGGAAGACACGTATTCAAACAGATTCGATAAAAACACTTCAACGTCAACTTCAGAATTCACTAAAGCGAATCAGAAGCATTCGAATACACAAAAACTCCAGGCACTCCTATTTCCGGACATTTTCTTTGGAATATCCGAATCCTCAACATTCTGAATTACTTGGAAGAAGAGAATGTCGAGCCATGTCATCCTACTTATTTTGTCATTCATTAACATAATTACATTGCATTCTACTAAGCACATTTTTTAAAGACAGTCATTCAAGTCACGGAAACTTCCTCAGTTGAAGCACTTAGACTTCGAGTGGCCATCCTGGTGTATTCAAAACTCCAAGTGACCAAATGAGGCCTATGGACCTAATGAATCAATGTACATGAACATATAGAGCGAAGAATATATGAATTAACTAGCAGTTCTTATAATTATTCTCGAATAAACGTTGTATCCACGACTCGTCACGTGACCACCTTGCTCGCAGCATGCTCCAATTTCACTGTACGCTCCATTGTCAACCATCTCTTTTACCTTAAGGTCAGTACTCAAAATTTTGAAACAGTAAAGTAATGGCGCTTAGTTCCTTGTTCTGTCCAGTCCCAAATCAACTCCATCTTCAATGCTGTCAAACCCTTCTTCCAACGTCAATGGCAGGAAAGGCTTGGATACTGGAAAGCAGGTACCGTAGGGATTCCTCAAGACGTCTGCGTAGGACCTCTTGTTAGTTGTAGTACTGAAGCGAAAATTTGTTTGATATGCTGAACTACAGATCGTCTGTATGCATCTCACGAATGTACTGCGTGGATTCGTTCGTGGAATAGAGGTGTCATATGCATGAGGAATGCACTTCTGCAGATCATTGTTACTCAGCGGTCTTTATTCTGCTCCAGCTCGATCTAAAGCTTAACAGTTCTCTCATTTTCAGTTGGATTGTTATTGTTAGGAATGAGTACATCGTGGAATGATAGAAGTTCAAATGTGACATCTGCTTCATCTTCATCTACAAATAATCAGACAGGTGAGAGTTACTGAGTTTATTCCTGGATTTGTTCTATGCCCATGGATTTCCTATTAAGGACTCGTGTGGGACGATGCGATAAAGTTCGCCAAGAACTGCTTTGCCGGAGCCTTTGCGGCCGTGGTGGCCAAAATGGTCATTGCGCCTGTTGAACGGGTCAAATTAATCCTTCAGGTTGGTCCCATCGACGTACATTCCATTTTTGACGCTTCTATTTCATTTAGTTCGTTCGGCAGCTTTACGTACTTCGTTATCATTTTCATTATCAGTCGCACCAGGGCGTTCTAGCTCCTCAGCTGGTATTTCCGGTATCCAAGTAATTTGTCTTCAGGACATCCTTAAATCAGTGCACATTGAATTCATCCTAGATATATTAATTTTAACCTTTAAATTTGCAGTTCCTTATATCAGCAGGTTTCATTTCTCGGAATTTGTTGTACAGACACACAAGCAGTTGTTGGTATATTGCAAATCCCTTTGGAGCGTTACTGTACTCATTCCATGTCTAGTCCATGTTGAAGAATGATCAGAACGAAATCTTTTGCTCTGTAAAATCTCATCCTTTTAATGGCTTTGAAATATTAATAGTACTTTCAAGTAGCTATCAGAAATGTACAAAATCGAAGGCTTTAGTTAGAGACTAGTAGATTTGAATTCGTCGCGATCTTACCTATTCCACCACCCGAGTTCAAAACGGCGCGTTGTATTCACTATCCCAACTTGCAGAAGTATTTTTAAGCGGGATGCATACTTTCAAGGAAGGGCGGACATTAATTTGTGATTGTCAGGTGGCTGTTTGCAGCTTCAAAATTCGCAGACCACTCTGGCAGCGGAGAAGCGATATAAAGGAGTGCTTGATTGCTTTATACGCGTTCCCAAAGAGCAAGGATTTCTGTCATTCTGGAGAGGGAACGGAGTGAACATCTTCCGCTCTTGCTGTCAGGTTGGTTTCCACACCAATATGGTTACGTAGATTTTCAAGCGGTATTAATGGAGATGTTGTGAATATAATCTGTTTCATGTTTTGTTTTCCGCCTTCTATAATTTTCATGGCAGGTTACTAAGCGAAATACAATCACAACGTTGCTGAGATATTTGCAAAACTCTGGACCGCAGGTGTCTATGGTGGGGAACGAACGCGTTATTGTCTTTTCCGGGGAGTAACGCGTTCACCACCACACCATGCGGGTCCTTCGTTTCGCCTATCTCTCAGCTATTTCTGTCGATCTTTTTGCCACAGCAATCACCCGTCAGCGGGGTTGATCTGGGGAGCGCAAATCGGCATAGAACCCAGTTAAGCTATGGCTGTAGTTGAAATCACAATGTTTAACGTTTTGTTTTCCGCCTTCTATAATTTTCATGGCAGGTTACTAAGCCAAATACAACCACAACGTTGTGGCAAAAAGATCGATAGANTGGCAGGTTACTAAGCGAAATACAATCACAACGTTGCTGAGATATTTGCAAAACTCTGGACCGCAGGTGTCTATGGTGGGGAACGAACGCGTTATTGTCTTTTCCGGGGAGTAACGCGTTCACCACCACACCATGCGGGTCCTTCGTTTCGCCTATCTCTCAGCTATTTCTGTCGATCTTTTTGCCACAGCAATCACCCGTCAGCGGGGTTGATCTGGGGAGCGCAAATCGGCATAGAACCCAGTTAAGCTATGGCTGTAGTTGAAATCACAATGTTTAACGTTTTGTTTTCCGCCTTCTATAATTTTCATGGCAGGTTACTAAGCCAAATACAACCACAACGTTGTGGCAAAAAGATCGATAGAAATAGCTGAGAGACAGGCGAAACGAAGGACCCGCATGGTGTGGTGGTGAACGCGTTACTCTCCGGAAAGGACAATAACGCGTTCGTTCCCTACCATAGACACCTGCGGTCCAGTGTTTTGCAAATAATCTGTTTCATTCCACCAGTTGAGTTCTTACTCTTTCAAGGTTTAGTGGTTTCACACTATAAGGGCTCATATATTTAATTTAAGGAAGTCTTTCCATTTTTTTTTGTGTTTTCTAAAACGTCTCGTTGCACGGAAAGGAATTCTTTAGGAATGCATACTCATTCTCTGTTTCCAGGAGTCTCTTGGATTTGCTTTCAAAGACTTTTTCAAGATCTGGAGTTTGGACGGTGTTAACCCAAATGATCATCATTACAGATTTTTATTCGGTATGTTGGATTAACTGGATTTTTTTTCATTTACTTTCATCTGTTTGTTTGATTTGTGACCATATAGTTTGCGTATCTCGTCACTTATTTCATTCGATTCGTTCCTTCTTGTCCCTCATCTACGTAGGTGTTCGGACTTGTGCGGAGCTAGCTTTCGTCTCATACTTGAAGGTTTTCTCCTAATGAGTGTAGTGGAATTCTGGTAACCCTCCATGATTCCTTGAATCACCTGACTGGAGTGTTCCACGTTTTCATCACAGGTAGTTGCCGTCCTATACGGACCAAAGGGAGGTTTTCGGAGACAATTTTATAGCAGTTTGCCGAGTCAAGAGGTATCGTAAAATTTTTGGGTCGGAAATGCGTGTACTGCTAATTCTTAGTAATGCGCTTCCTGCACCATTAATTTCTACTACCTTTTAGTAGTTGGCCCCCTATTACACATATTTTTTTGATATGTGGAGGATTCTTGTCCATGTTTGATACCACTCATTTAGGGAACCTTGTTGCTGGCGGCTGTTCAGGTGCTGCTACAATGGTTATTATTTATCCGCTTGAATTCATTCGCACTAGGCTCGCTATTGATCTCGGAAAAGATAAAAAGGTTTCGTAACTTTTAGTTGTACAAATACTGTGCCTCTTTTGTATGATGTACATTGTGTTTATGTTTTAAAATCTTAGGATCGAGAGTTTACTGGAATGTTCGACTGTGCGCGGAAGATTATGAGGCAAGACGGTTTTGTCGGAATGTATAGGTAAGCAATGACTTTCTTCTTATCCACGATTCCATTTTGCATCCAAGGTGGTCCAATATCACTCAGAACTTGGTTAGTTGGAACACTAGGTACGCATTAGATGTTAAATGTATTACTGCTGTTCGACAGGTTTTTTTCTCACATCATACTGTTATGCGTGCTAATTTATCCAAGGTTTGCATTTCGTGGAAAAATGCCTCGTCGTTGTGTTTTAATGTTGTTTTATTGTAAACTTATAAAGGAAACTATGGAACAACCTTCTTAGGAAACCAAATAATTTAAATATGAAGAGAAGTTTAGATCGTTTTCAGAGGGTTGCTTCCTTCAATTCAATACATTATTATCTATCGAGGTGCATATTACGGTCTTTTTGATTCTGCAAAACCATATATATCCAAGGGCGGAGATGCTTTGGGGTTCTGGAGAGCATTCACTGCTGGACAGGTACATTATTATCGCATATTACTATTTGTAGGAATCCTTAAGGTGCAGATTTGAGGTTGTAACATTCATAGCGGCTATGCTGTCATATCCCTTAGACACAATCCGAAGACGACTAATGATGGCTGCTGGACACAAGAATTTCATGTACAAAGGAACCATTGATTGTACTAAGGTTGGTCGTAATTGGAATAGAAATCTGTAGAATCTACAGAATTTCGCCACTAGGGTACAACTTTTTTTATTCTATCCAGAAAAAACTCCGTTTTACTGAATCTTACAAGTTTTTTTTTATTGTTCGCCTTCTTTATGTTGAGGTTAGTGCTATTAATATAAAATTGACAAACGTCAATCTATAGATTCACACGTTATGCTCCGAGAGGCAGTTATAAGCTCTGATGGGATCCTTTTCTTTCTGATTGTTTTGACAGGAGTATGCTTTTGCTGCACATAAGGTAATCAAAAGATGGCTTATCCACCACAGACGTTGTGGTGGTCGCCTGCCATCTTCTCAATAAGGAGAAGCTTTGTGCCTCAATTATCACCATACCTATGTTTTCCTTTATGCAAGAAGTAATCATACTTAGGTACTTAGACGGCACGTCCTCACTGGTTTTCCAGACCTAGCAGAATTTCCGTTTTTTGGAAGTATTGTTGGCTTAGCCATTGTAGTTTCTTGGAGTCCCGAGGTCAGCTTAGCCAAAGTCTGCCCCTGATTGTCACCATGCGAATATTTTGATATCGGGACTATGGTGGACCTGGTATTGGTTCACTTTTAGCTGAACTTCTTGATGCAAACGCCGGACTCCTTTGGCAGAATCTGCTGAAGGGATGAATCTCACCGCTGCACATCGCAATCCATCACCTAGGAGTACCTCCCAGCCACGATGAGACGGTAAACCGCTGGGAAGAATAATTCAATATCCACATCAATATAAACTAAGCCCACATCTCGAGTTATGGAAAGTTTGGTTATGGTGCACACCAAATGCTATAGATGTTACGAACTCTGCTATACAATTTGAATAACTTCAGGTTGTATTTATTCCTATTACATAGTAAATCCTGTGGAAAGGTTGGTCTTCGACTAAATCTCACAAAAACGATGTTCATGAAGAACGGATTGGTTTTGCATGCCCTATTCACGCTCAACGGAACAATTATCTCCGAATGCTCCAGTTATATCTATCTAGGTCAGGAAATCAATATGATGAACAACCTAGCACCAGAGCTGAGCAGAAGAAAACGAGCGGCTTGGGGAGCTTTCAAGAGCATGGAGGATGTAGTGAATAGAACATAAAACACCCGACTCCGTGCCCACCTTTTCGACTCAACGGTACTTCCTGCCCTAATGTAAGCGTCAGGAACCTGGTCGTTGCGTAAGCAGCATGAATGATCAATCAGTGTTATTGAACGCGCAATCGAAAGGGCGATGCTAGGAGTATCCAGTGAAACGTAATTAAGGGAATGGATCCTTAGCTTAAACCTGCGTCAACGATCAAAAATCAAAGATGCCGTTCTGTTCACTAAACAGTCGAAGATAAAGTGGGATGGACACGTAATGCATATGAACGACAACTGATGGACAAAAGCCGTTAATAATTGGATTCCTTGGGATGTCAAACGTACTGCAGGAAGACCACCGACTCGTTGGTTAGAGTTCTTTACGGAAAGCCTAGGAGAAAGATATGATGCTCGACGAGTCCCTAGGGCGAGCAGAACCCACTGGGCTGCTCTTGCACGCGACAAGGAAAGATTGAATTTTTACTGGAGCCCGCTCGAGTCACTCCACGACCAGCGGGAGTACAGGTGATACATAATATACACAGGTGGAGAACAACTCTCCGTCTAAACAACAAGATGCAATCACCAACACACGCATTTTTTTTGGCCTGTTTATTCTGCTGCTGTTGTTATGTATAAGTTTGTTAGTGGTCTAATTCCCTACAACCTGTGTCATCTCTCCACTGCATTACCGGCGAAGTACAAGTTAGACAACGTGCTTCCAAATCTAGCTCTCATTACATTCATGTGATTTGATGCAATGGGATAACATGCAAGAGCAGGGCTGATGCAATAATAGTTATTGAACTCTTAAGTTTTAATAATCACCGTTTAAAGACAGGCTCATGGGATTTTCATCTAGAAAGCGTATGTCGCTTCTTTCTATACATCTATTTTGTCCTCTGTCTGTTCGTCTCGGCTAGAACCAGTTTTCCAATACCGGTCATTAATAGTTCTGCCAAATTTTTTTTAGTTATTTGTACCCAGTAAACACATTCTGGGTGACGTTACTCTTACTGGAGTCATTTGAAGAAGAATTCTGGCTGGTATGACCTCTATGGATGTAACTTTGTTTCCAGTGAGCATGGAAGCATGGAGCATGGAATTCCTCTCCTACGCTCCTTGTAATTAGTTTGTAGCTTATGCAACACATGCTATGACGGGGGTCGACGGGGGAAACCACTATTCCACTCTTTTTACAAAATGGAAAAAGTCTTGCGCTTAGAAATATATGAAAACCTTTTTTCGAACGACTTCATGGACTGATAATTTGACTATTTTTACCTGCTGCTACAATTCTAATACCTATAATGAATAATAGCTATCATATGGGGTGACCGCATATGCAAAAATAGTTACTATTCTTCTTCAATAAGCAGACACGCGGTTGTTATTATAGGATTTATTGGGATACAATAGCTGACGTTTCGGCGGTTTCGCCTTCTTCAGAGCCGTTTATTTGTTGTAAGTATTTAAGTTAGTTGATGGATAGCAGCCGCACAGTGTAATAACTCTAACATGAGTCATCGCCCATGTATTACTCTGAGCGGCTGCTATCCATCAACTAACTTAAATACTTACAACAAATAAACGGCTCTGAAGAAGGCGAAACCGCCGAAACGTCAGCTATTGTATCCTAATAAATCCTATAATAACAACCTCGTGCCTGGTTATTGAAGAAAAACATCGAATTATCAATCAAGGCCGAGGTTAAAAGAAAGTCGGTCGTGGGAGTTACTATTCTATTTTTGGCCCGTTCTTCACATCCACTATGCGGATTCCAGAATTTCCTTGATTAGATTCGTTTTCTCACATCCATTATCGACAGAACTCTTAAAACATTTTGTGTTTGGGTTTATCTGCTACTTGAGTATTTCCCGGATGTGTGAGAGATTTGGCGAGCATGGTGCGTGTGGCGCCAGTGTTGTGTTTGTGATGGTCGACATCACTAGTACTGCGCTATGCACCTCTATATATAAAAAATACGGAGGTAAACTCAGTATCTGCTGTAAAGCACTTCCGGATATAGACAGTAGTGTATTTGTGCGATGGATCATAGTAACAATTAGTAAATAGTAATATAAATATTATCGTCTGTAAAAAATCTTTAGTTCATGACGACATGAAATTAGACGTGATCACATTCGGTAGCTAAGCAAAATTAAGCTTCACTCCAAATGTATTAAAAGTTCACGATCCACACCAGTCATACAAGATGGAGTGGACATGGGGAACTACGTTATTTGAGCACTCACCGCTGAATTCACAGTGGTCTTCGTCACTGATCCATTTTACATCGTTTAAGTCACTTTCTTTATACTCTTCAATGGGATCGCAGGATACACAGTGGTTCCACATCGTACTGCCAATCTTCGACGTCCTCATTTTCAAGTTTGGTAGGAATTCAATTGGTGTTCGGTTGTTCCACTACGGACATGATTCAAAGTTGTCAATTCAGTTCATAGTAAGTTTAATACTAAACGAGGATTGACTTCTGGATGCTGAAGTTTAGTGGCTTGTGTCCCCTTGTATCGACAACAAAGTCTGTCCTATTATAAATCTTAGTACTGAACTTCTGAAGTCCTCTAGTTATCGACGAACTGAAATCATCGTTTATCTGAGGCATGTAAAGTCCAAGTTTTGGTCGGTAATTGACCGTTGGCGTTTCACTTTCGCTGCAATTATAAATCATTATTACGGTATGGTGCATGTAGCGCAATGGCCGGGGCACCCTGCAACACACACATGGAATCGATTCCCGCACCATGGCCTACCAGGCCTTCCGTCACTCTGGGGTCGGCAAATTAGTACCAGACTTATCTGGTGTCTGGGAGGATAGCAGCTCTGGTTCGATACACCGCTACCTCGAGTCATTGCAGAGGCCACATATACATTCAGTTGCCTTCAAACGAGCTTAATTAAGTCGAGTGCATGGTGCATCCGTCAGGGACGGGGCAACGCCGAGAACTTTGTTTTTTGTCCTTTAGCATAGATAAATTATACACCTGTAGATTATAGGTTTAGGTTTCTTCTATAATATACGACTTTCTGTGCTGATAAGCTTGCACAAAGTTGTTAACAACCTTTATTGTGGCTAAAGTTGTGAGTTTGAGTAAACACAACGCCCTTGGAGGTTTCTAGCGTTACTCTCACTTGGCACGCCGCGTAATTTGCAGCTTTTACGGACTGGCTGCTTTTTGGCAATAAGTAATAATTTTAACAGTTACTAATGAACTTCACTGGTGATAAAGGTGACAGATTTATAAACTAGAATATCGTTCTGTCAGTCTAAGTGGTAGATATGCTACTATTTACTATGTTTTGCTGTGGTGAGTTATACAGACACATTGCTGTCAGGATTAGGAAACGTTTTGCACATTGTCTTGAGTCTGTTTCTGGATTTCTTTATCATACGCGTATAGCTTATACGGTAACCATGATTTATCTTAGCGTTTATAGTGGAATAACTGTTCATTATTAGTCAAATTACAGCTGAAGTAGCTTGTTCGGGAAAAGGCTTCTTGTAGATTATTAAGTGTAGCGAATAACTTTTGTGCTCCACCCATTCCTACATGAATATGCTTTCGATAATGATTAGCTACGATATGGAACTGAGTGGACTGAAAGTGGACACTCTACGTCCAAATCATTAGCTAAGTGTTGAACAAACGCACTTCGTACAGACGGAGGCGATGGGGTGCTCAAATGATGTTCTCAGGTGGGGTGTTTGAATCAAAATTTCACTTTTAGTTTTTTTCGGAAAGTTGGGTTAGAAAACTAAAGTTGAGCTGAAATTTTACTAAGATTGCTTATTTAGTTGTCGACAATCTGCTATTAATTGTCGAAAAATCATTGTTATTGCTAGTAAAGTTAAGTTGTATGACGCCACATCAACTTTATAATTTTTGTGAAACATAGTTTAATACTGTCTTGAAATAGATGGGCGATTATTACCTGACTCTGTATATATATAATAATTATTGCTGTTTTCGCCTTGGTATTTCGCTTATTTTCAGTACATCTATATAAACGAAGGGTGGAAGGCTTTTTTCAACGGCGCTTTGGTGAATGCGATGAGGGGCACTGGTGCTGCACTTGTTCTAGCAGTATGTAACGAGCTTGCCAAATATATGTGAAGCATTGTCCTTTTTTGCTTTCGAATAGCGCTTCATTGAAGAATTGATGTCAAAATGCTGAAAATATGAAATTAACACATTTTCTGTGTTTTCATTTTCTTTTCATTTGTAGCATTGCTTTGATTATCCTAACGTTTGAATAGCCACTGCGTTTTTTTCTTCTTTTTTTTTTTGAATGTTCCACTCGAAACAAATCAAATTCGTGTATTTGGCTTTGTTCCGTTAGTCAACATTGACCTGTATTTCAGACGTCTGTTTATATGTGCCGGGTATTTCAAAGATTTGTAGGTGTCAATTAGTACGAGTCGTTATCAAAGTGCTCAACGCGAATCAGAAACTCTTCAAATCCGTTTGTTACTCGAATGTTTATCCAAAGATATTTATAACACATGTTCCACGGTTAATTCGCTGTAATGTACTAGGTTTTTGTTTAGTATAATGTTGAACATGAGTGTGCGCTTGCAACCAAAATAAGCTTTAGATAGGGGATGATGCATTTCATGAGTTATTATTAACTATGGAGCAATTCGAAAAAATCTTTTGTGAATAAATGTCGATATGCTAGCCTCGAACGCTGCTGCAGTCCTATTCTTTTCTCATTTTTTAATCTTTAGTTGTGTAACTGTTCGTGTGCAATAGAAATGCAAAGCAGGATGCATCCACTGACAACATCTTCAACTGTGAAATAGTTTGATGTTTCCTTCTAGAAGTTTCGATGGCAGTATAGCAAATAAATCTGGGCAAGTTTGCAATATTTAGTATCAAGATGACAAGATTCTAGATCCTATTGAAAGTGGTGATGGTACCTATCTGCGAACTGCTGTGGAAATATTATGAAGACGAATATGGAGAACCAAGTATTGTGTCATTATGGAGTGGACGCAGTAATTCTACTTGATCTCCCTGAAGAATACCAAGAGCAGCAAGTGAAAAACACCAACAAAATCATGGAAACAAACTATCAATGAAGAAAGTTCCGTCACCGATTCTCGCCCGATTAAGCATAACTGTACATTGTATACTGCGTACCACGTTGCTGGTTCACATCAGATTTCTCGATTTGAATTCTATATCCTTCATCTTCACCTTCCAAGTCAGGAGAGAGTAATCGATAATTGCTGCTCACCTCTTTGATGACATCTCGAGAAGCGGAGCAATTAGTACCGTCCGAATCAGAAAGAATGGACGTTAAATGAGGTTCTCCGATGTGGTTACTCATATTCAAATCCACTGACAACGTAGAGTTGATAATGTGTATTTGACCTCTACACTCACTTGAGCATAGTATTGATAAATCAATGCAGTGCTTTTTTATTACAATAGAAGTGGAACCGATCACTTCGGGACATTGGATGTGGCTATTTCGCATGAGAGATTCTACCAATCATAATGTGCTTCACCTAGCACCTCTGAACAATCCGTGCTTTCTTCGAAGGTACTATCTGCAGAATCCTATCCAATGTTATAAATAAGAGTCGTCTTCAGTTTCATCGCGAATAACCACTGTATGCATCAATTGATACGGTTAAAGGGGCCGGTATCTTCAATAGCGCACCAGTGCAAGTATCTTCGAGGATCTATCTACCAATTGTCCGTGACGAAAATGTGTCTCATAATCGCGAATTCTGGTGTGCCATAAAGCAAACGTGTTATTATTTGCCATGGGATTCACATCAAATGGATGATTCCGTCAGAAAATAGCAGTGTTTCGGATTGTATTGCTTGTAAAGGTCAATTTTTTCACGGACCACGTCTTCTAAAGTCTTGATTAGATGAACTCTTGAATGATTACAAAGGTTCTAAAAGCGTAGTTGCAATTCTTCGTATTCTTGTTGAGCAAATGCGGGGTGTTATTTTATTCCTTATTCACGAACAGGCTGACGTTTCAGCGGATTTTCGCCTTCCTCAGAGCCTGGAAAAAATACAATAAAATAGCACCTCGTGTTTGCTCACAAGAATACGAATAATTACTTGATCAATGCCGAGGTTAATAGAAAGTCTGAGGTAGGATTTATTACGAGTAGTTGCAATTGTTTTGCCTTTATACTCCTTACTTCTTCATGATTACACATTGTCTCCATGATCTTGACTCACTTGTAGAGTATTGTTCAAGAAAATGAGAAGTGAACGGTATTGAACCACTAACTCTTCCAACAGAACCAAAGTTGAGCTAAAAAGTCGTTCCTCTTTCCGCAAATTCTCACTATACATCGAACATATACTGGTGTCCAGCAAGAGCTCCCTTTGTTGTAGCCATCAATGTAAAGATGACCTTATCCTTCTAGCTTGTTGTGGTACATAGGCCTCATCAGTGAGGATTCGCTAGCTGTGGACACAAAAATTTTGTAAGTGTAGCCACCTCCTGAACCCAACTGGAGTTCGTATTTATTTACTCGAAGGCACTTTATAATTTGTAATGACTTTTCAGAACCCGCAACTGTCTTGGTGCAGTAGTCACAAGGGAACGAAACGAATTTTTCCTGGAACGCGATTACTCACGAGGATTTCAAGCTTTCAGTGATTTACATATTTAACAGGTATGGTGACTCACCGTATGAGTCCCGCCGTTAAGAGACTCCCACGTCTAGTCCCGCGCGTCTTTCCTCTGTAAAAGTGATTTTAAGGCGAACAGCAACATCAAAAAGAGTGTTGCAATCGATATCCGAGAAGACTATTCTAATGCTGCAGTTTTAGAGCAATTTGTCTCCAGTGGCGCGTGGTGGTTGAGTTGGTGTGGATTGATTTTCATGCCGTCATGTTCACCCGGCGATTAGATGGTCTACACCTATTGTCTCACCACCCTATGTCGTAGACGGAATCGTACAATGTGCGGGGTGCCAAGGTCGATTCGTGGCTGGTTGAGTTAGCTGGTTGTTCTGTAAGGTTTCTCCGTAAACCTAGCTGTAGCTAAATGTGTGCCCTGTTTGCAAAAATGAATTTTACCGGCTTTTATTACAAATAAAAATAACGCATTTGGCTGAGTTGTAGGAGGAACAGAGGAACAAACTCGTTCATCTAGAAAACTGCTCATGGAGAATTACTTAGAGAGTGTAGCCTTCCCAAAGTCTCAATCTCTGCGATCGTAATTGAGAACATAAGAAAACAGTAAGGAACTTTATTCGTCAACACAAACAGCTGGAATCATAACTAGAAGTGAATTAATCGACTTCCGCGATTCAACGGGATTTTCAAACAACAGATTAGCTGCAGATTAGCTGACGACATGAGCAAGCTACTTTTCGGCTGGATGTTGTTGCACATTAGGAAATCGGCGTACGAACGTCGTGCGGACAAAGCCAGTGCTAGAAGCGCACACTAGATTTGCCCTACGAATTCAACGATTCTCGAAGCAGTAAATTACTGACCGCTGCAGGAAAGTATTCGGCAACTTAAGAATAGTAGACACTAGAAAGAGTAAACAGAACAGAAGAAATGAAATAAACGATTATAACACGGGAAAATACACTAGAACAGAAAACATTAAACAAAAAACAACATTAAACAGTTCGATAATTTCGATAGTCACTGCGATAATTTGGCAAGGAAGTCAAGGCGAAGAATAGCTGCGATGCCCAGACGCTCCTGCACCTGCCATTCAAAAACATCCTTGACAGCAGTTAGCTGAAAGGCAGGGATAATAATCTTCAGCAGTCCTTTGTAGGAAGATGCTTAGAAAATACTATCCAAAAGAAAGCATGGAAAGAAAAGTTTCAAGTATCGAGTACTCATTTTCTACTACCAGCCAAAAGTATTTTGCGAATGCGGTGCATCTTGTTTTCAATGTTTTTTTCTACTTCTCGCTGTAATTTAACCACTACAAAGAATGAACGCTGACAAATTTAAAGGCTGGCCATGATACTCACCAACTCTACTTGCTTCTTGAACAGAAGCTGTTGACTCTGTTTATCCGCGTCATCAATACTCTCCGCATCTAATGGTGTATAACTGCAAAGAGCGTCTTCCTTTACCGTGTGCCACTTACCATTTGCTTTCACACTATAGTCGAACACGATGGCCTAAAAGGAATTGCTGTAACCTAAATTACAAAGATTGCCTCGATGTTTCAATTTCTATAGTTTTCGAAAATGTCAAGTCCAAAAGTGGGGCGGTTTATAATTGAAGAATAGAGAGACGAGACTTCATAATAGTTGATATAGAACGAATGGCGAGATTTTAACCATCATTCTGGACAACTATACATGGGCTCAAACAGGATTTTCCTGAGCCAGGCATGTCCCGATAGCTACATTAACGAAAATAGAAAAATGGTTTATATACTTCGATATCTTGTGGTCTGCAATTTTTGGAAGCCACCAGTTGATTGAAAGGGTTTCTTGCAGAGGTAGAAGTTTGACACACTGGTACTTTTCGAAGTGCTTGAAAAAAATATCTTAACTATTTGCTGGTTCAAATTAGGCTTTGGAAATATTTGGGAACTTTCTATAATTCAAACCTAAATAGGATCAAATATTCAACACACATCAGAATCTACTGAAGAAATGATCCGTTTTTGTCAAGAATAAGAGAACAAATTTCGCTACGACGATATCCGTTTTCTCGTTTGATGCGGTGCTCAATTACAGAGGATTCTGATTTTTCAGATGAACGCTGAGTTCTTCTGCAAAAGCTCCAGAAGTTTCATTTTTCCAACTGCGAAACAACACTATTTTCACGATTGGGAGTGTCACCTCAGGCATCTTAAAATAAGGCGATAAGAAAACACACTAGACGCTAACCCTTTCCGCCCCTCGCCGTTTTTCATGACTGACCTAACCGAATACACGCAGTTTTTCGTCGACTGCGAACTTTCTGGTTTCTTTTAGAATAAAGAATAATTTTTCAGTATTTCCTTGGATATCAGTACCTAACAATTTTATTTTTTGATGGATGCTTGTTTCATTTCTTGAATGCATATGGTTTATACTCTTAGCTACAAGGTGCTTCAATTCTCAATCTTACAACCGTGTTGTTTTCAATGCTTGGTTTCTTTTTTTGGTAAAATCGAGTTCATCTCGCCATTTCCACAGCTATGCGCTGGTCAATCCCTGAGGGATGCACTATGCATTCGACTTCATTAAGTATCGTTGGAGGTGGTTGAATGCATAGCTGGCCTTTACAATGAGTCGCGGTGGCCTACCGATGTATCGAGCCAGTCCTATTATCATCCCAGGCAAGTCTGGTACCAGTTTGCCGACCCTAGACGGAAGAACGCTTGGTGAGCCAGAGGCGCGAACATCGATCCCACGTGTGTATCGCAGGGCACCTTCGACCACTGCGCCACACTTGCCCTTTACATAATGGATAGTAATAATAGTAATAAGGGAGAATAATTATAAATAACAAAGTTTCGTGTTGTTTCTACTGCTAAGGCTTTGCGGTGATATCGACATTCTCGTCCCTAAACTGGGATGTTTTTAACACTTTCATTCTTAAACTGTCCGAAAGCACAAAAGAGTGCGTCACGCAGCGGCACTGCAACCACTAAGCATTGCTTCTGTACGGTAAACTACTGTTTTCAATAAGATCAATGAAAAGTTACGACAGAAAAGGCTGAGAATTGTTTCCAACCATGTTGCGCGATAAATCACATCGGTAATCAACTACTTTTTTGATGCCCGGCGCTTTCTAAACACCATTTGTAATTTTATTAGCGCAAACTATGTGTTTACTACTAAATATAACGTATAAAGTTTTCTTGACGATGTTTTCCCTTATACACAGCGCGTTTTCTAAAGTTTCGTATTTTTGAGTGTACGGCCTCAATAAGAGCTAGTCCGACAGGGTGTTTTTCGTAAATTATTAAGGGCTGAGAATATCGTTATTGCTCTCACCCCGCCCGCTCCGATCACTTTTCATTTAGCTCTCGAACGGTTATACATGTTGCCATAAAAGAATAAAAACCGTGGAACCCAATAAACTGAATACCGACGCCATAGTGTCAGTACAGTCGTTTGGTCCAAAACGTTATGAATACTGTAGCATCCAGATGAGGCGGTATGGGTTAAGGAAGAGATAGGTTCGAAAGTGATGTGCAAAATCCATCTTAGCAGCGACCATTCACAACAAACCTCTAGTAAAATTCACAAGAAAATCAGTAGTCATTAATATGCTAACATGACAGTAACGCTGGTACCACTTCCGCAACAATTCAAACAAAACACATACAATGTTCTTCTCTCTACCGAAGAAGATAGGCGTCACCATCCGTTCAGACGCGCGAGTGAAGGCAGACGGCAATGTAGGAATCATCTGAAAAATAGGAATGTGCTAACTGAATAAATCAAAAAACTCTGAACCTCCGAACGGCGTAAGGTTCAAAAGCTCAGTGAGTTCGTTCAACGACTTTATTTATAAGCAAAATTGCACGACTTAGTGGCAAAAAACATTGAAAGTGTGAGTCTTCGGTATTTGACCCCTCACTATCGTGTCCATGGATGTCCTACTAGTTTTTTCTTACAAACTGGTAATTCCCTTGAATACTGTCCTTGGTTTGTAACCATTAGTCACCAATTGTTTGCAGATTAGAAGTAGCACCCAAATCTAACCGCAGATGCAGATGTACACTCCGCGTTATCTCTTGATTCAACAACATCTAGCTACTGATCATAAGAGTCTTCTACATGGTGGCGAGCATTACACAGCGGTAATCCGAGCCCTAACACATTGCCTATTCGTTTCGTTTCCATACAGCCATCGGATATGGCAGTAATCTCTGCGGTGAATGAGTGACACTTCCTAGATCACTTCGTGATCCAAGTCATGGTACAGCTGGTTGGCGTGAACGACAAGTACCTCCATATTGTAGGTCAACTGGGCAGCAGCTTCTAGTGCCGAATTGTGACGCATGCTCTATTGCATCTTCTACGCGATTCCTCTATGCCGTTGCCCACGTTCACTAGGTGCCATGGGCACGTATAGATGTCGTCTTCGTAATCAAGAAATCAACATTTCGTCTCGTTTACCATGCTTTTTTCAAGAGCTACCTTCAGTCCCTCTATTCGCTTCATAAACTCTTTGACTGTTTTCTCGTTTCTGATTACAAAGCATGCTGTTGTTGACAAAGCGCATTTCATCGCAATCAAGAGAATTCATTACCTCTGGCTGACATACAGCGGCGTGCGGCTTTACCGAGATAACGTCGCATTACGTAGGGCTAGTACACTTCTTCCTTGGCAAATAAAGTGTAATTCGTCTTAACATTACCGAGTGGTTCGACAACACCGGGTCAACCAAGTCTCCTATCCCTTCGTGGTCGATAAGTTTAAAAAAACTCTCGGCGTTGATCAATCCCTGAGGGATGTGCCATGCATTCAACTCCATTAAGTATCGTTAGAGATGATTGAGTGCATATCTGGCCTTTAAAATAACTCGCGGTGGCCTACCGATATATCTAGCCAGTGCTGCTGCCCTTCCAGACAAGTCTGGTGCCAGTTTGCCGACCCCGGAGGGATTGAAGGCCATGGGTCGCGGGGATCGATCCCATATGTATTGCAGGGCGCCTCCGACCACTGCGCAACACGCTCTACATTTATCCGTATTATATATGACAATGTGGGATAGATCAAACCAAACTGGTGTCCGTAATTCGAAGTGTGCCACAAGGGCCCGATCGAGAAATTGCAACCAAAGGTATCGAGGGTAAGCTAATTCCGATTCTATTGATCAACGTGGAAACTTCTCAGCTAAGTTATGACATGATTCCAGAGAGAATCCCCTCATCCAATGCTAAACTACGTTTTCCACGAAGACCAAAAATCTTCAAGGAGTAACCGATTCCAAAAGCAATAATAAGGTCCGATGACCTCATGGGTGGTGAGCGCGAGTTGACGAATCGAATGAAAGAAGCGCTGGGATCTGCACAGGCTGACAAACTTGATTTTTCAACCTTTATATATATATATATATATATATATGGTTAAAAGAATGGATAGCTAGGTAAACTTACATAACTGTTCAATGCACTGTGGTGTCTTGAATATGGTCTTCGATAGCTCACTCTTCCATCGGAGCTTTTCGAACTGATAAACAACGCACCAACCTAAATCAGTGGCTAAAAGATACAAATTTTCTGGTTTAAATATAGTGTGGCAAATAAATGAATCCATTATTCTTTCCAATCCCTATTTTTGGAAAGAAAACTTTTAAGAAATACTTGGCTGTGAAGACAGTAATTTGAATAATTTGAGATGAATATTCCAGCAGGGCCAACGTTCATGGAAACGTTATTCATAACAGCAACCTGCAGAAGAAGAAAATTGTGAAAAAAAGGTCTCACCTTCGTGACCTCCTGTTTCATAGCATCCATCAAATCTCCTTGCCCGTCAAGATCAATGAAATGAACTAACTCCAAGTTCACAAGCAGATTGAGCGCTTTAACGTTGTCCACCTCAAAATTAGTTTAGTAATGATGAAATCATAAAAGTTGCAAAAAGACCTCACTTTCTTCTTTGAGCCACTGAATGCTGGGTCTCGATAGCAACTGGGAAGCAGGACAGAGACCTAATTCAAAAAGGCATATAAGAATTAAAGGAGTATTTGGAACATGATCCAAGTATTGCAGTAGTACTACTCGTTAACACATTTTCTAAACCTTTTCATAAACTTCATGAAACTGACACGAGGTGAAGCACAGTGATGGAGGTGTATCAGTGCCAGCATTAAACCAACCTTGTGTCCGCGCAAAAGGAATTGCACCAGACTTTTGAAAATTGGCTTCAAAAAGAGCACTCTGCAGGGGTATGGTGAAGCCGTCGTTGTATGTCTTGTATTTTTCCAATGAATGGGATACGTTTTGTGAAAGCATTCAGAAACAGCACATCCATCTGCAAATCGCAAGTCACGAAATGAAAAAAGTCAATTACAACAGACAAAAGCTGTATATTCGGTCGGAATTGTCATATTCCGCAAGCATATAACCGCCTATCGGTGGAGCTTCAAAGAAGTATTGAAAGAACAAGTTTCCAGCAAATGAAAATTTTAATCTCAACATTTGCGCAAATCAAATGTACTACTCGAACACTGAAACATAACTGTTTTTTTCAATCTGCTGCACTTCAACACCTTGCACACTTCTCTAATTGTAAGCATAATATGTAAAATCAAAGGGTACTTTGAGAGTTACACTCACCAATGAGGACAGGTCTCAATGCCCTAGACAACCTCCTCGACGAAAGAGTAGGAGGATACTCAAGCATATTCACAATTATGGAGAGTGTATCTGAATAAATATTTTATGTCCAAATGTATGGATATGTTCACATATAAATTAGCTTGTATATGGAAATATTATATATATATACAATATGCTTCCATGCATATATAGCCTATATGTATATATACATAGGTGTGAAAACGCATATTTTGCCTTCTGTCTCGCTCTTCAATTCAAATCCTAGAGGATATCGCTCCAGCATACTTACTTCTTTACCTATTTGCTTCCTCCGAAACCACTTATCTACTTAGTATGAAAAGATTGCAATCGACATTAACAAGAATACCAGGTGAAAGTGAAGTATACGACAAGAACGACTGGATTGTAGCATGAAGAATTGCATTGACGTGCCGAGGATCACCTTGTGGACACATCTCGTAGTATTCCTTCAAAGCAATAGAATTGATGCAAACGGAATTATAGTCGGCATGTAAATATTAATAAGCAGCTCAATCCGATTGAAATAATACAATTAATAGTAAGAATGGTATGATGGACATAAAACGAATACCAATAACAACAAACCATGTCGACATCAAGATCTGCTTGGACAAACTCGTCTATAAGAGTGGAAGAAGAATGGCGGACCGGGGCATCCTTTTCACCCACCTATGAGAATTACTTACTTAAAACACGCCTTGTGACGTCGAGAATGCATTGTAAAATGTTTTTCAGCAGAGTTGTAATACTTTTACTTTGCATTTCTTAAAAGGCAGCTTGTATGGGAAAAATTGTTGAGTGGTACAAAGTTGTCGATAACGAGGAAAAAAACTACACCAAAATAGAGTTTATTTAAGAAGAGAAGGAATAACAAAATACTGAAGCAACCACCTTATTAACTCTAGTGAACTAGAAACACTCTTGAAAGGGTGAGTAAATGAGGGTAGTAAAACTCCCTTCCAACAAAAAACTAAAGCAAATTTAAGAGGAGTAAAGGTAAGAACCTATGTATTGGCTATACTAACTTTTGCTCCATCTTCCGAGTCCGAAAAATACAGACTGAATGTTTCAAAGAAATCCATAGTACTACGATGATGATTGTCCTATCAGGACACTGTTCTTTGCTTCGAACTAAAATGAAACACGCATGTTAAGAACTCGCAAATAATTAATACACGGTCACCACCCTATCGTGAAAAAAGAATAGGAAGTAAGTAGAAGTAAAGACATTGAGTACATAGTAATGAGAGACGAAACAAGAAAAGCCTAATGTTTTCTTACTATAACTGTACGTTTCCAGGATCTCGTACACTAGCAATGTAGCAGCTAAATTGTTGAACTCCGCACATTTATGCTAGTAGCAGAAACGTGTGACATTTGATATGCTTTTAATTTGGTAGCAAAAAGCATGAATTTTAGAAATTGGTACCAAACTTGTCCAGAAAGCTGTCTTCAACTTAAAATTGGCGGCCATTGCCTGTAGGAGAAATGTCAGCACGCACAAGCACGGGAGCTCTACGATTTCGGGATATCGCGAAGACCACTTCAAACGGAACAGAAATTTCAACAAATCTAACTGCACAAGTTCAAACTCGGATGTTGCGGAGTGCAAATGGCCAGGACCACTAATGAGGTAATGGTCAAGAAATTGTTAACGATTGCATAGTGCAACGTTAGTTTCAAAGCAATCGCTATGGCGAATTCGACGTTGGAGATGGGAGAGGCAGTGGAGCTATTGATGACAATGAATTGAAAGCTTTGATGGGAACATCACAGCTGTTCGACAACTTACAGAGCAACTCATTAGAATCATCTCAGCTGCTTGGGGTCATCTAAACATAATTGGGAAGCCAAGGGAACTCTACAAGTCGATGCCGCTCCAATAAATGAAATCGCCGTTTTGAGGTATTGCACACACGTGTTCTGCAAAGCGAGAACAAAGAGTTTCTGGGACGTGCTGCGTCGTGTGACGAGAAATGTATCCTGTAGGATAACTGGCGACTATCAGTCCATTGTTGGACCGCCATGAAGGCGCACAACTCTTCAACAGAAAGGATTTTTCAGCAGGACTGGATCATTCGCTCTTCACGAGAGCATCTGGCCACACGACGCTGCAAAACTTCAGCTAGTTGGCCTATGAAATTGGCCTCACTTGCAATACTCGCTTGTTCTCGCATTTACCGACTACTACTTTTTTCCAGCATCTCGACAGTTCACTGCGCGAGGACCATTTTAGAAGCCAAGTCGAGAACGAAAATCGAGTCGAGAAACGATCACATCGTCACTTGAAGGCCAGAATTTTCGCAGCTGGTGCAAATAAACTTGCGTCTCGTTGGCAAAAATGTGCCGAGATTAATGCTTCTTATTCCGAATTAGGGCTTGCTTTTAGTCGAGCTCCATGGCTTTAGAAACACAGGTTGAAATATGGCGGCCTCCGGTAAGAGTAATGGCAGGTTAATTCCCTGAAAACCACGCAGTTTTAATTCGTACTGTACAAAAACAAAGCATACATGTAGAGAGCGATCAAATTATAACATAAAGTGTTAGTAATCCTGATGATCTTCCGGCCTTACGCCCCTTCTTCCAAAGAAGGATAAGCTGAAAAAAGTTGGAATAAATAAAAACAAAAAATGTCGAACTAACTCCATTACGAAACGGTGAAATACTTAGGGTTTACCAAATAGCAGCTTGGATAGATCCTTTCATGAAGGATTTATCACATGGTGTTACAGGAACGCTTTATCATGTTATTCAAATGGAAAATGAAAACTTCCATCAGCACTGCTTAGAAGGGTAACAATCGAAAACACACAATGGACGTTGTTGAAGGAAATACGAATACAAAAAATGTGAGAGGTTTTCCTCAAGTACACTTGTAGAAATTCCATGTAAACCAACAATAAACCACTAAACAATCATGCTAACAATCACAACGGAGTCCAACTACGCATCAGAATCAGGATCAACTCCTTTGACATGTAGCATACACCTACTCCTGAAAATTAGTTCAAAGAATAGCTAAAATTCTTAACGTTTCACCTGTTCAGCAGCTAAATAGCTGCAGGGTCAAGAACATCTTACCACAGGAAACTCACCTTCATATTTATCTCTTAAGAACAGCTTCTTTCTGGAATAACCACCGTAATAAAATAAAGGATAAAGCTCTCGGCGCTGATCAATTCCTGAGGGATGCGTCATTCATTCCGCATCAATAAGCTCGTTTGAAAACAACTCAATGTATATGCGGACAGATCACTTGGCACCTTGATGAAAGTGTCATATCTGACGCTGATTCTAATATCATTATGCCAAAAGACAAACGAAGACTGCATATTGTTGAGGTAAGCGCTTTTGCTTTGGTTCTTTAGACTAAAAGAATAAAGCTCTCGGCGTTGATCAATCCGTAGGGATGCACCATGCATTCGACTTCATTAAACATCGTTAGAGGTGATTGGATGCATATCTGGCCTTTACAGTGACTTGGGGCGACCAACCGATGTATGGAGCCAGTGCTGCTATCCTCCCAGGCAAGTCTGGTCCCAATTTGCCGAGCCCGGAGGGATGGTAGGCTTGGTGGGCCATGGGCGTTGGAATCGATTCCACGTATGTGTCGCAGTGGTTCCTTCAACCACTGCGCCACATGCGCCTTTCACCGTATAGCTCAAAATCAAAACGGTAAAGACAATTCCTTCACAATCAAAGGAACACCGAATCACCAATGTTCTTGTCAGACAGCTCGAAAGCTATAAACAATAAAGTTTTCTGCCGGTTTGACTATAAGCCATCAGACTAGACAGAAAAGCTCGATATAAACAGTGGTATTTACAAACCGAGAAAATGTACCTGATAAAAATCACGACTGGATTTCTCTCATGCTTGCCAACCATTTACTCTTTTGCTTATGCCATTTGTAAGTACATACTTTCGTCTGCAGAGACAAGAATGCCTGAAACGTTATATGGTAACCTAAACTGACAGGACACTTTGGAATCACAACTGAAACCTTAAATAGACATGAATGGTACCTCGGTACTTCCAGCCTTACACTTATTTACACACAACTGGCTTCCCAGTCAAAGCGACTGGAGGATGCACGTGGACTCGTTTACAAGTGTACGTTCCTGAAAGAAAACGTATTCTAAGGCAAAAAACAACAAATTGTGGTCTAACGTACTGACAGAAGATAATAAAAACACAAAAGGTCAACGATTACCGAAACTTGACAGTTGTAATGATAGCGATATAGTACATACATTTCAGCGTCACGCAAGCAAACACAGCACTCCTTTTAAGGTGAATTTTCTCACTTCACTTGGGGTAAAACACTGTTAAAACCCTGCAATGAAATAGAGAATTCTATACAATATACGACACTAAAACGAGGTAGAAAACGCTAGCAATTTGAGACGGGATAAAAAATAGCTAGAAAAAAATTCCAATAAGCGGCTGACACGTCCCAGGTGATAGAAAGTGTGACAGCTAAGAATATAAACACAATTGTAAGGTTAATTATAACAAAATTACAAACTTTCGTAGTAACTTCATCAAACATCCCACCCGACGCGCACGCCCACTCATGCTGCTGGTGTTCACGAATTTTGAATTTTTCTGCAAAAGTATATCACCACCGCCGACTTTTGCACTAAAATCGC